TAAATTATAATGAAATTCCGGAAACAAATAAATAGACATAATTTGCTGGAAACTTTCCGGAAACAAAATAATAACAATTTTCCGGAAAAAACAAAACAAACTTTTCCGGAATTACTTCCGGAAAATTACCAATAAAATTCCGGAGCTAATATATACATGTAGATAGTTTCCGGAAAAATATAAACTTTCCGGAAAATACACACTATATTTCTACCTCTCCTCTTTTTGCACAAGAATGGCCTTCTATTGCGGCAATCGTCAATTTCATATACCACTATTTGATCACGTTTGTTCCAATCAAGATAAACACAATCCTTCATTTCATTTTCGTGTTTTAAAGGAAAACTAAGCAATTAAATAAATTAATTAAAGTTTTTAATTTAAAATTTTATTTTTTACTTTTCCGGCCAAAGAGGCACATTTCTGTCAATAGATTCATAAATCCCTTCAACATTTGCATCAGAATAACCAACCCAAGGGAAAGAATGGGTTTGAGAGTAGGATTCTATTGGATAAAAATTTTTTTGATTTTTTTTGAATTATTGTCCACTCCCTACCAACAATAAAAGCATAATCTGCTTCATTCTGAAATGTTGCCAAATTTGCCCTTTCAAAATTACATTCTTTCTGGGCCTCATACCAAGGCAAAATATGAGGTAAAACAAATTGTTTATAACTTTAAAATTATTATTTTTGAGATTAAATTTTAATTTTTCTACCAATATGGGGATGATATTCCATCAGAAATCCAATCGGGAGGGCATGTATCAATGTCTAAAATAATTTTTAAAAAATTTTCGAGGACTTTTTGGACTCTTTACAATACCAAATTGAACAAAAGAAATGTTAAATCCACGTTTTTGTATTATTGAATCTGAGTGAAAGTGAACAAGCAATGAATCACTGGCACTTGCTATAGCAGCGGGATAATCTTTATTTTTAAAATTTCAAATAGGAAAATATTTTTAAATTAAATTTTAATGTGATAGAGATAAGGAAATTTTAAATAATTTAAATAAACCCTAAGGACCTGAATTACTACCTTGTCCGCACCAACGGGCAACTTCCTTGATGCTAGTTTCGTTTCCTATAAAATATAGTTAGAGAAGAAAATAAAATATTGTCCGGAAAATTCCGGAAACAAATATAAATTCCGGAAATGCTTATTTTCCGGAAAAATATATTACTAAATAATCTAAACTTTCCGGAAACTGTATAAGTAAAATTTCCGGAAAATATTTTCCGGAAAAATATTACGGAAATAATAAACATAGGTTCCGGAAATAGACATAATTTCCGGAAATATACATAATCTTTCCGGAAAAATAGACTATAAAATAAATATTGTAACTTTCCGGATTATACATATATACAAATAAAAATATTTCCGGAAAACATTTTTAATTTTTAAATTAAGCTACACCTTCTCTATCCCTAACACTAACATAATCATTACAATCTGTAAATAAAGCTTCTTCTAAATCACTTTCTATTATTGTCAAATGTATTCTATGAAATTTGTCTGTAGCCTTTAATTTTAAATTAATAAATTTTTTGCTTAAAAAACACACACACCTCAATGAGAAATTGACAATCAGTATCGGGAGGGTATAATTTGTTTTCATCCTTAAATTAGAATTTTGCAAACTTAAGTTTGTAAAAAAAAGTTTGTTTTATTTTTGTTCTATTTTTTTATTGTTATGTCTACTCTTTACTTTTTTCAGGAAAACTTAAGTTTAAACTTAATAAAATTCCGGAAATAAATATACACTTTCCGGAAAATACTTTAGTTTAAATTTAATAAAATTCCGGAAATAAATATAACTTTCCGGAAAATACTTTAGTTTAAATTTAATAAAATTCCGGAAATAAATATAATTTCCGGAAGTGGGCATAATTTTCCGGAAAAACAAGTTTTAAGTTTAAACTTAAGTTTGTAATGCTTTTAAGTTTGTTTTGCTTTTTAAACTTAAACTTAAGTTTTTAAGTGTGTATTTAATTTCCAACGTGTTTTAAGTTTTCAAGTTTGAACTTAAAAAATTTAAGTTTGTAATATTTTCTTGTATTTTTTTATTATTATTTTATAAACTTTACATATGGCGAATAAATATATTGAGGTGTACGTGATGCCAAAAGGCGTATAGGGTTGTCGGGGCAAGGCTGAGGATTGCCAACATCTTCAAGCTGTAACCGAAATTTTGGTTTTTGTTGTTGCTGCTGTTGTTGTTGATGTAACATTGTAAGAGATGTCACCGGTTTTAAACAATAAAAAATAATCAAAAATGAAGGGAAGAAAGAAGATTGAATTTTGAAAGAATTGAAGAAGCATTTTGTTGGTTTTTTAGCGAAGGATGAAAATAAAATTGGCATTTGGCGCCAATAAAAAAGGAAGAGTTGTAGATGGCGCTTTGGCCGTTTCTTGTTGATTCTGACATTGAATGGATGGCAATGTGGCGGTGAAGACGGCGTTGAGAGCTAGCTATTACTTTAAAGGCGGATTGATGAGGTTTATTAAAAGTGGAGTAAATTGAGGATGAATTTGAAGGGAAGACAAAGTTTGGGATTATCTATTACTCTAATGTTAAGTCTAAAAAGCTTGAAAGAATGTCAAAAAAGGATTAAGTTTAAATAAATATACAGTCTAAAAACACTCTCAAAAAGCAATGCGCGTTCAATTAAGAGTGTCCTAGAAACGGGGAGGATGGATTTTATAAATGAGGCATATTATGTAATAAGGGGGACAAAAATAGTAAAAAATAATATTTAAATGTATCAATTAAAAGCGAGCATATTATAAGAGTATATATAAAGTATTGAAGGTACTACTGAGGGGGGGGGTATTCTGGTAGACTAGGTATTTTATGGAATCTTCAGTTTGCGCTTAGTCTGCCCTCTTAAGTTTCCGGAAAGTTTGTAAATTCATATAGATAGTGTATATTTTTATGCTTTCCGGAAATTCCTCAAGTTTGTAAACTTGTAATTATACATATATTCCTTCTGGAAAGCTCCATAATTTTTCCGGAAACTTTTTTAGTATCTAATATTTCTGGAAATTCCTTAGGTTTGTAAACTTGAAATCATAGACATATATTCCTTCCGGAAAGCTCTATAATTTTTCCGGAAACTTTTTTTAATACATTTCTATTCTTTCCGGAAATTCCTAGTTTGTAAATTTAATTAATATACTAAACCTATTCTATCCGGAAAGTTATAAGTAATTTCGTATATTTTCCGGAAACTTATTTTTAGTATATAAATAAAATATAAAGTTATATCTTTTCCGGAATTCGTCAGCTATTTCCGGAATCCATTGGAAATATCAATTACCCCTGAATTGTGCAAAATGTTAAGGAACCATTTTTTAATTTTAGAAATAGATTAATAAAAATCTTTAGAAAAGAATTTAGATAATCTCAACAATGCCCGCCTTTTTTCTATTCTTATTCTTTTTGAATGACCATCGTCCTTCTTCCTCCTTTAAAATAAGCGATAATGTCCAGCTGCTTTTTCCCTTCATGTTGCCATGGGAATTGAATGAAAACATAATGAATTGGCAATTTAAGGTGGTTGTAGGTATTTTGAATTGAAAGTAAATAAAATGGGCAATTGGCACGCTTTTTATGTTATTTTTTGGTAAATCAGCGCCTTTAAAGGGATGCTTTTTTAAAGGATGCTTCCGTGTATAAAGACAATTTGGCAAGACGGAAGAAAGCAAATTTAGTGTTTATTTACTAAAAAAATTCTTTTTTAAGTGCAGTTTTGTATATTCAAAAATTTTATTTATGATAAATTAAAGCTATCATTTGTGAGTGATTTTCTAAGCAAACTAGAAACATTATCGTTTTTAAGATCACATTTTGTATATGAGAGAATTGTTAAATTTTGAGCTGTTGTTCGTTCAGCTAAACAGCGTTGGTGTGAAAATTGACAGAAATTCTTTTTAAAAATTAAAAAAAGATAAAATAGAAATATCACCGAATGAGTAGTAAATTCACTGTCACAAACAGGCACATAGTCGTCTTGGCATTTTAATTGAGGGCAACACTCACCTTCAAAAATTGAAATAATAATTGAAAAAAATTTTTTTTTAAATTAATTTTACCCGGATATAAAACCCTTAAAGGAGAGGATTCATTTTTATCTTTTACTGAAGCATTATGCCTTTCCAAATGGCAACCATTTCTATAGGTACGTCCATCACTAGCACACAACTAAGTGAAAAATAAAAATTAAAAAAATTTTTTTAAATTAACTGGTTCGTATTTATCACTACATATTAGTTGATCTACACTAAGCAATTCAACGCTCACATTTTGAAGTATATCAGTATTGCTTGAGGGTATTAATTGTTGGGAAATTGCAGAAGAATGAACGTCTGCCTCGTGTAGTCCGGTTTCCTTTACAAATGTATTTTACAATTTCCTTTACAAATCGTAAAATAAATAATATATTCTTTTTCATCCGGAATAATATTTTCCGGAAAATATAATATTAAATTGTAATTTTGTATTAATCTTTTCCGGAAAGATTTAATAAATATTTGAAGATCCGGAAAAGTGTAAAGTCGTTTCCGGAAAATATAATAAGTTCTGGTTGTTTCCGGAAAATTGTAAATTTAATGGTAATATTTTCCGGAAATACTAATTAAATATGAATATGTGAAGTATCCGGAAAATTGTAAATTCTTTTCCGGAAAACATAATATGTAAGTTCTAGTTGTTTCCGGAAAATTGTAATTTTAATTATAATCTTTTCCGGAATTTAATTAAATATAAATATGTGAAGTATCCGGAAAATTGTAAATTCTTTTCCGGAAAATATAATTTTAAATTGTAATTTCCCGGAATAAGTATCCGGAAAAAGCATTAATTTTATAAGATAGGTAAATGTTTTGTAATAACCACAAAACATCTGAATTAACTTATCTCTACCAATAAATTTATCTTTGATTTAATTAATTTAATTCTATAATAATTTAAATTTATTTTCAGTATGAATTTTCATAAGCGACGAAACACCTCTTCTCTTTCCTCGATATTCTCCTTCCGTCTTTCAGTGTTGTTATTAATATTACATTCACGTTCCTCCAACGGCTTATGATGAATTTTAATTGAACGACACTTTGCCATTTCAAAGCTGCACCAATTAGAGTGACGAGAATTGTTCGTATCACAGATGGGTTGTGTCTCTGGCCCTCCTGTACACGACTCAATACTAGGGCAACATTTTCCTTGCTACAGAAATAAAAATTATTAATTTTCCGGAAAATTGTAATCATAAATTGTATCTATATATCTTTTCCGGAAAGGCGTAATTTTATATTTCTTTCCGGAAATTGTAATATTAATTTTATCTTGTTCCGGAAGGTTGTTATATTTCTTTCAGTAAAGTTATATATTTAATCTTTTTCCGGAAGGTTGGTAAATTTCTATATTTCTTTCCGGAAAATTGTAATTATAAATTAAAATTATATCTCTTCCGGAAAATATTTCCTTCCGGAAATTGTAATATTATATTTCTATTCCGGAAAGTTATAATTTTATATTTTTCTTCCGGAAAGGACGTTAAATTAATTTCTTTCCGGAAAATTGTAATTATAAATTGTAATTATATCTCTTCCGGAAAATAGTTATATTTCTATTCCGGAAATTGTAATAGTATATTTCTATTCCGGAAGGTTGTAATTTTATATTTTTCTTCCGGAAAGGACGTTAAATTAATTTCTTTCCGGAAAATTGTAATTAAATAATATATTTTAGTACATAAGCAGCAGTGATATTGTAGCCAAATTTAATTTCATAAATACAACGCAAAACTTCAAATTCACATTTACTCTTAGTCTCTCCTCCTTGATCACAAACATATAAAGAATCATTATTGTCTTCTTCAGCAGTATTACGTTTAGCCAGGCATGGATTTGATAGACACCTTTCACACTCTCCTTTGAAAAGTACTTCTACTTGACTGTCCAAACAAGAAGCCTTCTAGAAAAAAATTTGAAGAATTATGTTCCGGAAGGATTTTCCGGAATTACTTGAATAGCACAAAAATTTCGATATGTTATCAAATCAGATCCACAATAAGCATCCTTTGGAGACTCTCCACAATCATGCCATCTACGTTCACAATCTAATATCTTTTGTTTTTCTTCTTGATTATTTATTAATGTTTTTGATGTTGTAGTTGTTAGGTGTGGTGGCATGGAAGCAAAATTGGCAGATATTTTAGGAACCAATTTTGTAGAAATTTGTTTTTGTTGGGTAGATGTTGATGTTGGAATTGTAGGTATAGAAATTGTTGTAGAAATATTTTGTAGTTGAGGAGGGCATTCAATAATACGTAAAGCTTTTCCTGTTTTTGCTGCTAAACAATGTGCATGTGCAAAAAGACAAGTACTCCTTCAAGGAATAATTAAAAAGGACATAAAAATCCACACAAATTTACTCACTTGTGTGCTTTTCCATCACTATCACAAATTTGTTGAATTTTATTTTCTTCCACTTCATCTTCACAATTTGGCTCATCAGGACATTCAATTGATTTTTGTGTTTGTTTTGAATGTTGTGAAGGAATTAAAGTGTTTTTATTGTTAGAAATATTGTGATCATGTGAGGAGGTTGAGGGTGTTGTTGCACACTCGCGTAATGACACTAACCAACCTGTAGATTTGATACCACTCTAAATTTACAAATATCAAGGAATAAATTGTAATATTTGTTTGTAAACTTTTTAAAATCTAAGGTACTGGAAAGTCTTTCCGGAAAGTTTATTTAAATTACAACTGGAAAAATAAAATTATTTGTAAACTTCAAGTTTGTGAAAACTTCCAGAAAGTTTTCCGGAAACTTTATATTGTTATATTACACATATCAAAAAATAAACTTAATTGTAAACTTTAAATTGTAATTGTCCTTCCGGAAAAGTTTATTATTATAAAATAAAAATTATATTTAAGTTTGTAAACTTGAAGTTTGAAATATTCCGGAAAGTTTTCCGGAACGCTTATTTTTTTAATTATAAACTTAAGTTTGCAAACTTTAATTTTTATTAAGATTTAAACTTTTCCGGAAAGTTCTTCCGGAAAAGTTTATTTTTATTTAATTACAATTTATAATATTCAAGTTTGCAAACTTAAATTATATATTAAATCTTTCCGGAAACTTATTTTATATTAATTACCCACTTTTCTTTGAAGGCAACGATAAAGTTTGTAAGCGCAAAGGTTAGGATGTGTAATTCCGTTAGAATCACAGACAGGCTTGAGTTGGTGACTACATTTACTAGGGCAGTCTTCTTCCTATTTTTAAATAAAATTAGAAATTGAATCAGTAAAATAACTAACTTTAGTAACAAAAATGGGAGAGACCTTAAAGAAAAAATTATATTTAAAATTTTGAGTTGTAAAAACTTGGTTGCATTCCCCCACGTGGACGAATACATTCTCTTCTTCCCCACGTAGTCTTCTTTCACAATTCCATTGAGCAAATAAGCAAACACCTTAAATTATTTAAATAATTTTCTACAAGTATTTTCTACTCACTTTTATGTGTCCTATTTGTATTGTCACATACAGGAACTATTTGATCAAAAGGCCCTTCATCTCTACACATATCACACTGTTGATGTCCTTGTTGCATTTGATGTTTCTGAACTTGATCGTTAAACATTTGTTTTGGAGGGAAATCCAGTTGGTGTTGATTAACTGGTGATGCAGCGGGCTGAATAAACAAAATTCTTTTTTAAATTGTAAAGTTCTATTTTTTACAATTTCCGAAAAGTAATAAAATTTTTTCCGGAAAACGTAATTAATAAAATTGTTTCCGGAAAGATTGTGAAGACAAATAATTATATAGTTTTCCGAATATAATAAAGCTGTTCCGGAAAATTGTAAAATATTAGCTTCCGGAAATTGTAATTAATAAAATAATTTCCGGAAAAATTGTGAAATAGGTATTCAAATGTTTCCGGAATATTTGTATGTGATGCCTTCAAGGCATAAATAAACAAATAATAGTTACCCCAGTTATCCATTGTGGTGAAATTTTTTGAATTCCATCATTCTTTTCAACATTGAATGATTCGAAAGACAATGATAATTTTCTTTTTGAATTTGTAATTCTTTGATTATTAGAATCTCCATTGTTGATGTTGTTAAAATAATTGCGAGGTGGCGCCAGTCGTCTAACACTATTGGCACGTGGAAATTTTTCTTTAAGAAAAAAAGTATTTCAAAATTTAAATAGTAACGAACTAAAATTATTTTCTTCTATCCGACAAGGGCCTTCTTTGACTATATGAAGCGCAGAGATGATTCCACGTGAATTAATTCTACATGCGGTTAATTCAAACCTAAGAGTTAAGTAGTAAAAATAAACTAAGGAATATAAAAGAAATTTAATTACAATTAGAATATATTTGAATTTTAATTGAAAATGTTTCCGGAATTGTAAAATATAGAATAAATAGAATCAGCTGTTCCGGAATATTTGTAAATTTTTTTTCCGGAATTGTAAAATAAATATTAAATAGCCCTAGTTTCCGGAATATGTTAGAATTGTTTCCGGAATTGTAAAATACTAAATATTCTAGTAAATAGAATAGATGTTTCCGGAATGTTATAGAATTATTCCGGAATTGTAAAATAAAATGAACTATTATTTCCGGTATATATTAATGTAAAATTATTCCGGAATTGTATGTAAATAATGAATATTCATAACTGTTTCCGGAAAAATAAATATTTTTCCGGAATTGTAAAATACTAAATAATGAATAGAACAATTGTTTCCAGAATATAATATAATTGTAAATTTTTTCCGAAATTGGAAAATAAATATTAAATAGCACTAATTTCCGGAATATTTTAAATTGTTTCCGGAATTGTAGAATATATACTAAAAACTTTTCCGGAAAGTTGTAAATTATTACAAATATTTACATCAAGTTTACAAACTTGAAAATTGACAGAAAAAATAAAACCCACTTGCAGCGATTTTTATGTGTTCTTGACTGACTATCACAAACAGGGGCGATAGTTTCATCACAAAAGAAATGGCATGGGGGCGGTTTAGATATTAATAATCTTCCATTATTAACAACTTGTTCTTCATTATTATTTCTTTTAATATTATTATTTAAATTATTATTCTTTTTATTATTTTTTGTTTGTTGTTTAGCAGCAGCAGCTGCAATAGCATTTGCGCATGCCTGTTCCCCTCGCCCTTCAATAATTATTAAAGGTCCACCGCTCCTACGTTGTGCACACTTGTGAAAGTCGAAAATACAGTCATTTGCGTAAAAATTTCCTAAAATATATTACTTAAAAATGGGGGTATTTAACCAGTTACAGACCAAACTGATCACAGACAGGGTCAAAATAATCAGCGCAAAGTTCGGCACTCGGACAACAAGTTCCTTCATATGCTAGGGTCAGACCTAAAGGGAACAAAAGAGGTATTTATGAAGGATAGACTAATGCCTGGATCATATCTCCTCGCACAATCCAACAAACATAGACTATCATAAGTTTGTCGATCAGTCCCACAAACTGGGTGAAATGAACGTTGACAGGAACAATCAAGGAGTGAAACATCTTTTTTTAATTTTAATAATTTGATTGAAAAATGAAAATTTAAGGGAAGATATACCTATTGAATCAACAAAAATGACAAATAGAATTTTAAACAAGCCAAAAATTTTAATAAATAATTTTATTAAAAATAAATTGAGCAGCATTTTTCCTTAAAAATTTGAAAGAAATTCATGGTCAACCACACCACACATGAAAATATTGAACAAATTTTAAAGAAAAAAGGAGGGCAAGGGAGGAGATGACTATATAAAAATTAAAGGAAAGAAGCGATTTAACTAGCTTCAATTAGATAAAAGATAAAAAAAAATATTGGGATTTATGGATTAAATAGACTACTTACTAGGTGATTATCAAAAATGAGAGAGATGGGATGTTGTAAATATAAGGGGAAAATCTCAGGGAAAATGCAAAGACAAAATCGAATTTTAAGCCTAAAATTTTTTTAATTTCCTAGATTTCTTTTAAAAAACTAAAAAAAAATAATTATGAAAACTGGGTCAAGAATATTAAATATTTAAATGAAAAACTCTCTATTATCCTTTTAATAAAACGTTAATTTTGTAAGAATTATTAGAAACTATATAAAATATAAAAAAACATATGCATACTTGACCCCCAAAAGTCATTAATATTAAAAGAAAAGTAATTTTTGCTAAAAAATAACGGATTAAAATTTATTTTCAAATTTTAATTTTCAGTGTTTTTAAAATTTAAAAAATAGTTTTACACGTCACTGAAGAAAAAAAAATCTGATAAATATAAAAACTTTTCTTCAAGGTTTTTATCAATCACACAAACACATACCCCTTTTTAAAATAAATTAAATTTTTTGGCAAAGAGAGGAAAGACTATTTTCCAAAAAAAAAATTTTTTAAAGAAGGACCTTCAAAATAAACTCAAAAAATATATGTAATTTAAAACAAGAAAAGGCCAAAAGTTAACGAAACGCTTTCTTGCCCGTGCTGATCGAGAACCTAATTATATAAAAAAATTTCAAAAATTGTATTTTTAATTGTAAATTTTTAATTTTTACATAATTATATATAATATATAAGTAGGTATATATAATGTATAATAAAAAGAATTATAGTTTTGGATCTCACTATTAAATAAACCCCCCCCCACACCCTTATATTGGTTATCTAAAGAAATAAGGTTGGTGGAGCAAGATCCACCAAACCTGCTGGATCTGAAAGTGAAACAGGATATCCGTCGGAAATTTACGGTTCGTGTATATTTATTGTATCAGGATATCCAAAGGTTTCCCACACAAATACCCTTTTTAAAATAAATCCATCAACTATATTTATGAATTTTTAAAATTAGTAACAAGAGCTTATTTTAAAATCAAACTTAACCCCCAACCTCTTTATTTTCAATTTTCAAGATATCTAATAGTGAGAGATCCTAATTGGGGTCGTCCGACTGTATATAAATATATTTTAAAATTTATCTGATTGTTGCTGTCCTTCTTTGTCTTCGTCCTGTACTTGCTGTTGTTGTTGTTGTTGTTCTTGTTGGTGCTGCTGTTGTTGGTGTATTATTATTATTATTTACATTTGTAACAGCAATTCTTCCAATTTCATTATTATCATCTACTACTCCATTATCATCTAAAGATATATGACGTAAATTTTGTTTACGTCTTATACCAGTAGTCGATTGTTGTTGTTGGGGTAAAATTATTTTACGTTGCATTCTTGGTGTAGTTTGTTGAGTAGTTTCTTTATTACCTCCAACGATACAACTTGTATTACATGCAATTATTTTATCAACTGCTGATATAGAAGAAGCTTCTTTTTCATTATTTTGTTGAAGTTTTTGTTGGGGTTGTTGAAAATCAATTTTGATATTTTGATGTTTTTTAATTGAATCACCACGTTGTCTTTTACGTTTATCTGTTGCTAAAGAAGATGGAGCTAAAGAGGAAGATGTTTGCTGTTCAAGTAAGTCTGTATTAGATGAAGGTAACAATGATGGCATTGCTGTAGCTAATATTGATTGTGATATTGGAGGTAATTGAATGGGAGGAAATTCATATGGTGAATCACTTCTAATCAATTTTGTAACATCTGTTGAAATTGGAGCATTTGGAGGATTAGAAATGGAATTTGTAGTAGCAGAAAATGAAGCTGTAGCTATAGCAGATGAAGAAAATCTAGAAACAAACACAAAATTTTTAAGATAAAATTTTTTTTTGAAATTTTGGTAAAAATTCAAGTTTGCCCCCGCCCTTTTTTCATTATTCAAATTATTAAAAATGGTCAAACTTTGCTTCCTTACTCAACTTCACTCTGTTTCCGAATGGCATAAATGGCATACAAACAGTCAATAAAAGGTTGAAAAGGAAGCAAATTCTGACCATTTTTAATACGTTGAGGAAGCAAAAAAGGGAGAGGGAGGGGGTGAAATGAACTTGAAATTTCACCAAATTTTCTAGTACTTTTAAAAAAAATTTTTTTTTTAATTTTTCCCCTTACACATTTGTAGCAGTAGTTGTAGCAATAGAAGAAAATAGCAACATTTTTCCATCTTCTCCTCCTCCTCCCTCCTCTTCATCATTATCATCCTCACATAATAATTCATCCATACTTGCTCTACGAGAAAAGAAAAATTCTGCTGAAGATTCTGACATTGCAAAATCATCAGAATATTGTTTTTGTTGTTCATCGTCATCATCATCTAACATTAACATTCCTGCAATTGCTATAGCTAAATGTTCTTCTGCTTCCAATTCATTTTCTTGTGAGACATTGGCTAGACCCTGGAAATTATAAAAAAAATTATAAAAAATTTTTTTCAATTCGAAAATTTTTCGAAAAATCCAAAAAAAATTGTCTAAAAAATTAATTTTTATTTCCCCCCACACCTTAGTCCAATGCCACTCTACAACATCTGTTGCTGATGCTCTCATAAACGGATCAGTATTTAATAGTCGTGTAATTAATAATTTGGCTGAATTACTAATTGAATCAAAAACTGGCGAAGGAAAATGAAATTGTCCACGTAAAATTCGATTAAATAAAACATCGTCAGGTTCATCAACTCCAAAAGGTGGGTAACCACAAAGAAGACAATAAAGAATTATTCCAACACTCCAACAGTCAGCCTTTTAAATTAACAAATAATTTAAAAAGATCCGGAAATGTGTTCCAGAAAAAAGAATAAAGTTAGAAATAATTTTCCGGAAGGATAATAAATAGGTATATTACTGAAAATAAAAATTCCGGTTATACGTATTTTCCGGAAAATAATAAAATTAAAAATATTCCGGAAAAATCGGCATTAAATCTTCCCGAAAAAATAATATAAAAATAAACAAAAGTATCCCGGAAAGGATAATAAATTCCGGAACGAATTAAAAACAATGGATAGAAATATATTTTCCGGAAAATATAAAATAAGAATATAGTATTTTCCGGAAAAATTTATTATTAATATTATTATATGTAACTACCTTAAATGAATACCCAAATTCAGCAAGCACTTCAGGCGCCACATATGTTGGTGTACCACAAAGTAAAATTCTTTAAAATTTTTTTAAAATATTTTACCAAAATTAATAAAAAAAATACAATAATTGGTCTGCAGTCTCCAATTGACAAGCTAATCCAAAATCTGCTAATTTAATCATTAAACGCTGCCCAGATTGATTGTCAGGAATATAATAAACCAATAAATTTTCCAATTTAACATCTCTATGAACTATTAAATGTTCAGTGTGTAAATAAGCTAGTGCACGGCAAAGACAATCTGCACAGCTTGCCCTAAAAATTAAAAAAAAAATTTCCCAATAATTTTTTTAAAAAATTTACACTTCTGTTTCACTAAACATTCGCCTCTTTCGAAGAAGTTCAAAAAGATCACCATCCTAAAATTAATTTATCTATTGTAGTTTATTTATTAGTTGTCGGTTCCTGTAAATTCTTCAGATATCCAAAACCGAAACAAAGAACCGAATAAAAAATCCTCGATTCTTCGGTTCGGTCCAGAACCTACAACCCTATTTATTAATCACTATTAAGATAACCCATTAAGAATTCAAAAATCGTTTAAACTGGTGTTTTAAAATGGACATCCTTATTGGCACAGTAACTGAGTAATTTCTAATTAAAACTTCTTCTAAAATGTACATATAATGGGTAGTCGGCTCATCCTTAATAGGTGAATATTTTGAACAGGAATGGGCCGATTTAAGAATGAAAGAATAGTCAGGGCTTTAAAATGTTGTTCGGATCGAGTTTCAAGTCAAAAAACAATTCAAGATCTCAACTCAGGTTTCAGGTAGGTTTTGACCCCGAATCCTGAGAGCGCGTTTTTCGGGGAGCGTTGGAGTATGACTGACAATAAATTGTGAGTGTTATTCTGTCAGTCATCCTCCAACGCACCCCGAAACACGCGCCCTCAGGATTCGAGGTCAAACCCTAGTCTCAGGTAATCCAACACACATCCCTGATTTAGTGGTAAATTATAGCGTAGATTGGGTAAAAATTTTTAAAAATTAAAAAAGAAAACTAACAGGTACACATTCCATTCTAATAAACCAATCACCATTTGGATGTGCTATACAATCATAAAGTTGAACAATATTTTCATGTTTTAACATTTTTAATAATTCAATTTCTGTTTGAACTAAAGCTAAAACTTCTGGATTTTCTAATGTTGAACGACGAATAATTTTTAATGCTTCTGTTGACCATTCTCCTTGTTGTTGTTGTTGACAATCATCATTATTTAAATTTAAATTACTTGTTTCAACAAGAAAGGCAACTTTATAAACAAAAGCAGTATTTCCATCACCAAGAAGTGAAATAATATGACAACGTTCAGCCAAATCAGAAGGTAATACAACATTTGCAGCTATAGTTAATATAGTTAAAAATTATGGAAAATTTAAAAAAAAATAAAGAAAATAATTTTTGGAATGACTGATTACAGAAAATTAATTAAAAAATAAAATTAAAAAATACAAAGGGCCAAAAGAAAAAGGAAGGTTTATTTTATCCGAAACAAACAAAATAAATTTTTATGCTTCGTTCCAAAACATTAATTTAAATCACCCATGATAGAAACAATTCCAAAAACAATTAAATTTTTCTAGAAAATGGGTTCAAAACTTCAAAACCAGAAAAGGAGAGGAGGAAAATAATAAAAGGATCCAGGGGAGAAATTATAAAATCACCAAGAATAATTGAAATTTTCAAAAAATATTACTAAATAATTTCGGAAACCACAAAATAATATTTAAAAAAAATCTAACCAGAATTTTCAAGTTGTACTTGTTCATTGTCATTCCCTTCTTTAAACATATGCCTACCATCTCCACCCGTTTTAAGTCGAAAATCGTTAGGATTTCGTTTTCGAAGCATTCTCATTTGTGTTGGACGTAAACGAAATTTTGTTTGTTGGTGTTGGTGTCGATTCATTGGTGTTCTTCCACCAATTTCCATTCTTTTGTATTCTTTAAAAAAATTTTCGGCAATTTAAAAATTAAAAAAAAACCTTCAGAAACAACATTAAAATCATCACAACAAATACGTTCTGTTCCGTAAGCAATAAAAATAAAATCGTCACAAAAAAAGTCGGCTAATGTGTTGACCTAAACAAAAAAAATTTATAAAATTTAATAGCATCTCCTTATTAAATGGGAGACGCCGTGATAACCAAACTCCTCATACAAGAAGTTTGGCAGCCTCTTTCACCGAATTTTTGCATTTTTTTGATATTTTGTCTCATATTCCGCCAAAAAAAGCAAAAGACAAAAATGCCAAGTTAACGGCAAAACACGAAAGACAAAAAAAAACAAGATTCGGCGAAAGAAAGTGGCACAATCATGCCTCGTACCTTCCTAAATAAATTTACCTGTTTTCCACTAATTGAATAAAGCTTTCGAACTGCTCCACTATTTAATTTAATTTTTGAAGTAATATCACTAATGACCTGTAAAAAAATAAATAAAAATATTTTTTAATTTAATTTAAAAAGAAAATTAAATTGACCATTTCTTAAGAGAAATGATAAAAATATAAAAAAAAAGTGGGAAGAAAAATCAGAAAAAAGCATCAGCCGTTCCTTTTAAAATTATCAAAAAAATGATCAAAAAAATTTTGAAAAAAATTTTCCCGCCGACTTATTTTTTTTTAATTTGACCGACTTATTTTTAAAAGTCGGTCAAAGATAAGCGAGACAATCTGATAAAAAATGGTCACTTAAAAAAATATCCAAACCATATCAAATGATTGAGCTGTCCGTTTATTAAGTAAATGGCGTACTACTCGTCTTGGCTTGATTCCATTACGAATAATTGTGATTATTCTGGGCTTGACAAATTCATTGGGTTCCTAAACAATATTATTAAATACTCGAATACCCCCTCCCCCCGTTCGAGTCTACTAACTTTTCTTAATATGTACATAATGGTAAGACTTTCGTCACTCACCGATTTACTCGAGTCCATTATGTACACCAGGGATCTGCCGAAAGATTTTAAAAACCGAAAAGGCGAAAGTCAATAAAAAAAGCTTAAGACGGGTGGCGAAAGTCCAAAAAAGGCGGAATTTTGGGGAAAGGGCCTTCCATCTATAAGGCGAGATGGCACACACCTGATGTACTCATTAAAGAAAACCATGAGGCCCAAACTAGGGGTTGGGATATCCAAAAAGTGACAAATATTTTAATTTAAATTCCAAACCCTTTGAAAAGTTTCTCTCAATCCTGAAGCAGTTGGTTCATTAGTTAATTTATTTGAAACAAATGACCAAATTGGTTGAGCGGCATTTGCATAGTCTATCTGTTTAAATTTGTCTGTTGAAGAAACTACATAACTTTGACCTTTAAAAAATTTATTTTTAATCGAAAAAAGTTGTCAAACCGTGTCTCAATTCTTCCAATCCATTACATGGTTCGCCTCCATTTGAACGAAAGACAAATCTGACTCCGTGAGGTAGAGCAAGTGAATCAATTAGAAAATGTATTTTTTGTAAATCTTCGAGGAATGCTGGCCAGGAACGTAATGAAGGAATTATTGTATACCAAATTCCCTGAAAATTATAGAAAATGTGTATATGATAAAAGAATCTCGGTGACAGAGGAAAATGGGATTTCTGGGTAGGATGAACATGTGGGAGGGAATTTAAGTTGTCAGAAAAAGGGTTGTAAGGGTTCTAAACAAAAAAAACTTTAAAGTCTCCCGTCTAAATATCTAATCCATTGACAATATCTAGTCTCGGTCTGTGCAAAAAAAAAACCCGTAGGTCGAGGCTTAGCGTTAGGATATAAAAAAACTCCAAACACTGGTGCAAAATAACAGGAAGAGGTTGCGAGGTGTCCAACCTAAAAACGGTCGAGACCGGGCTCATTCGATAGAGAATGTTGCCTTTCTAGTAGATTTTGATAAAAACGGGCAAAAACGGCTCAAAATCCTCGCTAGAAAGGGAACATTCTCTATCGAATGAGCCCGGTCTCGACCGTTTTTAAGTCGGACACCTCGCAACCTCTCCTTGTAAGATTGAAAAAGGGAATGTAAGAAGTTAAAAAATGCTCCTAAAGTCAAGCATGACTTAAAGTCTAATAGATTTTATAAAACCTTAAAAAATCTGTCTCCATTTCTATAAAGCCTAATTCTCTTTCCTTGTTCATTTGGTTGAAGTCGTTGAACTAGCGATTGGGTAATTTGTTCAATATTGTTGTTGTTTTCTTGTCCTTTCATTGGCGTCTTTTTTATTTCAATTTCATTATCTAATACTAAATTAGTTGAAGTTGAAGAAGAGCTTTTGTTACTTGAAATACTTCCAGTCATTTCTAAAACCATTTTATCTCTTAAAATTAAATTAATTAATCTTTTAAAGAAATCAAAGTTTAAATAATCAATTATTGGAAGACAAAAGACGGAACGGGCCAGTTGAGCGTGGCCGGTTGAGCGTCAGCCAACTTTGATCGGCTATAACTTTTTTCCGCTTGATTCAATACTAATGAATCATATATCATTCGAAAGCCCTCGTTAAGCGCTATATTTGTTTCAATTGGATGGATCATGATTGATCGCTATTTAAAAAGTTACAAGTCGATAAGTGTGAAAAACAACGATTTTCTGCACTTATCGACTTATAACGTTTTAACCGGGATCAGACTTGATCCATCCAGTTGAGATAAAGATTGGACTCATCGAGGGCTTTCGAATGATATATGATTCATTCGTATTGGATCAAGGCTAAAAAAGTTATAGCCGTTCAAATGTCGGCTGACGCTCAACCGGCCACGCTCAACTGACCCCAACCGGACAAAAGAAGAATCAAACAATTAATTATGCCAGTTATCCTCTTTTATTGTTGCTTTGTCAATTACAGCTGGATATTTTTAATCTCTTTTGTTTCTAGGACAAAGCAAAAAATAATAGAGCCTCTCCATATTCTGCCAAACCGACATTTTGCCAATAAGGCTAAAAAATGACATTTTGTCAACAGGCTTCTTGACAAAATGTAAATTTTAACCCTTGTTGGCAAAATATGGTATTGGCAAAATATGAAAGACAAAAATAATAGAAATGCGGAAAGAGGGATAATAAGAAAAGAAGAGACGCTAGAGACAAAAAGTTAAATTATAATTAAAATTATTTTTGGCGTTCTGATTTTTTAATTTTTTTTCTTTAACGTTTATTATTTTTACACGTTCTCTAATTACTTTTCTCGAATTATTTTATTTTGTTTGTCTAGCTTGTTGTTGAAGATTTTTCTTGAGAAAGCTGTCAATTTTTGTTTAATTTTCATTTAATTTTTTTAAATTTTTATATTTTCAGATTTTAAAAAATAAACGAAAAATGTTAGAAAACCTGGTTGCTTGGATTTTAAATAATTATATTGGCGAATACTTTTGTTTAAATACTGATCAACTTTCTGTTGCTTTTCTTCAAGGTTTTTATTTATATTAAATTTAGTAAGAGAGAGATGTAAAAGGATAACCGTAGGCATCATTCGACTGGCAGTTATGGCGAGTCGCCTTCTCTTTTTTGGGAGGCTGGGTGTGTTAAGGAAGAGATATTAGTTTGTAGTGATCGAGCTGGGTCGCGTCTGGACCGTGGCATGGGTTTTTCCCATACCTTGAGTCCAGGCCCAGACATTTTTGACATTCCTGGGTTTTTTGGACAACCCACGATCCTGCCCAGGTAAATAAGTCAAACAGACCCAGGCGTATCAAAAATCACGATTACTAGTTAGTAGGTATTTATACCTTATTTTCATCGGTAACAAGCAAATTTGGATTTGACGTTTTCTCCCACTTGATCGGTTATCTAGTTAAGTGCCATATATTGACCAATCTAAAGTATTTTTACCACTGTCACTGAACAAAATTTTTTTTATTTTTTTAAAATCAAGGTCAAGTTGATTTGGAAAACGTCCCTCTTCGTACTAGTTCGCTTAGAAAATTTGACATTCCTCTGCAAGTAAAACACGGATTAATTGGAAAATTACAACTTCAAGTGCCTCTAACTAGAATTCGTTCACAGCCATGGATTTTAAGAATACGCGATTTTTTGGTACTTTTGGGGCCTTATTCTTCAAATTATGATGTTGAAATTGTTGAACAATTTAAGCAACAAAATCTAGAAAAAATGCTTGATGAGTTGGAAATTGAACAAAAGGTTTTTTTAAATTTATTTGCAGGTTCTTTATTTTTAAATGATTCCATTAATAGATACACCTAATTTTAGGATTGTTTTTAAACATTTCTTTGTCAATTGGATGGGAAGCAGAGTTGTCATAATTACTTGAAATCCAATTTTTTGACCCGAACATTGACCCGGGAAATTTTTGAAACCCGATTAGTACCTGAACTAATAGTAAGCTTCCTGAATCTTTAAGGGTATAACTAGTTTCGTCAGGGCATAACGAGGTCTGGCTAATAATGTAGTTTGGGTGGGGAAGCTACCTAGGCGATAGTCTCCTTTTCAGAAGAGACTTTTTTCACAATACCTAGATTCGACTTTAAAAATTTTTTAAGAATATGTTTTACATTTTTCTTTCAGAAAAAACTCCTTTCACAGCTTGGAATTAAATTAAATGAAAATGAGGAACAAAATTCTTGGTGGGGAACAACTTCATTACTCTCTACTATTTCTTCTAATATACAGGTTTTAGATAAATGTGAAATTTTTAAATTGATTTTTAATTTTCTGAAGATTCTAGTTGAGAATGTACATATAAAATATGAGGCTACTGATTTTAATTTTGGAGTTCAAATTGATTCTTTAAATGTGCAAACAACAAATGCTCAATGGGTAAAATTTTTAAACTTAAAAAAAATTTTTTAGGGACTCATAATTCCCTTTTCTGTGAATTTTAGGGATTCTGAGGATTGGTTGTTGCACGTTTCTCATTTCCTATGTTTGTAAAAAGTAAAAATAGTGGAGATAAAGCAACACACTCAAGCATAATTTTCGGATTCTGTTTATTCTTTCCGGAAATCGGGGAGTGCCGGGTTATTAATGTCTGGTCGGGGTTTCAAATTATCTTCGGATCGAGTATCGGGTTTTAGATTGAATAAAAGTTTAGATTCTGTAACCTGACCCCCTATTTTTCAACCTTGATTTTTCTTTTTTTTTCAGCGTGTTGGCTTTGTTGATCCAACAGATGGGATTAATATTTTCAAAAAATTTGATGTCAAAGGTTTCTCAATTTATTGGAATCCTGAAAATACTTTGAATGACTCTCCTATTGTATTGCCTCTATCTTTGGACTCGTTGAAAGTTTTTTTTTTTAAAAATCAAAAAAATTTTAATTTTATAGGGATTCTTTTCTTCTCCATCAGAAAATGTTTATATTTTACAACCATTTACATTAGAATTGAGAATGGAAAAAAATAATTCACGTTTTCCTTTACGTTCAACTCTAATACCTCGTTTTAAGGTTTTTTTGTTTTTGTTTAATTTTTTTAAAATTTTTTCTCTTGTCGAACTTTAAAAAAAATTTTTTTCTGAAAAAAATTTCGAGAATATTACTGTCCGGGGGAAACAGATTTTTCGCCTGGAATATCAATTAAAAAAATTTAAATTAAAAATTTCCTATTGTCGTCGGCAGGCCCGTAGCCAGGATTTTTTTTCGGGGGGGGGGGGGGGGGGGGAAGGGGGGAAAATTTTTTCTGCGCAAAATTTTTGGCGCCGAAGGCGCCAAAAATTTTTACTTTCAGCGCCGCAGGCGAAAATTTTGAGAATTTTAAAAGGCCGTAGGCCGAAAAAATTCACTTTTTCGGCGCCGCAGGCGAAAATTTTTTGAATTTCAGAGGCCGTAGGCCAAAAAAATTCACTTTTTTGCCCCAGCCCTTCCCCAAATTTTTTCCTTTTTCCCATTTCGGGGGGGGGGGGGAATTCCCCCCCTCACCCCCCCCCCCCCCCCCCTGGCTACGGGCCTGGTCGTCGGATTGAACGTTGTTTGTAGTTTTACGTTTTTTTCAATGTTCCTCCCGAAATATTGAATAAAAATTTCTAACAAAAAAATAATTTCTTGAAAAAATTTTTTTTCTAGTTCAATATTCGCTCTCAAAGGATTGAATTAGAACTAACCCAAAAACAAATTGCTCAAATCCAACAATTTATGGATGATTGGGCAATGTTTGAACGTGCCCGTCCACATCGTAAATGGCGTCCAAATACTTCTATAATTTCTAGGTTTTTTTAAAAATTTTTCAAAAAATATTTTTTGGATTCCTTTATAAAGTCCTAAACGCTGGTGGCAATTTGCAATAAATCGCCAATTGGAACAAATCCGAAATAAAAATATTTGTCGTGAATCTAAAGCTTTATTTGCACGTCTACAACTAGTTAATACTTATTGTAAGGCTTATCGACACAGATTAAATTGTTTTTTGACGAGTCAGTTAAAAGGGTAAGGAAAAAATTTTTTTTATTAAAAAATTTTTTTTAACTCTAATAGAAGCCCCAGGGCATTTATTTTTTAATGGGCCTCATTTTAGGGATTTCTAATGGTGCATAGGCGTTTGTGGGAGATGGGCTTCTATTAATACATTTAATAAATATATTTTTTTCTTTTAAAGATCTCAAAATGTTTCTTCACCTTCCTTTGACGCAAATAAATTAACTATAAATGCTCCAAAATATTCACATGAAGAAACAACTCTAATTAAACAAATTGAACATGGTGCTGATTTTAGTTATACGGTTAGTTTTTAAGCCGAAAAAAATTCTCTCATTCCTTCGATCTGGTTTCGAAATGATAACACGGTTTTGGTTTAATAATCTTCTTATTTTGGTGTCTTACTTTCCTTGTTTCATTCTTTATCTCTGTTATTTTGTCTTGTATTTTTTAGTTTTTGTAAAATGACATTTGATCCCAATTTTTCGGACGGAGGTCCTTTTGCCTTTAAATTAAGGTTATTGGTCTGTGGAAAATCTTCTAATATCAGGAACTCGAACAAAGAATTCTCAGCTCTTCAATCTGGTTCCAAAATAATAACTTTATTTTGTAAATGTTTTGGCCTTTTTTTTAAATTTTATTTTTCTTTACAGACCTTAATTTATTTAATTTTAAGGATTTACACATTCTCCGTGAAGCAGTTTTTCAAAAAATGTTGTCAGAACTTAAATTACATTTTCCTTCTAATACTAATGAAAATTCAAGAACGTCAAGTCCTTTTCAAATTATTGAAGCAGAACAGGAAATAATAAAAGAAGAAAATAATAATATTTCAAAAATTTCTCATCAGCAACAAACTCAACAAAATGGAGGAGGTGGTTGGTTAAATTGGATGACTAATTGGTTTGGATCTGAAGAGAAAAATAATGGTATACTTTAAATATTTTTTTTTGATTATTTATTAAGGTTTGAACTTTTAAATCTGCTGGGTTCGGTCTGGTAAAGGATCTGTCCAGATTTTTTTAGTTAAAAATTAACTTGGGCTTGGATTTCTTGGCTTAAGCCTCGCAAACCCCCCGAAAACTTTGATTTTATCAAAATATCCGGTTTATGAGCTATCTGACAGGAAAACCCTGGACCCTGGACCCGTGTTCAAGTTCTAATATTTTTTAACCTCTTAAAAATGAATTTTATTTTTTCAGAATTTTTAGAAAAAGAAAATGATTTAATATTAAATGATTCTGTCTATTTAAATAATTTGTCTACACCAAAATTAACTAGTCCTAGGAGAGATCATGCGCTAAATCCAGAATTGGAAGAAATTGAAAAAAGAATGGAAACTGAAATATTACAGGTTTGGATTATTTTTTTAATTCAAAAAAATTTTTTTAATCCTTTTTTAAGATGTTAAATGACACTTTAGACGATTACAATATTTTAAGACGCGATAATTTATTGGCTGAACTTGTTATTAATTTTGCACGTGTACATTTACGTATAGCAACTGATAAGGTTTTTTTTGTTGGATTTTTTCATTTTTAATTTAAAAATTCGTCAAAAATCTGAAAAAAATATTTCAGATTTTTTTTTATTTTTTTTTTTCAAATTTTTTTTCTGAAATTTTTAAGGCCTCTAAACAAGAAAATAATGAAAAACAACAACAAAAAATTAATTTATTAATGTTAACTTTTGATTTGGATCAACTAAATGGACGTATTCAACTTTCACCTAAAGAACATAGAACTGAAATGTCAATAAATATAGGGGATTTAAGTATTCAACAAATGCAGCAACAACAACAATATATAAATAATTTTGAGGAGAAGAAAAAGGTAATGAGGGGGAACAAAAATGGTAAAAACTTGTTGTGAGAAGAATTGTAAAACTTGTTTTTGGAATTTTGTAAAATTCAGAAAATCGAATTTAAAAAAATAGCCTATAACGAAATTTTTTTTAATTTTCAAAAATTAAAAAAAAAATTTTTTAGGACTCCAATAATTCATCCAAAAATAATGACGATTCACTTTTTTGTGGTTTCCAAGAAGATATACTATCAAATTCTGATATTACAACAAATTTATTGTTTACAATTGGAAGACGAAATGAAAATAAAAAAACAAAAAATAATTTTTCTTCTATTGTTGAATTATTTTATAAAAGATTGGCACCAAAAATGGAAATATATCATGAATTAAATATTTGTTGTGCTCCTCTTGCCATGCTTGCTGATGATTGTTTTATTGCTACATTACGAGAGATTGTTGGAAAAGTGGAGGAAAATAATAAGGTGGGTGAAAAAGTCAGAATTTTATTTAAACACATGTTTTTACAAATTCTGAAAAATCAGAATTTTATTTGAACATGTGTTTTTTTACAAATTCTGAAATCAGAATTGTAATTGAACATGTGTTTTTACAAATTCTGAAAATCAGAATGTAATTTAAACACAGGTTTTTACAATTCTGAGATCAGAATTTTATTTAAACATGTGTTTTTACAAATTTGTAAAATCAGAATTCTAAATGAACATTTATTTTTACAAATTCTGAAAAAATATCCAGAATTTTTAATAATTAAAAACCAGAATTTTTAAAAATTACAAATCAGAATTTTTACAAATTTACAATTTGTAATTTCTTTCTCTCTCTCTTAAAAATACACATTAACTTCCATTGCCCATTTATTTATTGTTTTAATTGCTTCTCTCGCTTCACTACTTTTATCACGTTCTAATATTCGCATTGCTTCACGTAGTTCATCTAAATTACATTTATCAGCAGTAAACATTTTTACTACTCCAATACATGCTGCACATTTTGGTTTTGAATAATTGAAATTTTGTTGATTGTTTATCCGATTTTCACGTTTTTCCATTTCATCAAAAGCTTTGGCTGCTATTAAGTAATCTTCCAAACTGAAACATTCAAAAATAGAATTTATTGTAACGGAGGAGATAAAGGTTAAGCGACTCGAGAAGGCATAAATCCTACGTCCACCTGTGGCAGCTATTGCTAGAGGCTTTGGTTCACCATTTGCAGGGATGCTCTACTGAGTGATTATGAGCTATCGAGGGCAATGCTTTCACCTTCTCTTTATTAATAAATCTTAAACCCACGCCTTGTAAGCTTTTTAATTGCTAACAATAAACCGGCCTGATTTCCCTTCCTTACATTATCAAGAAAAAATTTTAATCACCGATAACAATCATTTGCAATCAGTCTTAAAATCATTTGTGAATTTGGAATGTGTTTCTCTTTCTGGTAAACTCCCCAAGCTTCTTTTCCATTCCCATTAGCAATTTGTGCGCGCGTTAAGCAAAGGCAATAAATTAATGTTGAAGTTGTTTGATGTCCATTTATTTGTTTTAAAATTTTTTCTGCTTCAACAAAATTATCTAACATAAGTTGTGTTTGTCCATAATTAAAATTGAAGATTTCGTCGTTTGAAAAGAATGTCTTTATAAAATTATAAAAATTTTTGGAAAATTCTTTGAAATTTATTTTGGCTTTCCTTCGACTCTGGTTTAGTTTGTACGTCCAATGAACTTTTATGAGTTCATTAGTCTAGTTTATTCGTTATATTTTTCATTGGCCTCTTAAACTGAACCAGAGTTTTCTTTTTTTGTTACCCTTATTGAATCCAAATAGACTAGAACTTCATCAAACTGTTTTCTTAAAAAATGGGCAGAAGCCATGCTTTGTCTTCCTATTATTGTATCACATTCTGCTGGTGATTCTCCAACAATTTTGAAAAATCCTGCTGCCGCGTTTAATAGGTCTTGCTTTAAAAAATGGATTTTTTTCAATTTTTAGATTAATTTTTACCGAATTTTCTTCAATTCCTTTAATACAAAAAGTAATAGCTTTAAGTAAATATTCATAAGTGCTTTGTGGTTCTATATTTTTCATCAATACAAATGCGGCATCTGTATCGTTCTTTTTCAGATGATATATAGCTAAGTTTAAACGAGCTTCTGGTACAATATCAACAAGTGTTGGAAGTAATTGTAAAGCTCCGTCTCCATTGCGAAATACAACCTTTATTTTTGAATTTACTCGGGTACACTCGTGGATATAATGAAGTGTGTTTTAAATGGGTATATCACTTAGGAAGCTCCAATCACCTAGTGGCTCCCTCGACCTTTTGGTCTCCTTAAACTTCTAGCTCCTTCCTCGACCTACTTGCGTTCCTTTATCCAGTGGCCTTCGCCTAGTGACCACAAATTAATTTCAGAAAAAGATATCTTAAAGTGAGGTGTATTCCTAATTTAGAGAGTATTTTGTAGGACTGAATTATTTTTAAATTATTTTTCAAAAAATTAATTTACCGTATTATGTAAAATAATATCCTTTGCAAAATTCAATTCGCTAGTAGACATACTTTTCAAAGCTTTCAGCTCATTCTCTGCTGCTTTAGAATTATATAATCTATATTGGTTGCACGCTTTTAAATTAACTGCAATAGGGCTATCAGAAAATTTATCCAAATAAATTTGTAGCATTTCCATAGAAATATCATAATAATCTAATTTATAATAACAAAGAGCCATATAAACATTTATTGCTAAATAAGTTTTGTTTTTGCTCAAAACTTTTTTGTAAATGTCTATAGCTTGTTGGTAATGTGATCGGAGATAATGAACAGAAGCTAAACAAAGTTGGTCCTCTGTTGTGTCTTTTAATTGTCCGTGATGGGAAACAACTAAAAATATTAAAATCAGAATTTGACAAAAACATCAAAAAATACAATCAGAATTTAATAAAAACATCAAAAAATACAAAATCAGAATTTAATAAAAACATCAAAAAATACAATCAGAATCTAATAAAAACATCAATCAATACAATCAAAATTTAATAAAAACATCAAAAAATACAATCAGAATTTAACGAACACAACAAACAGAAACCAAAAAATACAAAATCAGAATTTAATTTCAACAAGTTTAAAACAAAACAAACATAACAACATTTAATTAGAACATCTAAAACACATAAAAATAAAACAGAACAAACATAATAAAAACAGCAAACAAGCACATTTAAATAAAAACACACAAAAACATCAAAACAAAAATACAAAACATTTAATAAATGACATACGGCTTTTCTTATCATTAATTTTGTGAGCAACATGAAAGAGTAACCTTGTTTGTAGGGGGCCTTTGGATGCTTTAAAATTAAAAACATTTTTAAAAATTTATTTCTGCCTGTTCTTACCTTTTTCTGCCACTTTTTTAGCATTTTCATATAAACCCAAAAAGAAAAAAGAACATCCCAAATATAAATAAACTTCATTAGGACAATGTTTATCCCCCAACATTTGTTCATAAATATTTTTTGCATTTCTATAATTTGCTGCGTGAAAATGGCAATAACCTAACCATAATTTTAAATTCATTAATTCATCGTTATTTTTTGAATTTATTTTTTCATGCTTTTTAATTTTATGTTCAAGTAAAGATATTGCCCCCATATAATCACGCTTTTCTAAAAATTTATTTAATTTTTTAAATAATCCTTCTTTTGTTTCATCTTCACTTTCTTGTCTATTTTTACTTGTTTCTTTTTTATTGTTGTTGTTTTTGTTGTTATCTTCTTCTGATTTTTTATTTCGTCGAAATCTTGAAAGCAACATTGTTTTTGTGTTTCAGATTTTATTCTAAAACAATAAAATTAAATAAAATCAGAAAAACATATAATAATTGAGAAATACAAAATCAGAATTTAAAACAAACATTAATTTATTATAACAGAAAAATCAGAATTTAATCTAAACATCAATTAAAACAAAAAATATATAGAATTAGAATTTAAAACAAACATTAGTAAAACAATTAAAATCGTAATTTTATTCAAACAAATAAAATTTTATTGTTAATAAGAATTAAGACAAATATTTTTAGTTTTAAAGTTTTTATTTTTGTTTGGGGTTTTTATTACTATGGAAACGCGCTTTTTATGTAACATGCTTTCTTTTAAAAATTCTAAATTTGGGTAATATTTAAAATGGGAAAAATTATAAAAGATTAAAATCTCAAATAGCTCAAAAATATATTTAAAAAATTTTTTAAATTAAAATTAAAAAGTTATTTCAGAGCTTTCAACATTCATCTCCATCCACCAGCAATTTTTCTACTACTTTTAAATCATCAGATGAATCTTCTTTGATACTTCATCAAATATTTATTTCTGCAACAATACCTGAAGTATTTTTAATTTAATAATATATTTTAAAAAAAAATAATTTTCAGCTTTTAATTGAACTTAGAAGCCAAAAAGCTGCGCAAGACTGTATTTTATCAACATTACCAAAACATAGAGAAGAACAGAATAATAAAAAAAGGACAAGAAGAAAACGTACCTCAAATTCTATTCTGTTCCCGTTAAATTTTGATATTGATGATGTTTACAACAATGTTGAGGAAGAAGAATTTAATGTTGGGGAGAATAAAAATAATTTTGAACATCAGAAAAACACAACAACAACAAATGACAAAAACAATCAGAATTTAAAACAAACAACAACACAACAACAACATCAACACAAAAACACAACAACAACTAATAACAAAAACAATCAGAATTCAAAACAAACATCAACACAACAACAGCATCAACACAAAAACACAACAACAACAAATGATAAAAACAATCAGAATTTAAAACAAACATCAATTAAAACAAGAAAATATGAACACAACATTAATAAAAATAAAAACACAACAACCTCAACAACAAAAACATTTGATAAAAATAAACTTGTTTTTACTCCAACAACAACAATTTCAAACGAACATTCAAACTTTACAACAATAGAAACATCGTCGTCATCATCTTTTGTTTTTGCTAGTGTTTGTGGATTATCATTTACATTTATTAAAAAACATTTACAACAACAAAAATTAAATAAAATTAATGTTGGATTTGATTCGTTTAATTTGAAAGATTTATTTGAGAAAACAACAAACAAAAATGGCGATATGTTGCTTAAAATTGGGAAGGAAAAGGTGGTCACTTTTAATAAAAATGGGGTAAATTTTGAAAATTTTTTTATTAATTTAAAAATTAAAAAAAATTTTTTTAAGCCTGATGGAACTGTTCGTTCTCTTTCTTGTCCAGATCTAACAACAAACAACGGTTCCAAAAATTCGAACAACAACAACAACATTTCTCCCAACAAAACAACTGAAAATTCTGATTCTCCCTCAAATTTAGCTTTAACATCTTTATTAAATGAAAATTTATTTGTTGGTGAAACAGAAAATAATAATGTTTGTAATAGACATCAGACAATGCCCACAACAAAACAACAGCAACAACAAGTGGACAACATTGTTTCAAACATTAAACAACAAAACCAGAAGAAAAAACATTGTATTGAAGTTGTATTCGATCCTAACAAACATGAAGAAGTTGAAACAAGTTGCAAAAAGGTGTGTGTTTTTGTTGTTAGATATATATCAGAATTTAAAGTTCAATCAGAATTTAAAGTTTAATTTCTGAACAAGTTTGTATTTATGAAAAAAGTTTTTTCCCATAATTCTGAAATTCTGATTCAAGTTTATTTTTTAATTCAATAATTCTGATTTTTTTCAATGTTTTTAAAAAATTCTGATTTATATTAAACTTGTTTTTCTCAGGCAAATTGTATTGTCACAGGGAATTTTGACGACGAACAAACAAATGTTGAATTATTTATTAATCGACGAACATGGCTACTTTTAATAGACTTTTTTGGTTTTTGTTCAACTTCTGATATTAATAATAAAAATGTTTTGGACAACAATAACAACAATTATATTATGAATATTGAATTAAATATTTCTTCTAATTTAATATTATCAATAAATTATCCAAAAAGTGAATTAACTCCAAAATTGGGTATTGTTTATATTCAAAAGCCTACGTTTACTGTACAGGTGAATAAATTTTGTTTTAAAATTTTTTTTTAATTTTAGAAATTTTTTTAATAGAAAGATTCTTTAAAAAATCAGAAAAATTTTCTCTAAAAAATTTTTCAAAAAAAAATTAAAAAATTATTTTTTTAGATAGATTTGAACGTTTCAAGTGATCCGATCCTTATATCGATGCAAGCACATAGTTTTTCACTTACCGATGAAAATTCACAAATATATTCTCAGCGTTTACGAGTTGGAAATTTTGACAACAAATTAAACGGGAAATCAACACCATGTATTAAAATGAAGCTTATAAAGTGAGAAAAAAATTTTTTTAATTAATTTTTTTTATTTTTTTTTGAAGGAATCGTCGAAATTTTAATTCTTCTTTAAACAACAATAACAACGATTTTGATATTTATTTAAATCTAAAAATAATTAATGATGTTGTAGTTAATTATATACATTCACATCGTTATTATTATGCTTTGATAGATTTTTGGCTTCAATTTTCTGAAATTTATGATCGCTTATTTATTGAAAATGAAATTAATAAACAATCAAAACAACAATTATTTGGTCAACAAAACTTGTTTGATAATTTACTTAAACTTCGTTGTAAACTTGATATTGAATTTACTAGTGGATTAAATCTCTATATCCCTTCAAGTGAAAATTCACATAAATCTGTGCTTTTTGAATGTGACAAAATTTTAATTTTCAATAAATTCTGTCGAGCTTCACAAATAAAAAATTTGCTTCAAAAACATTTGGGAGAAAATTTGTTTCGATTACAGCAACAACAACAATTAAATAATAATAATTTAAATGAAAATGCTTCACCTTTATTGGATGTTATAAATATAAAAATACAACATTATTCCGTTTATTATGGAAATTTTTGCAAAACAAAAAATATAAACAAGAATGAAAGAATATCAAACAAAAACGGTAAAATGTTATAATTTAATTTGTTTTTTACAATTTGTAATTACAAATTGTGGAATAATTAAATCAGAACTTTTTTTACAATTTGTAATTACAATTCTTAACAAGTTTTTATATTCTCAAAACTTTTTTACAATTTGTAAAGTTCTGAATAAGTTTTAAATTAAAGTTTATTTTTTTTACAATTTGTAATTACAAATTCTGACATGTTTTTATGTCTTCGAAACTTTTTACAATTTGTAATTACAAAATGTAGTATAAGTACATCAGAACTTTTCTACCATTTGTAATTACAATTCCTACAATTAACAATATTTTATGTTCTCAGAACTTTTTCTACAATTTGTAAAGTTCTGAATTAGTTTTAGATTAAGTTTTATTTTTTACAATTTGTAATTACAAATTCTGAATGTTTTTATTTCTTCAGAACAAATTTATTATTAAGATTATTTTATTAAAGATTTCACTGGCTACACATTTCACAAATTACAATCTGTGGTTGAAAATAATAACAATAGCAACAATCCACACCAGGAAATACAACTTTACAGAAATCTGTCTACTCGGACTACACATGCTGGTGGGTTTATTTTTTAATACTATAAAAAACAATTTTTTTCTTTTTTTATGTGAGCATTTTTAATTTTTTTAAGTCTTTTTTTTTAAACATCTTCATCTGTAAGATAATTTCGCACCAAAAAGGAAAACTGAAAATTTTTTTTTGAAATTTTTTTTGAATTTTTTTTTAATTTTCACCTCATCAAAATCAATAAAACCATCTCCATCAACATCATATTCTATAAATAATTCCTTTAAAAAATTTGTTTTAACAATTTTTACATATTTAAAATTAACTAACATCTATTAGTCTGCTATTTTGTATATCTCCAAGTTCGCGCTTAAAATTTTTTTAAGTGTTCTGATTTTTAAGTTTATTTTTTTATATTTTAATTCAAGTTTATTTTTCTGATTTTATTCGAGTTTATTTTTACCTAACTTTTACAACTTGTAAAAGTTTTAATCCAAGTTTATTATTTTAATTTTACAAATTGTAAAATCTAAGTTTATTTTTATGTTCTGATTCAGGTTTATTTTCTTTTGATTCAAGTTTTACAAATTGTAAAATTCAGGCTTCTTTTTTGTTTACAAATTGTAAAATAAATATTACCAGTACAAAATCGAAATCCTTTTTAGAAATTAATCCAGACTCGTTTCTATCAAACACATTGAAACATTCTTTTATTACTTCATTCCATGATTGTGTTTTTTCGCTTGTTGTTTTCATAACTTCACAAAACTTAAAAAAATTTATTTTTATATTTTTCTCTAATATTTTTTACTTACTTCATCAAAATCTATTTGATGATTTCCACGTTTGTCAGCTTCTCTCATTAACATTTCTACATCAATTTGTTTTGAATCCATTCCTAAATTTGTAATTGCACTCTCCAATTCTTCAATACCAATAGCACCGCTTCTGTCTGCGTCAAACATGTTGAATATCTTTTAAAACATGTTTTTAGTCAATAAGTTTGTTTTATTTTACAATTTGTAAATTCTGATTAAGTTTATTCTAGTGTTTTTACAATTTGTAATTTTCTTTATTTTAATTTTACAATTTGTAATTCTGATCAAGTTTATCTATTCTATTCTTTTACAATTTGTAATTACAAAATCTGTTCGTTATTTCAATTTTTACAAATTGTAATTTCAAGTGCTGAATAAGTTTATTTTACAATTTGTAATTACAATATCTGAACAAGTTTATTTATTTTATTTCTTACAATTTGTAATTCTGATCAAGTTTATTTATTCTATTCTTTTACAATTTGTAATTACAGAATCTGAACAAGTTTATTTTATTTAATTAACCTGTCTATACTCTTTCAATTCCTCAGTCGTGTATTTATCCAATTTTGTTATTAGCCCTCCTCTCATTGCAGAATTTCCACCGCCATCATCAGTTCTTTCAGCAGAAGATGAAGAAGCAAATTTTGCCTGTAATGAACGAATACTTTTTCTACTTTCTCTATAATCATTATTTATATTTTTATTATTATTATTATCCAAAGATTGAGATTTTTGATTAAATTTATTTGGTTTTTTTAAATTTAATCGAGAAGATAGGCCAATTGTTGTATTATTTGTCATTGAAGGATATTTTTTATTTAATATAGAACTTCTAATCCAACTTAGTCTTGTTGAATTATTTGTAATAGTATTGGAAGCATTGTTGTTGCTAGTTGTAGTTGTAAAAAAGTTGTAATTGTAATAATTCTGATTTTTTCTTTCTTTTGTTGTAATTTTATTATCAGAATTTGTAATTGTTTCAGAATTAATTTCTTCTGTTTTTGTGTTATTGTTCAAATTATAATAATAGGGTGTTGGTATTAATAAACTGCTACTACTTTTTTCATCACTTTCATTATTATTATTATTATTTTTTCCGTTGCTGAATAGTGAACTTTTTGAATGTTTTTTTGATGTTGAGTTGAACATGCTTTTCTTTCTCTTCTTTTTTATTTGGACTTTTTTGGGGAGATTTTCTTGGGAGTTTATTTGTGGATTCTTAGGTGTATTTCCGAAAGGATTTTTCGGTGTTTTTTGTGTATTGAAAATTTTTTTTAGTACTTTTTTTTTAAAATGAACTCATTTTTGGATTAAGAAAAAAAATTTTTTTGGATAATATTTTGTAATAAATACCTTCAATTTTTTAAAAAAAGCTTTTGAAAAGGATATTTATATGTGGATGATGTGGTTAGTGCCAATTTTTCCTCATTGAAAAAAATAATAATAGAAGGCCAATTTTGTTTGTATATTTTTGAAAAATGGAAGAGGGGAAATAAAGGTTTTTAAGAGAGCTTTATTTTTCAGGAAATAAAAATATATAGGGGAATTTTATTTTTATTTTTGAAAAAAAAATTTTTTTTGAATTTTTTTTTCAAATTTCTACTTACAACTCTAAACGGTCCTCCAAACAGTGTTGCTCTTCCACTACTTCCTTGTGCCATTAATAATGAACTAAAGAATGGTGTTCCACCGCCTGTTGCTGTTCGATTTCTTGAATTTGCGCTTTGTCTACGGCTTGAATTTAAAGTTTGTTGTTGTTGTTGTCCTCCGCTTATTCCGCCTGCTACTAATAATAATTCATTTGCACTATTTTGATTAATTGTTGTTTTTGGTGTTGTTGTTGTAAAGGGCATTTTTAATTTTCTTGTTTTTGAATGGTTTGGGTAAAGGCACAAGTTGGGGGAAAACTGAAAGTGAGAATAAACTTTAAAATAAAATCAGAATTTTATAAAAACATGTTTGTTTTTAATTCTGATTAAATTAAAAACAAGTTGGTTTTCTATCAGAATTAAAAATAAACTTGTTTTGCAAACTTAAGTCAGAATTAAAATACAACTTGTTTTGATTCTCTCAGAATTTTAAACAAACATGTTTTACAAACTTAAAAGCACAAACTTAAGAAACTTAAAAATTAATGTTAAAATAATATTAAAAGAGTAATTGTCTCAAGCGCCTTTTTTAAGTGTATCCCATAGCAATAAATATTAAATAAAAATGTTTTCCGGGAATTGTTTATATTATTATTAAATACTTGAAGGGAAGGTTGAAGGGCAATATAAAATAATATTCGACTGTTATAGTAACGTCAAATGTTTTTTTTATTTTTGCCATTGTGCTTGTTTTTTAAAAATAGGGAATGAAAAAGAGAATGAAAAAGAGAAAAAGAATTAAAATGAAAATATATTACATGCATTTTTATGGAAATGAATACACTTGCTTATATCTTTTTTCTACTTTAAGCCTTTATTTTTTTAAAAGAAAATCAATTAATAATTAAAATATGTAAGAGCAAATTGAAAAAAAAGAATAAAGGGGTATTTTAGGAATTGTAAAATAAGTTTATTAAAAATTCTGGTTTTGATTAAATTCTGGTTTTTTAAACAAGTTTTAAAACAAGTTAAGCAAGCTTGAGCTTTTCTAAGTTTTAAATTCTGATTTTTTTCTTTTTAAGTTTGTTTAAAATTCTGAGAATAAACAAACTTGTTTTTATAAAATTCTGATTGATTTCCGGTTTAAAAACAAGTTTTGAAACAAGTTGAGATTTAATTATGATTGTTTTTAATTCGATTTAATTAGTTATTTAAAAATTGTAAAACAAGTTTATTAAATAATTCTGATTTTTTAAAACAAGTTTGTTTAAAATTCTGATTGAATTATAAACAAACTTGTTTTTATAAAATTATTTTTTTTCAGTTCCCGACACTCTCGTAATTCTACGTCTTGAAAATTTAATTATAAACTGTACCAATGATTTTTACAAACTTTTATATGAATCTATTAACCACAATTTTGGAGAACAATTAATTTTACAACCTGAACTTATTCCTAATGAATTATTGGAATTTTCTGAAATTGATTTGGGAGAACCATTAGAAAAATATGCTACATTTTGTGTTAGATTACAATTAAAAGGGGTTCAAGTAAGGGAAAAAAATTTATTTTTTAATTTTATTTTTTAAAATTTTTAGTTAAATTTATTAACACCATCATCACCTTTTGAAACAAATTCTTTTGAAAAATTTGCAACATTTTCTTTAAATTCAGTCAAAGTTTTATTCAATTCTTTTATTGATTCACATTCTGAAATTGATATAATTATTAAAAGTGCAACATTGGAAGATTCTACAAATTGTAAAAAAAATTTTGAATTAAAAAAATTATTTTTTGTATTTTTTAGCAAATACAGCAGAGCCTTTCAAAAAATTACTTAAAGCGCGTCATGAAAAAAGTTACAATAAACATGTTGCTTCAACTTCAGCAACTAAAAACATGTATGTAAGAATTCGAAAATGTTTATTTTAAATTCTGGTTTTTAAAATTAAATTATTCGAAATCAGAATTTATTTAAAACTTAGAATTGTAAAAAAGAAGACCTCTTTTACAAATTCTGATTTTAACGACTGTTTAATTTATTTCAAGTTTTACAAATTCTGATTGTTTACAACTTCTGATTTATAAAACTTGAAATTAATTTCGAGTTTAATTCTGATTTTTACAATTTCTGATTATTTTTACAAATTGTAAAATTAAATATAATTTTTCTTTTTTATAGTGAAAGCAAAAAATTGCTTTGTGAATTACATATCCAAATGGCTCATAATGAATGCCATATATTTTCATTTATTCTAATTAAAACTCGTGTTTTTCTTCTTTTTGAATGGATTGAAAAGCTTAAATTATTTCTTTTACTTGTTAATAATTTAAATTCTAATGGTAAGAATTGAATATTTTCAAATGATATTTAATTAATTTTTTAGAATTTTCTTCAAAAAATGGAATTCATTGTCGTAGCAGTTCAACAACAACAATTCAACAACAAAAACAACAAAAATATTTTAAGAATAATTCATTTCAAGCAGAATTAAACAACTCATTATTATCCACTTCATCTTCTTCAACAAATATAATTAATCAAAATAAAATTATTTCAATGTTTAAAATTACACTAAAAGATTGTGAATTAATTATATTAGAAGATGAAAGTAAATGTGACAGTTTTGCTTTAATTACAAATTGTAGTGGTGTAATTTTATATAATGTCTATGAGGATAATGAACTTTATGATATACAATGTGAAATACAGGTAAATATAATTGAATTTACAATTTGCGAAAATTTTACAAATTCTGAAAAAAAGTTTGATAAATTGTAGAAAAGTTTTACAAATTCTGAAAAAAGTTTTACAAATTCTTAAACAATCCTACAAATTCTGAAAAAAATGTTTTACAAATTGTAATAATGTTTTACAGATTCTGAAAAAAGTTTTACAAATTGTAAAAAAGTTTTAAAATTCTGAAAAAAAAGTTTTACAAATTGTAAAAAAGTTTTACAAATTCTGAAAAAAGTTTTACAAATTGTAAAAAAGTTTTACAAATTGTAAAAAAGTTTAAATTCTGAAAAAGGTTTTACAAATTCTGAAAAAAGTTTTACAAATTGTAAAAAAGTTTTACAAATTGTAAAAAAGTTTTAAAATTCTGAAAAAAAGTTTTACAAATTGTAAAAAAGTTTTACAAATTCTGAAAAAAGTTTTACAAATTTTGAAAAAGTTTTACAAATTGTAATTATAATAAAACAAACTTTTTTTGCAAATTCTGATTTTTCACACAATTTCAGAACTTTTCTCTATCTTGGTGTTTAATGAATTGTGAAAAATCAAGTTTAACTCAAATTACAAATGAATCAAATGCAACAATTAATATTCAAATGTCAAATAGCAACAAAACATCAATTAAAGAAAAAACATTATTAAAATCTTCGATTATTGATGGAATAGAACATTTATTATTAAAACAAAAACAACAAAATATTCAAATAAATTTGGGGGCGTTAATTATAAGAAGTTCATTGAAGGTAAGGGAGAGAGAGATTTTCTTCTTTAAAAATTTTTTTATTTTCAGGATTTTTTTATTATTAAATATATTATTGATAATGCTTTAATTACTTGGGAAAAATCACAAACTCAATCATTTTTTTGGTCTGATTCAAATTTTGTTAATACTAAAAATTCTTATCAAATAATTCCTAAAAAATGGCGTTTTAATTGTAATCAACTTTGTATTTGGATTTTAAAAGAAACTACGGCAGCAACAACAACAAATTCTAGTGGTAGTATGGCTCCATTTTTGCGTTTTAATTTATTCGGTAAAAATTTAAAAATAATTAATTTTTAATTAAATTTATTTTTTTAAGGATTAAATGCGCATTGGACCTCTCGCCATTTAGAAACAAATTTTTCTGTTAGTATAGATAATTATCGTGAACGTGCACCTCTTGGTTGGGAGCCATTATTAGAATGTTGGCGTATTGCAAGGCTTGAATTGGAAGAAAATGCTCAACAAAAATGGAATTTATGGTTAAGACCGGGTATGGAAAATTTTTTTATTTTTTTTATAATAGAAAAAAATTTTTTTCTTTTAATTTTTAAGCAGATGACAGTCTAGCAGAATTAAATATTACGCAAACATTTGTTGAGGATTTGATAGATTTTATTGAAATTAATAATAAACTTTTTTTACAAACAACAACAACAAATAAAACTTTAAATTTAATTGAACAAACAAGAAATCAGAATTACAAAACGTCAAAAACAACAACAAAAACATCAATAAACAATGCTGATAATAATTCATTTTCGGAAAGCTATAAAATTCAAAATCAGAATTCTGCTTCGGGTAGTGCAAAACAACGCTCAAATTCTTTCCTTTCTACTTCTACAAAATACATGTCAAGGTAGAGATAATATATTTCAGAATTTGTAAAATAAACTGCAATTTTAGAATTAAATTAAACTTTCTTTTACTAATTGTAAATTTAATAAAAACATTTTTACAATTTGTAAAATTAATAAAAACATTTTTTACAATTTGTGAAATTAATAAAAACATTTTTTACAATTTGTAAAATTAAATAAACTTTTTTTACAAATCGTAAAATTAATAAAAACATTTTTTTACAAATTGTAAAATTAGTAAAAACATTTTTTACAATTTGTAAAATTAAATCGACTTTTTTTACAATTTGTAAATTCAATAAAACTTTTTTACAAATTGAAAAATTAATAAAAAACATTTTTTACAAATTGTAAAATTAAATAAACTTTTTTTATAAATTGTAAAATTAATAAAAACATTTTTTTACAAATTGTAAAATTATTAAAACATGTTTTACAATTTGTAAAATTAATAAAACGATTTTTACAATTTGCAAAATTAATTCAACTTTCTTTTACAAATTGTAAAAAACATTTTACAAATTCTGAAATAAGTTTCACAAATATAATCTTTCTTTACAAATTGTAAACTCTTGTTAAATTTAGTGTTTGTAAAACTTTAATTAAACTTAATTTTGTACAAATTTAATTTTAAGATGTAATGCTTTTGATTCAATCAAAATTTCAAATCCTTCTGATATTGATCTTAACATACAATTGGATTTACCTGCTGGAATAGGAATTTCACTTATTGGAAATAATTGTGAAAATAATTTCAACAACAATTCTATCGACGAATTACAACAACAAGAAGAATTAATTTATGCCCGTTTTTATTCTGTTCGTATAGGCATTTTAAAACATCAAAATAATACTTATGTTTTTAATTGTTCTTCACAGTCTATACAAGTAGAATTTTATTTAATTTTTAATTAAAAAAATTATTTTAAAGTTTGATAATCAAATTCTTGGGGCCGATAGGCATAATTTATTTTTTTGTGATCCTAATGCTCTTCGGGATGAACCTGTGGTTGGCCCTTTTCCAGCACTTAATTTTGAAATGAGTTATACTTCAACAGATATATTGGATGCATATGAGGTAGAAATTGACAAAAAAAATTTTTTTAATGTCTTTTTAAAGTCTTTTCGTCTTAAACTTTGTAATTCTTGTGTTCTTCTTGATGAACAATTAATTTGGAGACTTGTATATTTTATTAAAAATATTGTTGAATATACTAGAAGAAATAAATTGAAAGAAAAACAACAAAATGAAAAAATTCAAACTCAACAAGTGACTAAAAATTGTTATTTTGGTGCATTTCAACTTGAATTTGGAGATATTTCTCTTTCTGGTAAAATAAAAATTAGTTTTTACAAATTGTAAAAATAGTTTTACAAAATTAAATTGTAAAACTTTTTTTTACAAATTCTGAATTTATATATATTTCAGAATTACAATTGTAAAAAAAGTTTTACAAATTCTGAAGTTTTATGAAAATCAAGTTCTATAGTTTTACAATAATTTATTTTACAATTTGTAAAATTTAAAGTTTTACAATTTGTAAAACTTATCAGAATTTGTAAAAACATGTTTAAATATGTAAATAAGTTTTACAATAAGTTTTACATATCATAAAAAAGTTTCAATTAAGTTTTATAGTTTTACAATTATAAAGGTAAAGTTTTACAATAAGTTTTACATATTATATAACAAGTTTTTACAAATTCTGTTGTTTTTACAAAATTTACAATTCCAACTTTTTTTCTTTCAATTTTACAAAATCTTTTAATTTAAGTTTTAACTACCGACAAAAATGCTTTACCTCCTTGTTTACGGATACTTAAAGAAAGATATGCTGAAACACTTTTACTTGTTAATTTTGAAAATGCTTTAGTTACCCTTGCACCATTTTGGGCTCATCGCTGTTTAACAACTTTAAATAATTTATTTGCTAATATTGTTGATTTTTATATTGGTGGGGTTATTAAAATTAAAAAAAATTATTTGAAATTTTTCAAAAAAAATTTCTAAAATATTTGTAAATTCTTAAAAATAAATTTTTGTTCAAGGCCAACTTAAAAAACAAAAATTAAATATTTTTGTCGCAATGGATGCAATTGGAAATCCTAGTGGATTTGCTACAGAATTTAAAGAAGGTTTTGAGGGCTTACTATTTGAGGGTGATGTTGCTGGTTTTACTTTTGGTATTGGTTATGGAGCTGCTAATAGTATTTCTAAAGTTGCTAGTTCAATGGCACAAGGAGTTGGGGCTTTAACTTTTGATGGTAAGTTTTTTAAGAAAATTTTTTCAAAAAATTTTTAAAAATTTTTTGAAAAAATTTTCTAAAAAAAATTTTTTTTCTAAAAAGATCAACACGAACAATTTCGTCGTTGGATGTTACGTTCAAAACCTGAACATGAAGCTAATGCTTTAGGCTATCTTTATGGAGGACTTAAAGGTTTTGGTGTTGGTGTATATGGAGGATTAACTGCAATTGCTAAAAATACATTTGTTGCAGCTAGACAAGAAGGGGTTTTACCGGTAAAAAAATTTTTTTTATTTATTTATAGTAAATTGGGGGTTGTTGGCGACCAGTAAATTTTCGCTTGTGGCAGCAACACAGACAGGAAATTATAACCGTTCGCCATTTAATTAACTTTCCTTAAAATAATACAAACCTGAGGCTTGATTTATCTTTCAATTTACTTTCACAATTTTACAATTTGTAATTTCTGATTTGTAAAATTTTTAAATATATTTTATAGGGTGTCATTCGTGGTGTTACAACGGGCGCTGTTGACACTTTCACAAAACCATTGCAAGGAACATTAGATCTTGTAGAAGGAACAGCTTCTGCTATACGTGAAGTTGTTGGTGCACCGCTTGGTTCTTAAAAAAATTTTTTTTCTTTAAGAAAATTTTCCCCTTCTTTTAAGTACGCCGTGCACATTTCCCTAAAAAACGTTTACGTTTACCTCGTGTTTGTTCTTCTATGAATGGTTTACTTCCTTTATATTCTAATGAATTGGCTGAAGCACAACAAGTACTTAGATAATCATATAAATAAAAATACTCAAATATTATTTTAGGATTTATTACGAATTACAGGAACATATGCTTTAAATGACGATAAGTTTGTATTTTCTCTAATAATATTTTTTAAATAATTTTTTTACAATTGACTTAAGTTTGTATTTTTATTCACAACTTATTTTATATTTCCCCCATTTTGTATTTTCGATTATTTTTTACAACCTTTTTTACAATTAAGTTTGTAAAACATCTTTAAAACTTATTCTTCGTTTTTACAATTTCCTTAAAATATTTCTTAAAACATTTTTTTACAATTCTCCAAGTTTTCAAGTTTTACAATTACAATTAAGTTTGTTTCAAGTTTTCATAATTTTTTTTCAAGTTTTTCATAATTCATCAAGTTTTTACTATTTCCCCTTTTTAAGTTTGTATTTTTTCTAATATTCTCTTAAAACTTTTTCTTTTTACAATTCTTTAAGTTTTACAATTTTACAATTACAATATATTAATATTCATATAATTTTATTTTTATATTTTTTATAGCCGTCTTCTGTGTATCGTTCCTTTCTATGAACGTTTTACCCCAGAAGGATGGATTATTCGTCATCGTGCATTAATTGTTCCCTCTCAAAGTTATATTTGTAGAAATATTGTTGAAGGAGGAGGACAAGAAAATTTAAATTTTGAAGAAAAAACAATTGTTACCCACAGAATACTTTTTGAACATTTAAAAAATGTTCAAATTTCCTCTTCAAATAATAATTTAAATAAATATAAAAGATCTTCATCTTCTTCAAATTTAAAAACAACAACTACTACTACAACAACAAATTGTAGACCTGTTGGAATTGGTAAGAAAAAAATTTTTTTTGAAAATTAAAAAATAATTTTAATTAAAAAAATTGTGAGAAATTTTTGAAAAATTTTCGAAATTTTTTTTTTCAAAAAATTTTTTTGAAAAATTAAAAAAAAAATTTTTTTTGAAAAATTTTTTTTTATTTTTTTAAATTTTAATTTTTAAATTTTTTACAGATATTTTCTATAATAATTCTTCTACACAACAACAACAAAATTCTTCATTTAATTATCAAATTAATAATAAACAACAACAACAATTACCAGCTTTAACTTTATTATGTACAAATTTAGAATATGCCCAATTTTTGTCTAAACAAATGATGAAAGCTAAAGTTTTATATGAAAGACATTTACAACTTAAACGTTTAAATAATGTTAAAAATGATGGAAAAAAGAAAATATTCCCAATTTTTACAATATAAAAAAGAAAATTACAATTCTTAATTAAATATAATAAATATGAAGCAAGGTAAGAATGAAGCAATACCGAATGATATTTAAAAATAAACTTGTTTCTGCTCAAAAAGTTTTTTCAATTAAAGTTTAATTTAAGATTACAATTTGTAAAAGTTTCAAGTTTTAAAGTTTATTTATTAAATAAGGTTAAATTTACAAATTGTAAATTAGTTAAAGTTTAATTTTACAATTTGTAAAAATTAGTTAAAGTTTAATTTTACAATTTGTAATTTTAATTAAAGTTAATTTTACAATTTGTAATTTAAATAAAGTTTAATATTACAAATTGTAAATCAATTGAAGTTTGATTTTACAATTTGTAAAAATTAATTAAAGTTTAGTTTACAAATTGTAAAATTTAATTAAAGTTTATTTCTTTAATTTTACAAATTGTAAATTATAATTTAAAGTTTATTTTTTAATTTACAAATTGTAAAAATTAATTAAAGTTTATTCTTAAATCATTTACAAATTGTAAATTAATTTCTTATAATTTTAAAGGCATAATGAAGAAACTTTTTTCTGTATATTAGTTTTGTATAGAAAATTTTTTTATTAAATTAATTTATTGTTTTTATAGATTTTATATTAGAAAAAAAATAAAATTTATTTACAAAAACACATTTGTTTTTTTACTTTCATTTTATTTTTAGTTAGGTATATTTTTTGCTAATTTATTACCTTTTAATGTGCTATAATTGTTTTAGGCAAGTTTTCCAACAAAGAATTTTTATATATTTTTGGGCTTATAAATTGTGTATTTCCTCTTTAATCAAATAATAAATAAAACTTGAAGCAAAAAAAATAAATATTTAAAGTATGTGTGTTTATGTACTTTAAACATTTTAGTTTTTTTATTGTCACTTAAAAAATAATTCATTAAAAGAAAAATTCATTAATTTTCTTTTGCTACACTCGAAAAAATTTTTTTCTGCTAGTAAATGTGTTAAATAAAAATATAGCTTATTGTTTATCTTTTAAAGTAAAACAGCAATTGTTTATAATATTTTAAATGCTTAAGGGGAGAGAGGGAGAAGCTAGAGATATTATTAAATATTACACTTATTATATTATTTCCGGAATTGTATTTTGTAAGAGTTTCCGGAAAAGTTTATACATTATTTTTGTTGTTTTTCCGGAAAAAGTTTATTGCTGTTCCTTTCCGGAAATGTGTTTTTCCGGAAAAGTTTATATATTACAATTGCTGTTTTTCCGGAAAAGTTTATATATTACAATTGCTGTTTTTCCGGAAAAAGTTTATTGTTATTTCTTTCCTTTCCGGAAAGGTTTATAAATTTGCTGTTTTTCCTGAAAGAGTTTATTGCTGTTTTTTCTTTCCGGAAAAGTTTATAAATTATAATTCCTTTCCTGAAAAGAATTACAAATTGTACTTTTCCCAACTTGCCCTCTTTCAAGTTTTTACAAATTCTGACGTTTATTTTTAAGAATTACAATTGTAAAACTTATTTTCCGATTGTGTATGATAAGTTTATTTTTTTCAGAATTTTCTTTTAATTTACAATCCTTTATTAATTGTTTTCAATTGTTTTAAATAAAAATCTTTGTTTTCCTCTTGAAATAAAAACAACAAATTTTATTTTAAATATTTATAAGGGCACTTAATGAAATTTAAAATTATTTTTATTTTTTTCAAAATTTTTTCTAAAATTATTTGAAATAAATTTAATTATGTTAAAAATTAAAAAAATTTTTTTATTGGTTAAATTCATTTTTTGTGCTTTTTAAGACCTTTCCCCTCCCAAAATCTGCCCCCATTTTGTCGCCTTAACTTTTTTTCTTTTGTTCCCTCAGCCATTCTTTTTTTACCATTATTTGCTTGCTTTAGCTTCCAATTTTCCCCCAAAATTTTTTTCTTATTTTTTTCCTTTTAAAATTTAAATACTTTCTCTTTATTATTTGTGTAACAATAATCCTTTATTTTTTAACTTCCTTTAAACACCTTTTTTTGTTAGGGAAAATAAATATATGTATAATTTAATTTTAGAAGGAAATTTTCCCCCAAAAATTTTGGCAGTTAAAAAAAATTTTTTCTTTCTCCCTAATTTTTTTATTTTCCCCTAATTTTGTATTTCCTAGAAAAAAAAGTTTTTTTTGGTTACACCTTCATTTTCATTAGAGCATAAATTTCCTGGCTAAAATTAAGCATCTATTCGAAACAATAAAATAAATAATAAAAAAATTTTCAAAAAAAAATTCTTTGGATTTTATTAATTCAAAATTCTTTTTTTTATTAATTTTCTTTTGTTTGCCTTCCCATAGAAAAAATAAAATTAAAAAAGAAAAACTTTGTTTCTACTTTATTATATTTACAAAAAATAAACTTAAGAATTGTGAGAATATTTAATTTCAGAATTTAAAAATGTTTCTTGTAAAATTAAAGTTTTTTTTACAAATTCCGGAGCAAGTTTATTTTTGTTTTGTAAACTTTCCGGAAAAGTTTACAAACTACAGTTGTTGTTTTTCCGGAAAAAGTTTATTGCTGTTTATTTTCTTTCCGGAAAAAGTTTACAAATTATAATTCCTTTCCGGAAAAGAATTACAAATTTTGCTTTTTCCAACTTTGCCTCCAAGTTTTTACAAATTCTGACGTTTATTTTTAAGAATTACAATTGTAAAATAAAAATAAATTAATTTCAGAATTTGTAGTAAATTAATAAATGGATAAGTTTTACAATTGTAATTTTTGTTTCAGAATTTTTTCAGAATTTGTAAAAATAACCTTAAAATAATTATAATTGCTTCACTAATATTTTTACAAATTCTGACAAGTTTGTGTTATTCCCCAAGTTTTTGCTAAAAATCATTTTATTCCCCCTATATGTAGTTTCCCTATAACCGTTACCCTCCTAAAATTTTCATACAAAAATAGTTCACAATTTATTTTTTTACTGTTTTTACATAAATATTTCTATACATTATTAACTCGTTAATGTTTTTTCTACACACAACTTTCAGGAAAATTCATTTTTGTGTGTTTTTATTTAAGGCGACAGTTGCTTCTTTTAGTTTTGTGGTCTTTCTACTTAAGCTTTCTTTTTTATTTTCCTCTATATTTTGCCAATTCCCGCCGGCGGGCACTAATTCTTTTGACATTTGGCGTTAACCCCTTCCTCCAACCCCCACCTCCTTTTTACATATCCCCATCCCCTTCCAACTCTTATCTTTGCTTAAAAAAGAAATTCGATTGAAAAAGAAATTTTTAAAGAAAAAAATTTAAAAAAAATGATTGAGGGGAAGAAGAGTTTGTTTAGGGTTAAAGAAGTACTTGTCATCACCTAAATTATTATAAGCAGTTGACAATTATTTTTATTAAACTCTTAAACAACCCTTTTTTATTATTTCAGGCTGTTAATAAATTTTATTATTGTATTTATTAAAAATAAACTTTAAATAAATTTGAAATGTTTTTACAAATTAAAAAAAAAGTTTATTTTTTAAAAAATTACAATTGTAAAACTTATTTTTCGGTTATTTTCTTTTCCGGTTAAATTATTATAGTTATTCCGGTTATTTTATATATTTATTGCTTCCTGTTATATGTATTCCTTTCCTGTTATATTCTTTTCCGGTTATTTTCTTTTCCGGTTATATTATTATAATTATTCCGGTTATTTTATATATTCATTTATTCTTTTCCGGTTTTCTTCCGGTTATTAATTTTACAAATTCAAATTACAATTGTAAAAATTATTTTCCGGTTCTAATTTCCGGTTATATTTCCGGTTATATTTTTCTCCTTATTTATTATTATCAGAATTTTGGTTTTTACAAATTCTGAAATAATTTTATTTTTCAGAATTACAATTGTGATTTTAATTAATATTATTTTTACAAATTCTGACAATAAATTTGAAAAATCAGAATAACCGGAAACTTTAATTTTCTTCACTAAATTTCCTTTTCTAAAAACTTATTCAGGTTTTAACGTCTTTACAAGTTCATTTACCCGTGTTCTAATTTAGCTTTACCAACACGCCATTTAAAAAAGTTTTTTTTCTTCTTTTCGCCCACACAATACAAAAAAGTATATTTAAATATATATTTTTATTTTAATAATAATTACGTTTTTAAATTTTCTTTTTTTCCCTAATTTTCATTAGTAGGAGAAAAGTCTCTTCCACTCCATTTGGCCCTCAAAATAAACAAAAAAAATATTTTAGAAAAAAAATATTTTTTAAATCCTTCAAGAAAATTTTTTTTTGATTTTAAAAGAAGCAGAAAATTAATGAAAAATAATTTTTTAATTAGAAAATTTTTTTTTATCAATTTTTAATTGAAAATTAGACAATTTTAATAAATTTTAAAAAAATATTTATTTTTTGTATCTTTGTATCCAAGCAAATATGAGCACTTCCAAAATTTTTTTTTAATCCTTGCTTGTACATTTTTGTTCCTTATTTAATTCTCCTATCACGTAAATTTTATTTGATCTCATTATCTTCAGTTTTAATAAAGTTATGGCCTAAATAAGGTGTCCGTACCTTATATTTTAAATAAAAATTCAGAAAAAAATTTTTTTCTTAAAAAACAAAAATAGACAGAAAATGGGGTTGGTGACGCTTCTCTCAACTACATAATAATTTTTATACTTTTTTTTTTCACTTTTTTGGTCACAAAATTATATAGTGTATATTAAGTAGTAGTGTACTTCAAAAATAATTTTCAGTGCTTTTTGGCACGCAAATCTAAAAAAAAATAAAAAAATAATTTTTAAAGAAATCTACTTACTAATTAATTTAAAATTTTATTTTTAGAATGTAAATTTAAGGAAAAATTTAAAATTTTTCCCAAAAAATTAATTTTCTGCCTTTAAAAAATCCAAAAATGTCAAAAAGCCTTCCTTTTAAATTTTTCTTCACTTTATTTATTTTTTGCTCATTTTATGCTTCAGTTACTCCTAAAGAACAACATTTTTCTGAATGGCCAGAAGAAAGTAGTAGTAAAAGTATTGCTTCAGTTGCTGAAATGCCTAGAGAAGACATTACTTTATTCTTTCAACGACTAGCGGTAAAACGATGTATTTTCCGGAAATTATTTTCTTTCCGGAATAGCTTTAATTTTTTCCGGAATTTATTTTAAACTTTTTCCGGATTTTATTTTTATCCGGGATATTACCATAGTTATACAATTCTATCAGGAATTAATTATTCCAAACTTTCCGGAAATTATTTTTAAATTCCGGAAATTATATTTTATCCGGAAATTATTTTCCGGAAACTATTCTAAGCCTTTTTAACCCTTCCGGTTTCTATCCGGAATTTATTTTAAACTTTCCGGAAATATATGCGAATATTACTATAGTTATATTCTATCCGGAAAATTCTGAATTTTATTCTAAGCCTTCCGGAAATTATTTTCTATCCGGAATTTTATTACTTCTGTTTATTACAGACTTAATATTATTTATTTCCGGAAAACCTATTTATTTTTAAAAACAGTCAGGGCATGTTGGAACAACCACCAGAAACTTTCGTTACGGACAACGAAACATTGAAAGAAGTGAAGAAGGGAAATCTTCCAAAAGGAGAAAAATTATTGGTAAAAAAATAATATTTTTTTTATTTAAAAAAAATTAAAGTTCGCCCTCTTGTAAACGCTGTCCTTCACGGGAGTGCTTCTACTTCCCTGCCTAACACAAAAATTTCAATAACAAATACCCCTCCAACAACCTCAACAAAAACAACAACAATATTACCCTCATCTTCAACCAAAAATTTAAAAGAAACATCAAAAAATGAAAGAAAAATTGCCAAAAGTTTGAGAGAAATGGGGTGGATTGTATTTATTGTAATTATTGGGGTATTCTTCTCGTTGGCTACAACGATTGGGAATGCTCTAGTTATGGTAGAAAAATTATTTTTTTAATTTTTCAGTTAAATTCTGAATTTTACAGCTTTCAATATGTGTGGATAAAAAATTACAAACAATTTCCAATTATTTTCTTTTCTCGCTAGCTGTAGCTGACCTTACTATTGGGGTGATTAAAAAAATTTTTTTAAGTGAAAAAAAATTTTTTTTTAATTTTTAAGCTTATTTCCATCCCTCTTATGACCTTGTATACGGTAATTTAATTTTTAAAAATTTCCAAAAAAAATTTTAAATTTAAAGGCAAACGAGACTTGGACGTTTGGATATTCTCTTTGCCAATGTAAAATTAAAAATAAATTTAATTTAAAAAAATTAAAAAATTTTAGTTTGGCTCTGCATCGATTATTTAATGTGCAATGCTTCAGCTCTCAATTTGTTGTTAATTAGCTTTGATAGATACTTTTCTGTTACTCGTCCTCTTACTTACAGACCAAAGTAAATTATAAACTTTTTCCGGAAGCTTAGAAAATAGAAATTATTCCCCTTCCGGAAACTATAAATATTATTATACCACTGTTATTTAAAAAACTAAACTTTCCGGAAAATATATAACTATAATTTTATTATTTAAATAACTTTCCGGAAACATTATAACTTCCGGAAAATTATTTAAATAACTTTCCGAAAAAATATGTATTAGTATTTCCGGAAATTATTGTTTCTAAGAAAATAAATTTTCCGGAAAATATATAACTATCATTTTATTATTTAAATAACTTTCCGGAAACATTATAACTTCAGGAAATGTATGTAATATTGCCGGAAATTATTCCAAACATCCGAAAAATATATTAATTTAGGAGAACAACAAGAAAAGCTTTAATTATGATTTCGTGTACCTATACAATATCCCTTTTATTATGGCCTCCCTGGATAGTTTTATGGCCATATATGGAAGGCCGTTTTATTGTTGAAGAAAGTTCTTTATGTGTTGTTCAGGTAATTTTAAATAAAAAAAAATAAAAAAATTTTATTTTTCAGTTTTTGGTATTGGGTGATACTAGAACTTGGCAAAATCAATTAGCAACCTTGGTAATATTTTTCTTTAATTTTTTAAAAATATTTAGAATTCAATTTAGTTCACGTCTGCGGCAGCTTTTTACATTCCAGTAACTCTAATGATTGTTCTTTACTATAAAGGTATTTAATTATATTTTTCCGGAAATTATATTTTTTCCGGAAAATATACTTTTTCCGGAAAATATACTTTTTCCGGAAAATATACTTTTTCCGGAAAATATACTTTTTCCGGAAAATATACTTTTTCCGGAAAATATACTTTTTCCGGAAAATATACTTTTTCCGGAAAATATACTTTTTCCGGAAACTATACTTTTTCCGGAAAATATACTTTTTCCGGAAACATGCTTATATTTAAAAATATAAATTCCGGAATATAACCTTTCCGGAAATTTTATAATTATTTAATAAAATACAATGTTTTGTGTTTTCCGGAAAATTTAGTTTTATTTGTGTTAATTCATTTAAAAACACATTTTTTTCTTTCAGTTTATTTGGAAACACGCAGGCGCCGAAAGGAGTTGAGGAAATTACAGGCTGGACAACAACAAGTAAATTTTGTTTTATTAATTAATTTTTTTATTCTTCTCATATCTCTTCCTAACAATTTTTTTTTGATTTTTGCAATTTTACCCTTTGTGCTTTTTTTTCTGCAATTTAAAAATTAAAAAAATGCCTAATTAATTACTTGGCGTGTTAAAAAAATTTTTTTTTCCTCTAAAAAATTTTTTGAAATTTTTTCAAAATTATTTTCAAATCATTCCTAATATTTAAAATTAAATTAAGTAAGAAAAAAATACAAAATTCACAGCTTTTTCCATCCTCCTCCAAATTGGCAAACACCCCAGCACTTCAATCCTTGCTACTTCCATTAGCTCCATTGGTATTTAAATTAAATTTAAAATTTTTTTGTTTTCTATCCTTTCTGCGTGCTGTTTAAAATTTTATTTATTTTAATTTTAAAAAATTTATTTTTGCTGTTGATTCGGGGAAAAAATATACACTTAAGAGGTGAATATAGGGCGGTACGACAATTGAGGATACGCACTTGAGGATATGACAAATGAGGACATTTGAGGACGACAATTGAGGATCTGACATATGAGGACGACAAATGAGGATAAAAATGGAAGATAAAAAAGACTTGAAAGATCCATAAAACTCGGAAGACCCCCACTTGGAAGACCAATAATGAAGAATTCTTCTCTTTCCAGCGCCGCAGGCGAACATTTTTGAATTTCAAAAGGTCAAGGATCACCGTTTTCTATTATTATTTTAATCCTCAATTGTCGTCCTCATTTGGCATATCCTCATATGTCGTCCTCATTTGTCGTCCTCATATGTCAGATCCTCAATTGTCGTCCTCATTTGTCATATCCTCAAGTGCGTATCCTCAATTGTCGCAACACCGAATATAGACACAGACTCCCTTCTTCTTTTCGACTATAACTTTTTTAGTTTTGATCCAATCCGAATAAATTTTATATCATTCGAAAGCTATCAATAGCCACTATCTTTTTTCCAACAGGATGGATCTGGTCTGATCACTCACCAAAAAGTTATGTCACTATAAATGCGAAAAACACTAAATATTTGCACTTATCGTGCTGTAACTTTTCTTATGAGTTTCAGACAGGATCCATCCTGTTAAAGAAAAGATAGCGGCTATCGATAGCTATCAAATGGTATAAAGTTTATTCTGATTGGTTCAGGAATAGGAAAGTTATGGCCGATTGAAGTTAGATGGTTCTCTAGTTTGTTCCAGACCTTTAATTTTTTGGATAAGAATTTTTTTTGTTTTTTTATTTATTTTTTTTTTAATTTTTTTATTTTTATTTATTAATTTTTCTTTATTTTCTTTATTATTCTTGTTCACTTTATTTTTATTTTTCAAAATTTTAATTTTTTTTTTTGATTTTTGTTCACTGTCTAGTTGTCCGTATTTGCTTCTTTTCCTTTAATTTTTATTTTAATTAATTTTATAAAAAAATAAATTCAAAAATTTAAACAGATTAGAGGTCTACAACCACCCCCACCACCCCCAACAACTTCCCTATCAGAAATATCAACTTTAATTCCCAACAACAATTTAAATTCTTCATTAAAATCACACACTTCAACAAAAATTAATTTTTTGGATATTTTAATTGGGAATAATAAACAACAATCAGCAAATTTATATGATGGAAATTGTGTTAAAAAGTGAGGGGAAAATTTTAAAAATTAAAAAAAAATTTAAAAAAAAATAAAAAAATTTTTTTTGCCTCTCTTTCCTTTCCATAGTCGTTGTCTATAGAGAAGGGGTATACCCCAACTTACCGCAGAGCTATAACTTTGTTAAAAATGTAGAATCCAAGACGCCCTGGTATGATTCGATTCAGCTCGTCGAAATGCATCGAACCATACCTTGTTTTCCCGGATTCGACAATTTTGAACGAAGCTTTAGCTCTGCGGTAAGTTGGGCTGCTCCTCTAGAGAAGCCTCTATCTCTCACCCTGTAAAAATTTTTTAGAAATTTTTAAAAATCAAAATGGGTGTTTTTAATATAAAAATAATAAAAATGAGTTGATAAACTTGTTAAAAAATTTTTAAAATTTTTCAAAATTTTTAAAAATTTCTAAGACCCCTCAATGTTGCTTAACTTGAGAAATATAAGCAAAAAAGACTATATTTGTATAAGTATTTAACCATAACCGTTGTTGTTGCATGCAAGGTCTTTTTAGTGTGCGTAGCCGTCCGTTCTGTTAAGTTAAGCAACGTTGAGGGCTCCCTCGCTTTTTAAATTTTTTTTTTAAATTATTTTTTTCAGAAAAAGAGAACGCTTCTCCCTTCTAAAATTCTGTACAGGACGTAATGTAACAACCCAATCCTCTTCAGAATGTATATCCACAGAAGATTCTGTTGGCGTGTTGGGAGGGGATGATGGGGGGATTGGAGGGGAAGAAGAAGAAACTTGTGGATTGACTACTTCAAATTTAGATTCTATTATGGCAGAACAAACAGCTATTGAATTGGCTAATAATTCTTGTGGGGATGGAGGAGAGTTTAGGTAAAATAAAATGTCCGCAAAAAATTTGTCCGCAAAAATTATTGCGGACAAAAAATTTTTTGCGGACTATTTTTTGCTGACGATTCAGTCTCCTTTTTCCCGTCAAAACTTTTTTGCTACTCAATCTTTCTGAATAATTTTTACACTAATCGAAAGCTCTGAATGTGTGGATTATTTTATCAAGCAGGATTGATTTGATCCGATCACCCTACAAAAATTTAGATCGAATAATGTGCGCAATCGTGTTTTTTGCTCTTTATTCGGCTATAACTTTTAATAGAATGATCCGATCAAAACACTCCTGCTTGCTAAAATAATCCTCAAATTAAGAGCTTTCGATTGATATAAAAATTATTCAAATCGGTTAAGAATCCAAAAAGTTATGGCCCAAAAATGGCCTCGAGTCAGAAACAGTTAACGGCCTTTTACCGAAAATTCACCCCCCTATTTTTAGACAACACGAAAATTGGGAAAGTATAATTGTTGCAAAAGCAGCAGAACGTAGAGAAGCTTTAATTGAGGAGGAAAGAAAGAAAAGTCAACAACTTTTACAATTTCAATACCCTAAAGGAAGTTCTTCAACAATACCTGTTGGAAGTTTTAGAAGTATTGGTAGTGGGAAAATGCCTATAGTGGAGTTGGAAAGGACTTCACGTCCATCTTCTGTTCATACGTGAGGGGTTTTTTAAATTACCTCGAGGGGTTTCAAATGTCGTGTTCTCAAATGTCGGTGTTCACAATTGTCTCCTCAACTTTATTTAATGGAAGAGGCTGTATGTCCACCTTGGTGTAGTGGTGAAGGCTGTAGACTTTGGGAGGGAGGGGGTCGATGGTTCGAATCCCGTTGAATGAAATCTTTTTTTCTGAAGACTTTAGTTATTTAAAAATATTTTTATTATTTTTAGTTACAATTCCATCGTAATAATTGAATATCCAGAAGGAAATGAAGGCAACAATAAAGGTGGGGGAATAATAACAAGCCAACGACCTTCTGTCCGCCTCTCATCTCAAGCAGAAGTAGAGTCCCTAAGTACTCGAAATTCTGTAGAACGTAAATTTGTTGAAAAGGAGGACTTGAAAGAAATGAAGGAATCTCCAAGTTTGGAAGAACAACGTCGTCTTAGACTTGTAAAGAGCGCCCCTGGGGGAAGGGGAGGTTCTCTTCGTTTAAACAACAATAATAATAATTTTTCTTCATCATTTACTCAACAACAACAACCTAATGGTGTTTTAATGCGTAAAAGTGAAATACAAATGATTAGGGAAGAACAAGTAAATTAATACAGTAGAAACCTCATTATAAGATAAGCCATAAATATCCTTTTGTCGGTGTACCCTTTTTTCCGGGTACCCTTATGTTCGGGTACCATTTTGTCTCTAAATTTCGTTTTAGCCCCAAGGGTGTATCTTATAATAAGGTCCAACCGTCTTCTCCTTGAAATCCTCCACTAAATTTCTTTTGAAGATGAGACAGAGCGAAAAAGAGCGTCGTCGAAATGAAAGAAAACAAGAAAGTAAGGCAGCCAAAACACTTTCCGGTAAATTAGATACTGTATTGAATACTGTATTACTTAATTTAAGCTATCCTTTGTGCCTTTATTATTACCTGTACTCCTTATCATGGTAAATTTAAAGTAATTAATTGATAAAAAATAATTTTTCTATTTTAGTTATTGTCTGTTTGGAAGCGTTTTATCCAAATTCTGTGCCAATTTCGTTATTTACTATTAGCTATTGTTAGTTGATTTTAAATTTAATTTTAAAATTACGAAGACTTGAGTTAAATTAAAAAGGAGTTAGGTATCTACAGGGTGTACGAGATTGGGTCAGGTAACGGCAATTGTCCAGGTGCCGTTTTATCAGTGTACCATTTTGTCGCATGTACCCTTTTGTCTAGGCACCATTTTGTCAGTGTACCATTATGATCATGTACTATTTTGTTAGGTACCATTCTGTCTTTAGTTCCATTTTGTCCTTGAACTACATAAATAAAACGACACTTTGGTGTAGTGGGAAAATGTTTAGATTTTGTTAGGTGGGGGTGCGGGTTCGAACCCGCCTGGGTGCAATCATTTTAATTTTGCAAATATTAATCATAAAAATTTATTTTTTTCAAGTCCTTTCATATATAAATTCAACAATCAACCCATTATGTTATGCTTTATGTAATGCTCGTTTTCGAATGACTTATATGAGAATAATTAATTGTAAATGGTGGGGGAATAGAAGGAGGCACAGCAGCAATTTAAATACTTCAACACCTGCAGCTACTGCCGCTTTTTTGCATCATCATAGACAAATGAGGGAAAGTAGAAGACGGGGATTACTCAAGGGGAGGCAGAGAACTAAGTAGATATACTCAGAGACTCTAATATCACAAACTAGACTCTAATGTGCAAAATGTTGAATAGGAAATGCCCTGAGGCAAAATACAATTTTGAGCCCCCAGGCTATTTGAAACTGAGCCTCTGGAGTGCATGGCCTCATTTCAATTTTGGACCCTAGGGAAGATACTACATAAGACATTCCTGACTCTTAAAACATTTCAGGATCTAATGAACCGAAATTTTTAAAAATATTTTTGTACATTATTTATGGCAATTAAGTTAATTTTATTTAGAAAATTTTGTTAATGAGCAATTTCAGTATAAATAAATAAATTAAAAAATACAACTTTTAAACATTTTGATAAAATTCAGGCGAAAGTAAAGGCCTAGCTTTTGCAAGAAAACAATCTCTAGATAAATAACAACCACACATTGCACGTTCTCCCTGTAAAAAAGTTTTTAATTGGAAAAATTAAAAATTAAGAAAAAAACCTGAAAAGCCTTTCTCCCATGTAGAATTCGAAAATTATCAATAAAAAGAACATTTCCAGGTTTTAACATAATTTGTACTTGTTGTCCAGGTTCATTTAAAATTCGAGCAAAGCGTTGATATGCTTCGTAGAATAAAACAGTTTCTTCTAAAAATTGAGAAAAAATTAAAACATCTTTTTTGGATGTCCACAATGTTTAGAGAGGGGGGAGGGTCCAAGAAATCCAATTTAAAGAAAATCCTCAACTTTGGTGTAGTGGGAAAATGTCTAGATTGTACATAGGAGGGGTCGAAGGTTCGAACCCCATTGAGGGAAATTATTTTTAAATCGTTAAAAAATGGGAATTCTTGAAGGATTATTAAATATCTTAACTAGAAAAAAGACCAAAATATTTTTCAAGCCTGAAAATTCAGCTTTTTTTAAAAAAACTCAAAATTCAGCCCCTTCGCCCCCTTAAATTATTTTTTTAATTTAAAGATGATTAAAGAAAACCTAATGATTTTGAAACATTTTCCTCCATTTCTTCATTCAATCTTTCCTCTTTATTTATTCGCAAGGTTTTCATTGGAGCTCGATCATATGGACTAAAGAAGAAAAAATTTAGGTAATTAAAGTCATTGGTGTAGTGGGAAAATGTTTAGATTTACTATATAGGGGGTCGACGGTTCGAACCCCTTCAGGGAAAACTATTTTTATTTTAATTAAAAATGAAAATTCTTGAAGGATTATTAAATATAATAACTAGAAAATGCGAAAAAAATTTTAAGTTAAAAAATTTAAAGTCCGCAACTTTTTGTCCGCAAATTGAATTAAAAAAGTTTTTGAATAAATTAAAAAAAATTTACAAAAACACAAACTTGTATCTAATTTGCACCACTTTTTCAACTCTTGGAAACAATTTAATTACTGGCTCTCTAACACATCTTGCATGCAAATTCTCTTTATCCACATAATGATGCTCTAAAGCAAAATTGGCCAAAATATGAAAATGATTTAAATTCTCAAATTTTAATATTTCTGCGGCAGAAAATCCATCAACCAATATTGTTTGGCCGCCTTTTAATGCTGGTTTTAGACAATGGAAAACCTTTAAATTAAAAAAAATTTTGGATACTTTTTTATTAATTTGTCGGCAAAGTCCGCAAATTGTTATCCGCAAGTTTTAGCGTTTCTTTAAGTTCTCCAATACGACGTCTAACTTCCCATAACACCTTTCCATCTAAATTCAGTCTTACAAGGCGGAGTCTACAACTTGCGGATAAAAAATCTTCTTTTGCGGACTTCTTGCCAACATAGCTTCAAGAAGGTAATTCCAAAAACGGTGTAGGAAATTTAGTATTTCGGCCAGGAGGGAAAATTTTTGGTACTCTTGTGTTATCTCCCCCCATTTTATTTTTCTTCTCCTTTCTTTTCCTTTCTCCATAAAAATCACACATGAATCCGATTAAGATACTGTTAAAGAATTATGGCGATAGGTACCAACTCTGGGTACTTATTTAGTGATTTTGGTGCTGATTTTGGTGTCATTCGACACAGCTCGATGGGTTCTACAATTGTTGTTCAGACTGACCATTTTTACATAATTTTCGAAAAAACTGACTGGGGGGGGGACTAAATAAGTACCCCAACTCTGGTTTTTTAAGGACCATTGTCCATTATTGTGCTTGTTTAAAGTAACTCTGGATGAATAGGGCCCTCTATTCCCTTAAAATATTCTGGTAATACAGTGAGCGTATTGTAAATAGAAGTACTGGTACATGCACCAACGTTGGGATTGGATCTCTAATTTCAAAACATGGTAACTCAAAGCATAGATTCAATTTGACCCATGTGCATTTTTTAAGAAATAAAAATGAAAGGGGAAGAAAAATAAAATGGGGGGAGATAACACAAGAGTACCAAATTTTTTCCCAGGAGGGATGCCCCCACCTTCAATATATTTCCTGGCTACGGGTCTGATTTTAGAGTTATGGTATTAAAAAAGTACCCAAAAACCCCTTCAAAATTAAAGAAATAAACTTGTATTCCTGGTGGTTGATCAAAATAAGTTCCATCAGAATGAGGTCCAATTTCCTCACTCCCATATGCCGTGTCATCAAAAGTAGCCATTCCAAGTTCATTATCTGTCCCAAAATGCCAAAAATCACCAAAAAAAGTATTGTGCATTGGGGCTATTTTTTCACACAATTTTTGTGTTGCTTTCCCTCTGTCATGTGCTTCTACCCCAGTTACACAAACAACTCCAAAACGAATAAAAAGACGAGCAAAGGTTGAGAAGTCAAAATTTATGCTGAAAAATAGAGGAAATATTTGATGATTTTTAAAAAAAATTTTAAGTTGGAAGGACTGGGAATTTTAAAAAAATATTGAAGGCTTCTGAAAATTTCTAAAAATTTTTGAAGTAAACGCAAAGAGAAAGAATTGGTTCCGGATTAGTCGATTGATCTCGAAGGTATGATCTTGTCTCACCAAAAGCTTGACTCACCAAAGCTTGACTCACCAAAAGCTTGACCCACCAAAAGCTTGACTCACCAAAAGCTTAACTCACCAAACCCCCAAAAGCCATTAACTCACCAAACCGTGGAAAAAAGCTTGTTTCACCAAACCCCTAAAAGATGTTAAATCACCAAACAGTGGAAAAAAGCTTGAATTACCAAATAAATACCAAACTACAATTTCGTTTGGTTATTTATCTATGTACACTTAACGACAATGGGTTTTATCACAACAATAGGAGATACATATGGCTAAACTATATCTTCGCTGAAAAAAAAATTGTTCCCGTCATTGGAATGTCATCCCCCGTCGCGGGAACAACATCCCCCGTCGCGGGAACAACCTTCCCCGTCGAGGGAACAACCTTCCCCGTCGCGGGGACAACCTTCCCCGTCGTTGGAACAACATCCCCCGTCGCGGGAACAACATCCCCCGCTGACGGGACAACTTCCCCCGTGGTTGGTATTTCACATTTGGTATTTCAAGGGATTTTGGGGGTTTGGTAATTCAAGCTTTTTTCCACTGTTTGGTGATTCAACAGCTTTTGGGAGTTTGGTGAAACAAGCTTTTTTCCACGGTTTGGTGAGTTAATGGCTTTTGGGAGTTTGGTGAAACAAGCTTTTTTCCACGGTTTGGTGAGTTAATGGCTTTTGGGGGTTTGGTGAGTCAAGCTTTTGGTGAGATAAGACGCTCCAATCTCGAATATAGTGAATTTCAAAAATCATCATGGTTAAAAAAGACTGGTCAAATCCATTTCTAGGATTTCTTTATCAGTCCCGAGGATTAAAAAAAATATTGGAGGCCGAGGACCGATTCCGTTACCAAAAAACCCCGACAAGTCACTGATTCCGAAAAATCAAAAAAGTCCAGAACTAGGATTACCCGAATTCCCACATTTTTTAATTGAAAGATAAAAACCTAGAAAGCGACGGAACCTCTTTTAAACTTTCTCCTCTCCACAAAGTTCTCGAAGGACATGAACTTTTACCCACTCCATCATCATCATCCAAATCAACATCAATACATTCTTGTGTGTATTGCTGGCAAAAAATAAATTAAAAATCTTAGTAAATTCTGCATAAAAACGAAACATCACTTCTAACAATAAATAGAAAGTCGGAGGTTGTTGTGTATGGGCGAGAGCCCTTAAAGTTCTTTAAAGCCCTTAACCCCTTAAAATCCTCTAACAATGCTCCCTTTTCAGCCATTTCCCACAGTTTTGGTAGTAATTCTAGTATTCGGGCTAAACGAGTCCTTTTTTAACCCAAAAAACAAGGAAATTTCCGAAACATGACCCAAAACTTTTTTTCACAAACCTACCCATCAACTATTTAAAAAAATTAAAGAAGAAAAACCTTTTCAGAAAACAATCCCCATTTAAGCAATTCATTAACAACAAAAACACTTTCTTCTCCATCAGCCCAATTAATTTTTAATTTTTGTGTTTGAACATCAAAATGGATTGGATAACTAAAAGGAAATTAATTTTTAAAAAATTTTTGAAAGAAAGAAAAACCAATCTTCAGCCAAAACAGCTTTCCCAAACAAATCTGTACAATTAGCCTTTCGTTGATTTGTATCCCAATTATAAGAATTTGAATTACGGCAATGATCGCGTAACCAAACCAAAGGTATTCGAAAAGTATTTTTCTCATTTTTTGAATTAGTTGAACCTGAAAAATGGAAAAAAAAAATTTTTAGGGTGGAAAGGGGGAGTGAACCCAAAAGGAAAATTGAAAAAAATTTATAAAATAGCGTTGCTGGCGACCGGTTAAGTTTCGCCTGTGGCAGTTGTAATGAGGAAATTTAAAGACATTTGAGCCGTCATGCGAAAATTAATTCACCAACAACCCTCTGAAGAACTTTAGACGAAATTTTAAGAAAAATTCGACTAAACCTTGCAAAGTACAAAAAGCAAGGTAATTAATGGAAGAAGTGGGAAAGAATACCCACCCTGAAAAGCAAGTCAATCTCCAATAAGGAACGAGTTAAGAAAAGTGGGGTCGTATTTCGGAAAGGGTTTTCAAAATTTTTTTCAGATTTTCAGTTCGTGTCTAAAGGCCAAAGTTCTTGCTCCTATCCTTAGGGTAACAGATAACCCGTCCCCTCCCAAATCCCACAAATCCAATCCCTAGGGATTGGAGCTGAATTCCGGTCTTTCGACTTAAACTGAAAATCCTAAAAAAAATTTTGAAAACACTCCAAAATCCTATCCAGAATCCCACAAATTAAAAAGCAAAAAAAAATAAAAAAAACCTTTTTGAAACAATTCAATGGAAGCAAATTTTGAATCTTTTGTAAATATTAATTTAGCATCATCAAAATTAATTTTTGAATTATTTGTTGAATTTATTCCTCTTTTGTTTAATACATCTTTATTAAATTTTAATTGACTTGAAAACTTGTGTTGAAGTTGTTGTTTTTGTTTAAATAAATTTTTGAATAAAATTAATTGAGATCTGCTAATCATTTTTAATAACAAAGAAAATAAGTTAATAATACCAGTAAAGTAATTTTTAAAAAATCCTAAAAATAAAAAAAATGATGTTTTCGAGTCTTTGTAAAGAAGGTGTTTTGTTAAAATTTTGCGGACAAATATTTGCGGACATTTCTTGTTTAGTTTCATTACAAGTAGAGGAGCTCGGATTCTATAGAATAAAATTTGTCCTCAAAAATTGTCTACCAAAATTATCAGCAAAAAATGTCGGCAAAGACTAGCAAGATCTCTATGCAAGTGTACAAGCTTAAAATTATTAAGGTTTTCAAATCGCTAATGCAGTCAAAACCGTCGCTGTGAGATCCATCCAATAATAGATATTGGTCAAAAATAACCTTAACAATGAAACCACCAATTTAAGATCCTACTCGCTATACGAGAAAATTTTTTAGATTTAAAGGCACCCTTGAAAGCGAGGACTAACACAACAGTAAAATTAACAAAAATATGATTAATTCGAAAATTTACGAAATTGCAAAAAACAAAAATTTTCAAAAATATTTTTTATCTCAACAATTTAAAAATCAACATATCCAAAAAATAAACTTAACAAAAATCTCAACACATTTCCCTCTTTAAAAAAACCTCTTCACATCCTCCCATCTTTCAAAAAGCATTTTAGTGTCCCTTTTTGCGGAAAGAGCATCCTTCAACTAAACGGGCCTTTCCACCTTTTTAAAAAAAAAAAAATATTTTTTTTTAATTTTACAAAAAAACCTGTAGGCTGGCAAAGCACTGTACTACAACCAACACAGACCTAGAAAAAAATAAAAAATTTAAATCTAAAGAATTTCAAAAATTTACCACAACAGATTGGGCATGCGAAAAAACGGTCGTAATTTTATAACATCCAGGACACTTAACATCCATAAACTTTATTTAAAAAAAACAAAATTATTTAACAAAAACAAAAATAGAGGAAGGGAAGACGCTAATTAATGCGTATAAACGCTAAAATACTAAAAAGCCCCAAAAGTCGTTGAAAAAAAAAACAAAAAGATAAACGAGTATCAAAAACACATGTCTTCAAACTTAAGGTTAGCCATTTTCAAAAAAAATTAAACGTTATCGGTCCAAACCCCCCAGTCTTAAAGACCTTATCTCCCGCATATTAAATAAAATTAAAAAAAAAACTTCTCTTTCTTACAAAAGAATTTGGATGTTGAACAAGACGCTTAAGTTTGTGTTTCTGCTGTTCCTTCACTGGGTCAGGATGGAGAAGATCAACAGCTAACGGCATTCTTGATTATTTTTTTTCTTTTTTAAAACTTTAATGAAAAGAAATTTTGTATAAAAAATTTAGAAAAAATATAAAATTGTTCTAAAAACAATTTTCAAACAAAATAAAAAAATAAAAATTTAATTTTTCAAATTTTATCAACGCAACAAAACACGAAGAATGGTTTAACAATTATAACATTTTAGAATAAAATATCCCAAAACAGCAACATAAAAGTCAATAAAAGAGAAGGAAGGTGAAAGAGGAAGGAGGGGAAGTTTTTTAGAAAAAAAATTTTTTTTCTTCCATTTGGAAAGAAAACATTTGCGGACAAACTAAAATGTATATCAACTCGAATCAGGACCCCAAAAAAATAACATTTCTTCCCTCCTCCCTTTACATCCACCCTTCCCCCTCTTCTTTCCTGATCACCCACAAACTATAAATCTCCTCAAAAACCTCTCAAAAACCTCAAAACAACTTGATTAACGTCCACCCTTTCCAAGTCCTTCATCGGCAGCTTCTTTTGCCTTCTTGTCACGCTTTCCCTTCATTCGAGCATCAGCACGTACACGACGCAAATGGCAATAAACTTTGAAGTTTTTCATTTCTTCAGTTATTGGCTGTGCTTTCAAACGACGCTTCTGTTCTTTATGTGGCATAACAACTTTTCCAGTAACTTGGCTTGCCATTTTGAGTTCTTCAGGCTGAAAAATGTTGAAAACTTAGATCCTAGTAGAAGATGCCATTGTGTGCTTATGGGACTGGAAAAAGGAATCAAAGAACAGCTTTAGATGACTTCTAATTTCCCAGGAAACTCTAAGGTAGGATTGTTGGTGATCCGTTAATTTTCGACTGTGGTGGCTCAAATGTAGAATTCCAAGGACATTTAAGCCGCCCAATATCCAGTCTCTAACAAAACTAGTTTAAAAATTAGATAATTCATTTCCCAGAAAACTCGAAAACTCTATTCCCTTTAAATCCACGTTTATTAGATTCACGCTCGGACCCCACAAAAATTCAAAAAATATATACACTGCTATCTCCCTTCTTTGGATTGCTCAACTTCTTCGGGAAGATAATCAAACGAGAACGATATTCTTTCAAACGCTTGGCGTTTCTCTGAAAAAAATAAAAATTAATTTGTAAGACACAGGGTTCAAAAACCATGAGAATTCTATAACATGGAAAGGGTTGGCGGATCTGAGGCAAACCCCAACTAACCGGATTCGCCAATTCTAGTGTGGACAAAGACCTAATCTTACCTCTCATCATATCTCAAAGTTGACGTGCCATATAAAAACTTTGTTAAGAGATCTGAGGCCGTTCTAGCATTCAGAAACACTTCAGATTCTTGACTACAGATTTATACATGACACGTCACCTAAGAGTATGACGAGGTCAATTTAAGTCAATTTTAGAAATCACGGCATCCATCCCAAGCCGGGAAGCTAAAATGTATAAAGCATCAAAATACAAGGGCACCCATGTTAAACTCATGATCCTTATTTAAAAAACAAGGTTAATTTCCGATATCACAGCTTCCAGCCCAAGCCAGCAAGCCGGAATGAGGGCATCAAAATACCAGTAAGTATACCCATGACAAACTCATGACCCTTATAAAAACAAAAAAAACCTCGATAGACTCGACAGAACGATTTGTACGTCTATAATCAACAGCAATTCCCAAAGACTTTGCCTCATATTTACTAAACCCAGCAGCCTTCAATTCCTCCAAAGTAAATCCACGTCCCAATCGAAGCTTGCTATTATAACGAATAGTCGGGCAATGAACGATTGGACGAAGAAGGCCCCCAACTGGGCGAGGAGCAACACGGGCAGCTTTTGCAATTCTTGCCAAACGACGACGTTGCTTTCTTGCCGGTTGATTAAACCAAGTTTTGATTCGACGTTGCCAATGTTTGTGGTAATGGGCGTTTGGTAACTAAAAATAAGAGAGGGAATTTTAATTAAATTGACTAAAAAGAAACCATGTTATTTCCACGACGAGCCATTTTCCCTTTGACTTTTTTGTTCTTTAAGCTAATAAATTAAACTTGTAGACCTATAAATGCTTAAAAATGTTAAAAAAGAGAAAAATAATTTTTAAGGTTGAAAACAAAATCGCTATTAAAAATCAATTTTTTGGAAAGATTTATCAACAAAAATAACGCCAACAAGCTTTAAAAAAACAACTGAGAGAGTGTTTCCGCATATCTTGCCAAATCGAAATAAATGCCAAAAAAGGGTAGAGGTTTATGTTACCAAGTACACGCGCCGCAAACCCCGCGACAAATACGAGGGTTTGCAGCACGCGTCTCACCGAATAGGATAGGGAAGATTTGATAAGGCGAGTAAAAGTAAATTGGTTTTCGCCTTTTTTTTGGCAATATTTAGATTTACAAGAAGCTTAGAAAGAAAGGCTACCAAACATTATGAAAGAAATCTCACTTTATTTTTAGCAGATTTTGTATATATTCAAAGGGTGTGTTTTTATAGGATTTTTAGTAGTGACCGGAAAAATCGATTTTTCCGGGCCCACCTTTTGATTGAGTTAAGGAAAATAATTTTTAGGTTTGGAAACGGAGCAGTTCAACTGAGTCCGCACGATTGAGTCCCCACGATTGAGTCCGCACGATTGAGTCCCCACGATTGAGTCCCGGCACAATTGAGTCCCGGCACGATTGAGTCCGCACGATTGAGTCCCCCTTGTATATACCTCAATTGAGTCCCCGTGGATTTAATTATATTAAAAAGGATTAAGAGGGATATCGGGGGATTTTTAGAGATTAAAGTGAACATCAGGGGACTTGTATTCGACATCGAGGGATCAAGTTGTATATCGGTGGATATGGAGGGATTTAATGCAAATTTAAACTTTTAAGGGTGATATCGGTGTATTAAGGTAGATATCAAGAATTTGGATGGATTTCTTGATTTTTTTCTTCCTCTCCCAGCACTACATTATCCTCGTTACTGATGGTCTCCCTTGCAATTTAATGAAGTTCACGGCGCGAATCGACGCCCCCACTGGTTCGTCTTCGGCTAGCTCATATTTCTCGACGATGATGTCCCGCTGCGAGTCATCAATGCTATCCGGCAGATGTTCCGCGCTGAAGCTTTGCTCTTCCACATTGATGGCCGTTGTACCCGTAGTGCCCATTTGGACATGTTGAGAAGCGTATAGATTTGTAAAGAAAATTGAAGAACTAAAATTTAGAAAAAATGAAAAAAAAGATAAAAATATCCTAGGATTTGGAGGGATTAAAGCTAATAACAAGGGTGCACACCAACTGTAGGATCTCAGAACCAATTTGCCGACATTTATTTATAAAAAATTAGAAATTTCAAAAAATTTTTAAAAATTCAAAAAAATTAAAAAAACTTGTTTAATCTCAATGCTGAAGTAAGGAAACATGTATTGCAAGCTGATACTGTCAACTAACTACGCCCCACAACATTTTTGAAATAATCCCGCATGCCGGATATGGAAATTTTAACTTATTAAATCCACGGGGACTCAATTGAGGTATATACAAGGGGGACTCAATCGTGCGGACTCAATCGTGGGGACTCAATTGTGCCGGGACTCAATCGTGGGGACTCAATCGTGCGGACTCAATCGTGGGGACTCAATCGTGCGGACTCAATTGAGGTGTACCGGTTTGGAAATTTAGGTTTGTTTTTTGAAATTAGTAAATCGAAAAAGACAATATGAAAGGATTTTGAAGGATTTAATGTCAAAGTGGAAAAAATACAAAATGCCAAATAAAGTGGATTTACAAAATACAAATATAGAATCCAGCTCTCAATTAGAGCCTTGAGAAGTTTAACAAAAAATTTTAAAGGAATATAGACTTGAGAAAGTGTATATTACCAAGAGTCAATTCAAATACGAAAAGAAACCAGACTCTCATCTCATCTTCCAGAAAGCTTGTTTTCCTCATAAAAACCTCATCAATCTTGCGCACACTTTCGGTTGTAGTACTCAAGAATCTCAGAGACGCCTTGATCTAAGCCTAAAATAAATACTTGGGGGGATTATTTTTAACTAACAGTCTATGTAGACATCCAACGCATTCAATTCCCCCACACCCAAATTCCCAACAACTTTATTCTTGATAAACTCCAACACCTCGATAACATTCTTCTGCTTCGTGTCAAAGTCGCCCACATGCGTCCCTCCAGCAGACCAAGTTTTCTTATCGATAAAAAACTTAAATCATTTTATTATTTTTGAATTGACATTTTATAATTAACCTTAATTGCAGCACTATGAGAAGGAATGAGTTTCTCGATTATGTTAAGTTGACCGAAAACCACTAAAAAAATACATGATTTTTTATTTAAAATCAAAAAATTTAAAAAAAAACTAACCGCCAAGTTGGCCGTTGAGATTATCAACCTCATTAACACCAACATGAGAACCAGGGTTTTCAATTTCTTTAAGATTAACAATCATCCCATTAAATTCTTGAGCAACCGAAGTACGCAGCTAAAAAACATTATTTTTTTTTATTAATTTTTGGTTAAAAAATTTTTTTTTTAAATTTTTCAAGAAATCCACATTTACACACTCTCAAAATCATATACCTTATTTATATAAATTCTCCATTTTCGTTGAAATTTAATAATTAAAAAATTAAAAAATTTGGATATTAGGGTATTATCCCATTTTAAATTAAAGGGAATGAAACGGATTAATTCATAAATTAATTCCTTGGGTAAATTTTGGACATTTTTTGTTTCATTTTTCATTTATTCAACGAAAATTAAACAAAAGTTTCAGTTAAAAATTTTGTCCAGAGACAGGGTCAAACATCAGCAATTAAACGAGGGAAGGAGGTGTGCATGTATAAACTAGGACGCCAGCCACCTTTTCTTGCTGTTCGATAAATTGTTTTTTTATTCCAAAGAAAAGAGCAACAAAAACTACACAACATTTACATAAATCTAAACAAAACATTTCTCCAAAACATCTATATAAAAATCATTAAAACAAACAAAACACAAAACATCCACAAACATTTTCTAAAAACTACGGAATAAACAAAACATCCGAAATGTTTTCCCAAAAATTTCTTCCAAAACATTTCCTCTGAAATAAACAAAACATCATCCAAACATTTTCCCAAACATTCCTACCAAAGCAACAAAGCCACAAACATTCACATAAACATAAATCAAAACATTCCAAACATCAAAAATATTCCCATACACAAACAAATCAGACTATATTTTTAGCTAGAGCTTTTATTTTTTAAACATACCGTTTGAAGGTCCATAATAGGTCAATAAAGATTGAATAAATTCGAAAAATACTTATAAAAACGTCTGTATGATGATAAATTGATTAAAAAATTTTCATTAATAAATTAGGGTAAAAAACATAATGGAGGTTTAATAAAGATATGAAAGAACGAGGGATTATAAGAGAAATAAGGCTATTAGAATACCTATATTTTTTTTGATAATTTTTTGATTTTGAAAAATAATTGAAGATAAATGATTAAAAGAAAAATAATTAACTAAATAATTTTAGGATAAGAAATGTTTATAGAAACAAAAAACATTTTGAAAATATCGAACAAAACATTAAAAACATCAAAAACATCTCTAATTTAAATAAACAAGTCAAGATTGTTTACAAAAATAGAGGAGGTAGTTAATTTTGTTAATAAATTTTGTTTAAAAGAGAGAATGAATGAAAGAATGCAATTTCCTTTCATTATACATATACTAATTTTTTCCGACATTTTTGCTCTTTTGAACTTTAAACTTTAAAAAACATAGTGTATGCATATTCAAATTTTATTACAAAGAAAACCATTTCCCTAATGAGTTTAATTGATTATAACTTGATCAAACAAACAAAACATTTTTAAAAACAACTTTGTATTAAAAACAAATAAAAACATCCCGTTTTTCCTAAAACATTTAAGATCGTTCTTAAACATTCCGGAAAACTTAATTTTATTTATCATTTCCTTATGTTTTAAAACATTCTTTCCGGAAAACATTAAATAAACATGTTTATTTTTCCGGAAAACATTTAAGATCGTTCTTAAACCTTCCGGAAAACTTTATTTTATTTATAATTTCTTTGTTTTTCCGGAAAACATATTAAATAAACATGTTTATTTTTCCGGAAAACATTTGAGATCGTTCTTAAACCTTCCGGAAAACTTAATTTTATTTATCATTGTTTTTATTTCTAAAAACATTCTTTCCGGAAAACATATTAAATAAACTTAAACACCTCTGTTTTTCCGGAAAACATTTAGTTCTTACCCGAACAATGTTTATTCCTCAGAAAAACAAAAATAGGGAAAACACAAAATAATAAATTCATAAATGTATTTTTATTTTGTTTTTACTGTTTTATTCATCATCATCAGAATCCAACGGTTTTAACATTTTTAATTTTGCCTGAGCTTCGATAAATTCCAAATCTAATTCCAAAATATTTGATTTTTCCATAGAATTCACAGAATTTTTAAATTCTTTATTTAAATTTAAAATTAATTCTTCATCAACAGATTGAATCCAAAGACATAAATCGTCAATAAAAAGTTGATTTAATAAATATCGAAATTCACCACCACTTTTATTAAAAATACGCCTGCATGTTAAAAGAACATGTAAAATTGATGAACAGCCTGAGAAAAAAATTTAAAAAAACATTATAGAATAAAAATGTTTGTGAAACAAGTTTGTTGTAATTAAAACACAAGTTTATTTGTATTTTTCCATAAACATTTAGTATGTTTTGAAAATTAAAAACATTGTAAAATGTTTAGAAACATTTTGTGTTTTTCTCTGTAAAACTTTCAAAAACACATGTTTTCCGGAAAACAAACATGTTGAGAAAAAAAAATACAAATAAATTCGAACAAAACATGTTTATTCGTATTTTCCCTAAACATTTAAAATTGTGTTCAAAACTTAAATTTTCCAGAAACAAATGTATTTTCCGGAAGAACACGTGTTGCAAAGAACTTGCAAAAACACATGTTTTCCGGAAAACAAACATGGTGAGAAAAAATACAAAACAAATAAATTCGAACAAAACACGTTTATTTGTATTTTTCCAAAACATTTAAAATATTGTTTAGAACTACATTTACCAGAAACATTGTATTTTCCGGAAAAACATGTGTTTATCTAAATTATACTACAAAAACATTAATTGTTCAAGTTTTGTTTTAAACATCAATGTTTCTATAAAAACAATTATTACCATTTTCTATAATTGTCCTAACATCTTGCATAACCTTCAAACTCAATTCCCAATTTCTAATCATTGGTAACACTAAAGAATGTCTAATAGTTGAAGATATTGCTTCTTGTATATTTGACCATTGAACAAGAAAAGTTAATGAAGGGGATAATTTAGAAATTGTCCAACCAGATTCTACTGAATGTTCTCCCTAAATTTTGAAGAAATTTTGTTTTTTAATGAATTAAAAACCAATGTTGTTCTAAAATCATAAGCAAAACCAAAAATAATGTCAACCAAAGATAGAGCAATCTGAAAAATCAGTGTTTTTAATAAAAGAATGTTTAGATAAAAATTAAAGTAAAATACAAAACATGTGTTTTACTTTCCGGAAAATGTTTAAACATGTTTTTAAGGAAGAAACAAAAGGAAAACATTCTTTTAAAATACAAACATGTTCATAATTATTTTCCGGAAAATACAAGTTTTGTTTTTCTTAAGGTAATTTATAAAGAAAACATGTTGTTTTGAATGTTTTTCTGAAATAAACAAAAAATTTCTAAAACATTTGTTAATGACTGTATTTTCCGGAAACCATGTTTTTAAAGTGTTTAGGTGTTTTATATATAAACATGTTTTAATGGAATAAACACAAAAACACAAGTTTACGGAAAACACTTGCAAAAATGTTTATAATTATCTCTCCCACCTTTTCATTAATTTCCTTGGAAAAGTTTTCCAACTTTCTTATTCTCAAATCCTTCAAATCTGTAAAATCTTCTTCAGTTAATTTTACACAATTTTTATCAAAACAAAATTCCATAGCATCGAGTTGGTATTGTTCTTGAGAAAATAAATCTGCCCTTAAAAAATTATTTTTTTCTTTAAAAATAAAGAAAATTTACAAATAATATTGTTCAGAAAAATGTTTTTCATCAAATTGTTTTAATTTTTGACTTCTTTCTTCAATTAAAACATTTTCCGGATCATCCAAATCAATTAAATCGACAATTTCTTCTTTGAATTTACCCAAAACATCAGTACGTACCCAACCAAAACCATAACCAAATTGACTATTCTCAGTTAAATTGGTGGTTTCTGGACAACACAGTGTTTGTTTGGCAAAAAGGGATTCTTGAAAAAATAATTAATTGATAGAAAATCAAAACAACACAACAAATGTTCAGAATATGTTTGTTAAAATATCTACAGGCTAAAACATTTGTTTGAAAAACAAGTTTGCGGAAAATACAATTGTTTAAAATATTGTTTTTAGTAAAATGTTTTCGGTTGAATAAAGAAAAGAAATAAATTAGTAAAATGTTTTCCGGAAAATGTTTTGTTTAAAAAACATGTTTTCTGTGCTTAGAAAAACAAGTGTTTAGAAGAAAATGTTTTTGTGTTTATTCAAAACATGTTTTTAGTAAAATGTTCTCCGGTTAAACATAGTAAAAACGTGTTCCGTAAAATGTTTTGCTAAATTACATGTTTCGCATAAACAAGCAAAAATATAAAAACAAATGTTTATATGTTGCGAAACATGTTCCACTAAAATATAAATTTATTAAAACAACCGACCATCATTAATTAAAGAATCTTCTCCTTCCTCCTCTTCTGAACTTTGTGAATAACCCTCAACTTCATTTATTTTATTTTTTCTCGAATTAATTATTTCAATAGGGGATTTTGCTGTAGGTAATGTTTGTTGTTGTGGTTTAATTAATTCACTCAACATTTCCAACCGAGGGAAAAATTCGCCTTTAGATTTTTTTGGTATACAAATAGTGAATTCTCCTAAAAAATATGAGTGGGTTAAAATAGCTGGTCAGACTACAAACTAAAATACATATACCCCAAAATCAGAACACCTCAATTAGTAGGGTTGCCCCTAAAGTAGGTTGTTCTCCGTCCCCATCCCCCTCAGTGGCGTTGCCTTCCCGAAAAGTTATCATTTGGCCCCCCCCTCCCCCGTTGGGAAACAGCTCTATCAATTAGACGGCGTTTTCACTTTTAGTTGGCCACTTGGTTGGGGGAGTTGTCTGAACGATTATCCCTCTATTTAATAGACACCTCATTATAAGGCTCGATTCAGCCCTTAGGGTCTTTAGCCCCTTAGGGTCTATCTTACAATGGGGTCCACTGGGGGCTCTTCTAATTATTTTTTCCAAATAAATCCAAAATTCCCTCACCATTTTCACTGTTATATTCTACAGTCCCCGTCTCATCATCAACAACATCTCCAGTCAAAAATAACCGCAAAAAATAGGGAGAAGCATTAAAAACAAATTCTCTGTCCCCATAAATTACTTCAGCATCCACAATTTTGCAATAGGGAGCTTTAATTTTAACAAACAAAAAAATGTCGTTTTGTTCCAATTGGAAGGATGGAGTTAACATTTTTGGGTGTTTTTTTATGTTTTCTTTTGTTGTCACCAAAATTAATTTAAAAAATCCAAACAAAATTTTTGAAAATCTAAAAAAATTAATCAGCCAAAAACTGGTTGAAAACTAATTAAAAAACACAGCATGGAATTTCATTTATTTATTTAAGAACCAAATTGATTTAAAAGATTATTACACAAATTAACTCCCAAGATTAAAAAATGCCCTCGCCCCCAGTTTTATTGAATTTTTTAAACAAATACATATCGTTTTATAAAAATGTTGTTCGAAAAATGTTTAGAATTAATTTTGTCCGGAAAATGTTTTCTATTGATGTTTACCCAAATATGTTTTGTGTTTTGTTTTGAAAGAAAATGTTCTGTATTTTGTCCGGAAAATGTTTTCTATTGATGTTTACCCAAATATGTTTTGTGTTTTGTTTTGAAAGAAAATGTTCTGTATTTTGTCCGGAAAATGTTTTCTATTGATGTTTACCCAAATATGTTTTGTGTTTTGTTTTGAAAGAAAATGTTCTGTATTTTGTCCGGAAAATGTTTTCTATTGATGTTTACCCAAATATGTTTTGTGTTTTGTTTTGAAAGAAAAATGTTTTTTATTTTGTTTTTCCAAATATGTTTTGTATTGTTTTGATAGAAAATATTTTGTGTTTTTTTGAAAGAAAATGTTTTGTATTATGTTTTGATGGAAAATGTTTTAATGTTTTGTTTTCAAAGAAAATGTTTTTTATTTTGTCCAGAAATGTTTTGTATTAATGTTTTACCGGAAAGTGTTTTAATGTTTTCCGGCCATGAGTAATATAAATAACTTTTGATTGACAAAAGTTTGCTGAAAATCCTTCCCTTGGATTTTTTTAAAAAAAAAGGGGCGAGGCAATAAAGTTCAAAAAATTTTTCTTAACAGTGAGAATGTATTTAAAAATTAAAATAGGAACAACAATTTAACTTCAACAGCAAATTAAAACAAAACAAAAATTTTCTCCTCGGCTTACTTCTTCCTAAAATTTAAACAAAAATTGGAAATTATTAAAAAAAAATTTTTTAAATGATCAAATACCCAAAAAATTTGAAAAAAATTTTTCAACAAATTTTTAGTCAAAAGTCAATCCAAAAGTTAAACTTACAAAGATTAATTTTCTTTATTAAACGACGATGGACCATCGTTACTCATATCACCTTAAAAATTAGTTTATAACAAAATTTAGCGGATTCATAATATATATAAGATTTCTGGATTCTGAACATTAGAAATGTTTTCTCTTACCAGTTGTTTTCTTCTTTTTTTTCAAGCGCTTTTCATTTTCCGTAGTCTCCGTAACTTCAAAATCACCATCTCCATTTGTTTTATCTTTTCTTGATCCATTCTTCTTTCTTTTTGGATCACTATCGTCTTAAATTAATATCAAAAAATTTTATGTATATATTAAAAATGTTTTTCCGGAAAATTATAAATATTAAAAATGTTTTTCCGGAAAATTATAAATATTAAAAATGTTTTTCCGGAAAATTATAAATATTAAAAATGTTTTTCCGGAAAATTATAAATATTAAAAATGTTTTTCCGGAAAATTATAAATATTAAAAATGTTTTTCCGGAAAATTATAAATATTAAAAATGTTTTTCCGGAAAATTATAAATATTAAAAATGTTTTTCCGGAAAATTATAAATATTAAAAATGTTTTTCCGGAAAATTATAAATATTAAAAATGTTTTTCCGGAAAATTATAAATATTAAAAATGTTTTTCCGGAAAATTATAAATATTAAAAATGTTTTTCCGGAAAATTATAAATATTAAAAATGTTTTTCCGGAAAATTATAAATATTAAAAATGTTTTTCCGGAAAATTATAAATATTAAAAATGTTTTTCCGGAAAATTATAAATATTAAAAATGTTTTTCCGGAAAATTATAAATATTAAAAATGTTTTTCCGGAAAATTATAAATATTAAAAATGTTTTTCCGGAAAATTATAAATATTAAAAATGTTTTTCCGGAAAATTATAAATATTAAAAATGTTTTTCCGGAAAATTATAAATATTAAAAATGTTTTTCCGGAAAATTATAAATATTAAAAATGTTTTTCCGGAAAATTATAAATATTAAAAATGTTTTTCCGGAAAATTATAAATATTAAAAATGTTTTTCCGGAAAATTATAAATATTAAAAATGTTTTTCCGGAAAATTATAAATATTAAAAATGTTTTTCCGGAAAATTCTGAATATTAAAAATGTTTTTCCGGAAAATTCTGAATATTAAAAATGTTTTTATGAAAAATGTTTTAAATTATTAATAATTTGTTACCCCCCGTGCGACCAGTTCTAGTTGGTGCACGATTTGCTAAATCATTCACTAAAATTTAAAACAAAATTAATTACAATTATTTACAAATTTTTGCTATTTCTTTTATTTTTCTATTTATAACTTTAAAATCTAATTTTGTTATATACCAGTAATAAAAAAAAGAATTACAATAATTTATGGGAGCTAATTTTACGTGTATTTTAACTTATTAAACTCTCATTTATATTCTCCTAAGCCAATAAAATAAAAATAATTTTTTGGGTCAATCAATATTTTCCCCAAACTTTCTTAAAAATTATTTTCAATTTCCGATTGTAATTTACAATTTTTAAAATTTAATTGTAAATTCTTACAAGCTGCACTAAAGTTCAGGTTCATTTGAGGTTCAGGAGTGAAAGCAACACTAGCTTCACGATTGAAATCAAAATTCTCTTGAGGTGCTAAAACCTCTGCTTGATTACGTTTTCTTTTTAAAGGTCGTCGTGTGTCTAAATTATTATCAAAAAATTTTCAAAAATTAAAAAAAATTTTTTCGGCCTCCAAAAAAATATTCTACAAAAATTTTTTCTCAAAATTTTTTTCTCAAAAAAATTTTTTTACAGAAAAATTAACTTTCAGTAAAAATTAAGCACCTGAAAAGACATGTTCAGTACATTTTTCTTGAACCTTTAACATTTTTTCTAAAAATTGATCATTATTTTCTTCTCCTTTTTTAGACGCCATCTTTTTAAAAAGATCAGTTTGTTTAACAGCAAAATTAATTTTAGCAAGCTTTAATTGTTTGTTTATATTTGTGCTTCTCATTTTAAATATTTTTTGTTGTTTAATTAAAATTAAATTTGTTGCAGAATTTTTATTTTTAAAAATTCTTCTTTAATTAAAATTAGAAAAAATTTTTAAAATATTATTTTACAAATACATAATAAGTTTAAGGATTTTAAACTTTAAAAAAAAAGAAAAAAATTTTTTTAGCAATTTTTAAACCAGGGTTACGATTCGTACTTTTTTAAAAGTATGTTCTTTTAAATCAACATTTTGGATTGAAAATGAAATTGGGGAAGACATTGGGCAAAAAAGTGAAATTTTTTGGCCTACGGCCTTCAAAATTCTTAGAATTTTCGCCTGCGGTGCCAAAAATTAGGCGCAGAAAAATTATTAAAAAAAAATATTTTTAATTTTTAAAAATTAAATAAAAATTAAAAAACCCTAAAGGTATTGAAATAGAGAAACGGCGGTCATGAAACGCGAATAAAAAGGGGTTGGAATGTTTTTATAATTAACTGATTTAATTTTCAAGCCTTTAAAAATTAATTCAAAAAAAATTTTTTTTGAATTTTCTAGAACAACTTCTAAAAAATTTTCCAATTTTTTTTTAGATTTTTTAAGGTCAATTTTAATTATCCAACTTTTTGGTTCCAAAAAAGTTGAAAGGGAGAACATGCCCATATCCACAGTTGATGACTTGAGAAATAGCCAATTCAAACAATCCATCATACCCAACAAAGGGTTGTTGTTGTTGTTGAGGTTCGAAAGCTTCACATTCCTGTGGCTAGAAAAATTTTTTAAAGAGAAAAAATTAAACAAAATTAAAATTTTTTACAGCTTTGCTAAACAATGATATTTTCCTGTGTTTAGCCAAGCTGTAAATTTTTTTGTCTTCAATTTAAAATCCGATTAGAAAAATAGAAAATACCCAAAAAATATTATAATTAATTTTAAGAAATTTATTAAAGAGAAAAAATTAAATTTTTCAAAAATCAGAAGAAAAAAGGGAGTTCCTTGTCAATAAAACAAAATTTCATTTATTTTTTTACCTCACTTTTAACTTCTTTTTTGATCGGTTTAAATTTTTGTAAAATTTTGTTGATTGTCGAATCATCAATTTTTAACAATTTTAATTGATTGGACAATTTATCCAAATCGTCCTGGTCTACTAGAAGTTGAGAAGGGTTGGTTGTTGTTTTGTTGTTTGGGGACAATGAAGGAAGGGACGTTATTTTTTCCATTTTTGGAAGGTCACGAGGAAAATAGTTTTTTGTAAAAAAATTTTAGAAGTCAAAAAAATTTTTTTTGATGTTTTTTTAACTTTTTTGTTGATTTTTTTGTTGATTTTTTTATTTTTTTCTGTCAAAATTTTTTTGTAGTTTTTTTAAAAAATTTTTTTGATGTCACCAAAAGTACTTAAATACAATAAAGTTGTTGACTAAAAAATTCAAAAAAATTTATTTTAATTAATTTTTAAAAGCTTGAAAAATAAATCAGTTAAAAAAACTGACGGAAAAATAGGACGAAGATAAAATATTTTTTTTTAAATAGGGATTGAACTGAAAACAAAATCAAGCATTTCCAAAAATTTCAAAAAAATAAAATTTAGAAAAAAATTTCAAAAATTTTTTAACCCAGAAAAATCATCCAAAAAGTTCAATCCCCTACTTTTTAAAAATTAAAAAGCAAAAAAAAATCAAATAAATATAACTGAGAGAGCCATAAATCATTAAATAATTTCAAAAAAAAATTATTTATTTTTCTTAAACTTAAAATTTCTCTCTTCCACACATTTTTTTCGATTCAATTTTTAAGTAAACTTAGCATTCGAAAAGTCCATTTCCGGATGTTGGTCCATAAATCTAAAAAAAAAATAAAAATTATTAAATTAAAGCAAATATTTTAATTTTTTGTAACCAAATCACAAAAATAGGAAACCCCCCCTCCCCCTCCATGTCTCGAAAAAAAAATTTTTCAAACAATCTCAAAAATCCGATTTTCTGACGAGTTATAAACTAGTGTGTTAAGCAAATAAATTTTTCAAAATACTGGGAGTACCGAAAAAAATTTTTAATGTTTCAACAACCGAAACAAGAAAACAAATTTTGAACAAATCTCAAATTTTGAACAATCTAAAATTTATTTACGAGATACGTCATACTATCTCATACTTCTCAATCCGGTTTCTAATTCTAACAAAAAAAAAACCAATTCTCAACTACGAAATTCACAAATGTTTTTCCACAAAAAAAATTTCCCATGATTTTTTAATAATTTTCAAATTTTGGTTAATTCAACTTTGACGGAAACCCTTTCCAAAAAAAATTTTTTTTTGAAATAAAAAAATCCCACTTTTTAAGAATTTCATGCTTCTTCTTTTCCTCAGAAGTTGGTAATCCAAGTTCTTTTTGACGTTGATCATACATCATTTTCTCGACCATTGAACGAGTTTCACCATCCAAATCCTTTAGAAAAAAATTTTTTAATTAAGAAAATTATAAAAAATTAACAAAAATGAGTAAATTCCTTCCCCCCTTTTTTGTCTTTTTTTATAATTATTTTTATAGTCTACCCCAAATAAACTTAAAAAAGAACACAAAAAATAAACAAAAAATGGCTAAAAAAATTTTTTTTAACAGAGAAACCTTTAAAAATAAAATATTCTCAAAAATAAACAAAAGAAAAATTAATTCTAAAGTAGTAGGATTCGAACCTTTGTCCCTTTATATTGTAAAATTTAAAATTATCCAACTACACCATGAAGAAAAAAAAAATTAATAAATCGAAAACTACAAGGGGCAAGGAAAAGTTGTTGACAAAGAAAAGTTAATTTAAAAAAATTTTACAACAAAAAATTTTTTTGAAATAACATTGATTTTCGTGTTGCTTTTTTTATTTAGCCCCTATTTTCCCATAAATAAATCACAAAAAAAAAGAAATAAAAAGAAAAAAAAAGGAAGAACACAAAATTAAAAATTTCACTAATAATAGAGATGAAACTTTGGGAAAAAAAAAGAAAAAATGACCAAAAAAAATTTTTTTTTAAAGAAGAAAATTTCAGAAACTTAAAATATTAAAAAATAATTAAAATAAAAATAATTTGGAATTAATTGGATTCAAACTTACAACCCTTTTACAATATAAAATTTCTAGTTATCCCACTACAACATGAAGAAAATCGAAGAAATTTTATGAAAAAAAGGAAAATAAAGCAAAAAATGTGACAACATTTACAAACAAAAAATGAAATTTTTTTTTCAAAATTTTGGCCTATAAAAAGGGGACACCCAAAATTCATACAAAAATACACCCCTCACCCCATATAATTACCCCAATTTAGTTAAACGGAAAAAAAATTATTAAAAAACAAACAAACCGAAAGTTTTGAATTTTCTGGCTGAACTTTTTGAGTATCAATCTCAGGGTCAGTAAGTAAAAGTTTGTTCCACCAATGCATACCATTTACCTTAAATTAAAAAATTATAAAATCAAAATATGCTAATAAATCAAAAATTTTTTAAAAATGTCCGCAAAAAGTGTCCGAAAAAAATTCTCCGCATGTCAAAAAATAAACAAAAAAAATTTTCTTAAAAAAATCTAAACTCCTATTTATGTAGCTACATAATAAAAAATATAAAAAAAATAAATTTAGGAGAGAAAAATTAAAAAAAAATTTTTGGCACGGTGTACGAAAAAGTCGGCAAAACTGAACCAAAACATTTTACAATTTCAACACAAACAATAGAAAAATTGACAGAGCACTTAAAAAACCCACATTAAAATACCCTTTTCAGAAAAATAGGGAACCCCAAAATTAATTTTTAAAAAATAAATCAAACTAAACCTTATCAACATTCAAAACAACATTTTTCTTGTCTTCAATAATCCAGTTGAGCGATTCAAGTTTAATTTCTTCAGCCAATTCACCATCAACTAATGGTTGTTTTCCTTTAAGTCCAATTTTTAAATGTTTACGTCCAACATCAACAACAACGTCTTTTGCCTTTAAAAATAAAAAAATAATTTTGTTAACTATCGGTTATCCGAGACCTGTTTTTTGCCTAGTATTTTGTGGACAACTTATACAAAATGGTCAAACGCAAGGAAAGGAAGAAAAAGTTTTACGGGTTATAGAGGAAAATGATATAAAGTAAATGCAAGCGCATCCGAAATAGAAAATAATGAAGTAGTAGAAGCCTACACAGTCAAATTGAAAAATAAAAGAATGACCAAAGCCAAAAAATATATGTCAAGCAAAAAAGCTCAAAATGGTCAGGGGAACAAAAAAAAGGGGGACCAGTCTTGGTATTACCAAATGCCCTATACTCCGTACTGGAAAGATTGTATTAGGCCATTGACGATATTTTTAAAAATTATATAAAAATTAAGAGGAAATTTAAAAAAAAAGTTGGCTAACTTATAGCGAGGTTCAACAAAAAAAAATAAAAAAATTAAAAAAACCAACTTTAAGTGGAAATCCAATTCCCTTAAAAACAACTCGAATTTCCAATTCTCCAAGTGTTTGGGTCCATTGATAATTTTCCAAATCACAACCATTCCCCAAATTTGGCTTGATTTTGTCAGACTTTTCCTCTTCTTTATTTTGTCCATTTTCTTCAGAATTATTTTTCAGGTTATTTTCAAGCATTTCTGTGGCTTTCTAAAAATGAAATGAATTTTAGAAATGAATATGAGCATATTTATATAAACAAAAAAGGATTAGAGAGCAAATAATTTAAAAATTATACTGTTTAAAGGCAATTCTCTCATCTGAGAAATTTTGCTTTTCTGTTCGCGGCAGGGCAAAATTTAAAAATAAAAGAATAAACAGGGATAATCAGGCAAAATCAAATGTTAAAAATTTTGGGGGCGGAAGAACAAAAAAGTTTGAAAGAAAGGAATAGGCGGTCTCCTATTCACCTATGGCATTTAATTATCGAATAAAGGAGTAAAGAGAGAAAGAATGACCAGAGACGTGGACGCTATGGCGTGACCGTTATGGCGCGCTCCTCAGAGAGAGTCAGATACTAGCTCATTATTGGAACAACCTTCTCTTTTGTTGGTGCAAAGGTTCGCGCACAGTGTCCCTGTGTCAGGCCCGTAACCTGGATTTTTTCCGAAATGGAAGCAGGGGGGCAAGTGAGGCACCTGTGCCATAAAGGGCCGTACCCTCAAAAGGAGCCAGATAAAAAATGAAGGAAAGAGGAAAGGAACAGTTGAGGAAAGGAGCCCCAAAAACGCTCCCAAAAAATCCAAACCTCTTTAGCTTTTTCAGCATCCAACTTTTTCTGAAGTTGTTCAGCTTCTTCATCAGTCAATTCCTTAATTCGGCTAGTCTCAGTAAATTCCGCCTCTTCCTTAGCTTTTTGAGCAGCCCGTCTTTCAGCCAATTTTTTCTCTTCCGCCTCTTTCCGCTTCAATTTCTCCAAAGCCTCGGCTTGGCAAGTCTTTTCGTATTTTTCAAAAGCATCCAAAACAATTTTCTTTGCGGTTGTGGAAGTAGCTGCCCCAGTATAAAAATCAGTTTTTCGAGAAAGAAAAGAGAAGACATGGTCGAACAGTTCAGGCACACCTCCTTCAAATGAAGTTGCTAAGGACAATAAAATACCGTCTATTTGTTGTTGTCGATCAGTCATTTTAAATAGTATTTTAATTATAAAGTATTTGAAAATAAAAAAGATTTTCTAAAAAAATTTTTAAAATTAACAAAAGAAAACTGAAAAAAAAAATAAGAATAGAAAATCTAAGGTAACCCGACATTTTGCCAACTCCACATTTTGCCAATAAGACCAAAATATCACATTTTGCCAAACAGTTTGTTGACAAAATGTAAATTTTTAGCCTTATTGGCAAAGTGTGTTTTGGCAAATTTTGTGAAAAGAATCTAATAAGAAAGGAGAAAAAATCTTTCTTTCTTTTTCCTCTCTCTTCTTTATGTACTATTTTCATTTTCATTTTGCTTATTTCTATTGACATATTTTCATTTCGTCAAAAACTACTTCGCCAATTTCAACAATAAATTTGTCATTTTTTACTCTAACTTTAAAATTTACGGGTTAAATTTACGAAAATTATGTCAAAAATTTTTATAAAGATTTTAATTTTTACCAAAAAAATTTGGAAAAAAGCTTACGACACCCCCGATTCCCAGGACGTCTCCGTTCCAAGTACTAAGGAGGCCCAGCGTTGCTTAACTTGCCAGATCGGACGGGATGGCGTGCTTTCAACGCGGTATGGTCGTAAGCGAAAGAGAGGCTTTTTTATCTGTTTATAAAGGACAGACAACAAGAATACTCATAATAAAAAAATACAGTACGCCAAATACAGTAAATTTAACCCCTTATTTGTAGATTTATTCTCCCCCAAATTTAAATTTGTTATTTTAAAAAAAGGAAACCCTTGTTACAATTAAAAAGCTAAAAAGAAAACATTCGAACATTTCTCAATCAAACAAAAAATAATTAGAAACGAGCGCTATAAAAATATTTTTCTTTCATGTAATAACCCAATTTCTCTTTTTTTAAAAATCTAAATAAACTTTAAAACTTGAAAAAGTTTTTTTTCTTTTTTAGCTTTTATAGGAAGGGAAGACTTCAAGTATTTTCTCTCCTTTCTTCGGCTTTTTAAAAATTAATTTTTTTTCAAAAATTTATAAAATTCCAACGGAAGGGAGTCGTCCACTCAACGTTGCTTAAATTATTTTTTAAGATGCCTCTATTTATTCAATTAAAATATTTTTTAAATTTATCCTATCAAATTTATTTTTTATTTATTTCCTTATCCTTCTCCCAGGCTTTCTTTTACAGTATGAGTGGTTGGTATTTTTTCTGGAAATTTTCAACCCCCAAAAATTCGTTTTTAAGGAGGTTGTTCGTGCCCAACAGTTGTATGTCCTCCTCCTCCCCCTCCTATTTCTTCTCAAAGTTGTGGTGGAGGAGGAAGTTGTGGAGGGGCATCTGGAGGGTGTGGTGGAGGAGGTGGGGGTTGTGGAGGCTATGGAGGAACTGGAGGTTGTAGTGGAGGGTGTGGAGGAGCAGCAGGAGCTGGAGGTTGTGGTGGAGGAGGAAGTTCTGGAGGATGCGTGGTAATAAACTGTGATAATGGTTGTGGAGGTTCTTCAGGTTGTGGAGCAAGTTCAGGATCAAGTTCAGGATGTTCTGGATCTTCAGGTTGCTCAGGAAGCTCTTCAAATTGTGGAGGAAGTACGGGAGGTTGCGGGACAGGTTCTACAGGTTACGCAAGTCGTGGTAGTTCTGGAGGATGTGGAAGAGGAAGCTCTTCGAGTTGCGGAGGAAGTCACCAAACATATCCATCAGCGTCCAGTTCTGCTCGGTTAACTATCGAATGCTCTAAAGACACAACTACAGGTAGAACTAACCTATCCAACCCAAATATTTTTAAAAAACAGGAGGAGGTTGCGGCACAATAAACAATTGTTTACCTCAACAACAACCACAATCCAACAGTTATGCAAAAAGCAGTTCAGGAGGAGGGAGTTATAGCAACAACAACAATATAGGGCAACAACAGCAACCAACAAGTGGGTGTTCAACTGATTGTTCTCCTCCTCAAGTTCAACTACCCCAGCAACAACCCCAACAACCCCAACAAACCCCTCAACCATACAATCCAATCACTCCTCTTCCCCCTCAAAATTATGTTGCGCCCTCTCTCCCTACAGCAGAATGCCAAAGTGCAACGCCAAATGAATGTAATATTCTCCCTCAACCTTCTATTAGTCCACAACCTGCTTGGTCCTCGGGTGCTGGGGGTACTTATGCACAGAAAAACAATGAAGGGGATAGAGAGCTTCTACAACAAAAAGGAGAGGGGTACTCGGGAAGTGATGGTGGTGGATTTGGGCAGGTAATAGGTCTCTTTGTACCGTCTAACCACTTATTACACCCAATGTTGAACACCTCAATTTAAGATCCTTTAAAATTTTGATTGGTCACTGAGTGGGGAGCTGTTAAAGCAATAACCCTTATTTAAGTGAGACCACGGTTCGGCCATTCAGCCAAAGACCAACGCCAAATTACTGTAGGATGTACCCTATACTGAGCTCCGATTTCATCTAATTCCAAAGACTTCCTTCATTTCTTAAGGGGAACTACGAACAGTCATCAACATTTCCACCTCTCACAACATATAAACAACCACAACAATTACCAGAACAACAACCTATACAACCTCCTCCAATTTCTGAACCAGAAATTCCGCCACTTCCACCTACTGATGAGTATTTAACTTCATTACAGCCTGAAGAAACAACTGAAACAACTACAAAGGGAGAGGAAGAGAAAGAAAATAATTACAAGAGGGATCCACCGGTTAGAAATTTTTTAATTTTTGGGACAAAATATCACCTTAAGGAAAATGGGAAAAAATGTCACAGTATTGAAATTGGGACAAAATGTCACTTAGTGAAAATTTGGACAAAATGTCACTTGACAAAATGTCACCTTAAGGAAAATGGGAAAAAATGTCACAGTATTGAAATTGGGACAAAATGTCACTTAGTGAAAATTTGGACAAAATGTCACTTGACAAAATGTCACCTTAAGGAAAATGGGAAAAAATGTCACAGTATTGAAATTGGGACAAAATGTCACTTAGTGAAAATTTGGACAAAATGTCACTTGACAAAATGTCACCTTGATGAAAATTGGGACAAAATGTCAATTAATATTTCAGGCAATAAACGTAAGCGGAGGCAAAGGAAATGGAGGCCTAAACGTACAAGGGAACAAGTTGGCTTCTGCAATACCCGCAGCAGTTAGAAACTCTTAATTCCCTTTAAAATCAATTTTTTAAAGAAAACAAATTTTGAAAATTCTTTTCCGATGGATTTATATGGAGATGATGAATTGGCATTGGCAGATTATGACGAGGAGATAGATACAAAAACATTTACATCAACTATAAAAACCACATTAAAAACAACACCGAAAATGTTGGAGACGACAACCCCAAAGAAGCTTTTTGCTGTAGTACCGCCAGAGAAGGCTACAACTACCTCTCTCGATGAGAAGGACGATGTAGGGTTTTAAATTTAAATTTTTGAAAATTAATATTTTCAAAATGTCAAATTCTCAAAACGTCCAATCTAAAAATGTCGATTTTTCAAAACACCTAATTTCAAAATGTCAATTTCTAAAATTTCCAACTCGAGACGGGTACACGACTAATAGGCGCGGACGAATAGGCGCCATTTTTTCGGCGCGGCGTTGTCCGCGCCTTTTCGGCCGCGCCCATTAGTCATGCTCCGATTTTAAAACGTCAATTTTCAAAATGTCCATTTCAAAATACCCACTCTCCAAAATGTCAATTTTTTCTATGTATGTTTTAGATTCTCACAAACGACTACTCAGAGCTTTCATTCAAAAAAGTACACGCCTCTCCCCATTCATCAGACAAACTTTATTCAAAATTGGGCACAGAAAATTCCAAATGTAGTTCCGAAACATTGAGAACAATAATGCATGAAGTGTGAATTTTTTAAAAATTAATTTTTAAACATTTCCCCTATTTAATAGAATATTGTAGTTAGTCCAACAATATCTAAACAGTTGATATTCAGTGCTGGTCGATTGACTTTTGGGGCATCGATAGATGTTATTTGTAGTAGAAATAGGTTCTCATATACTGTGGTGGGTTTTTTTTGAAAATTTATTTTTTTCAAAAATTACTACAAAATGGTCAAATTTAAAAATGCCAAACTTTAAACGTCCAAAGTTAGGCAATCCCGGAGAATTGGGGTTTCTTCGAAAATAAATTTTAAAAATAAGAAAAAGGGTTTTTCTAGGGTAAAAAAATATGCTGATTACGAATCTGAGCTCAGATTTTGAAAAAGTCGAATCCCGAACCCGAATTCGGAATTTGACCCCGGACATTGTCGGACATGTACAAAATGGTCAGTCTTCCATAGGCAGGTAGATTAACTGGGATTGCCCAAAATTCGAAAAGTCCAAACGACAAAATGCCCAAATTTCAAAAAGTCCAAACGACAAAATGCCCAAATTTCAAAATGTCACTATTTTTAAAATACTTTAACAGATCAGCTCAAAAATATTTTGTGAAACATCAAGAGGGCCAGTTACTTGTTTTGCTTTTTTACAGCCTTAAATACAGAAACACATATATTTTTGAATTTTTAATATAAAATTGTTTAATAAAAATAAATTATTTATCCAGTAGCACAATTTCTTGTAGTACATTGAACAAACCATCCATTCCCAAAACGTGAGGGAATATTTTGTGAACGGTACAAATACGGGCTATGATTATTTACTGTATTGGAATTGTAATTTCTGTTGTCGGGATATTTGGATGCTGAGTTGTCCGCTGTTGCCCAATTTCTGGAAAAATAAAAAAAATCAGTCGAACCTCCACTATAAAATAACCCAACGCTAGATAACTCCCAAAACATGAGGGAATTTTTGGTTGATGGAGGAAGCTGTCTAGCAGGAATGGATCCGCTTCCGCAGAATTCCGCTTTTTTTGAGCCTTCAGTCTTCCGCTTTTAAAAATCTCAAAATTCCCCATCCCTACTGTCTAAGCAATTAGCTGTCTAAGTCCCTAAAGGTGGCCCTTTACGCAAATAAGGGTCGAATCGTTTTTTCCTTCATTTTTTTCCTTTGGTTAATTTTCCTTAGTAGTTGATGTGTGTTGATGTTTGTCATATGGAAAAATGGAAAGAACTCCTTACCTATGGTCTACGTGTATGTTTTTGCTGCTGCGGAGGAAGCTAAGTATGTCCATCGTGCGAAGATACGAATAGGTTTATGTTACTGGTGCAGACCCCAGCGACCTTTGACTCCCCGCGAGACGCGTGCCGCAAAACCCCGCGCGAAGCGCGGGGTTTTGCACAAGCGTCTCGCCGACTTCCCGTAGGTTTACGTTGTTTATTGTTGTATAAAAAACGTAAAAAAATGTAAAATTTATTTTTCCATTCTCATATGTCTATTCAAATTTCGCAGTTAAAAAATGAAGGAAAAAACGATTCGACCCTTATTTGCGTACACGGTCCCTAAAGGTTATAGCAGGTTTGTCTAAAAATTCAAAAAATACCAACTTGGAATCAAACGGATTTGGAGGATTATATGTTGGAAATGTAGGCAATCCTCTAAGTACTTGAGCACAAATTAGATTTTGTTGGATTAATAAAATAAAAATACAGGATTTAATTAATGTTAAAAAATTCATTGTAAAGAAAAATATAAAAATGTTAATAAAGCTGGTTGCCCCCAATAGTTTTATATTTTCTCGAACAGATCAATTAATCATTCCTTTTTGTTTTATAAAATGATTTGGAGGAATAATAGTCACTTTTAAATTGTCAAAAGAACTCAAAATTTTATTTTTTTATTATTTTTGGCGTAATGTTTATTTTATTTAAAAATGACATTTTATCCCATTTTCTCTTTTTCTCTCCTTACTCTCTCATTTTTGCCTTATCTCTCTTCAGATTGACCTAATTTTTTGGAATTTTCTTTATTCTTTTTTTCAAGTTTTCTTTAGAGATCGAGATTTTTAAAAGGCATGGGCTGTTCCTGGGCTCTCTGTTTGATTTATTGACCTGGGCCGGATCTTGGGCCTGTAGTCCAGAAAAAACCCAGGCTCATGAAAAATTCAGGAAGGTCAAAATCTTGATCTTCCGCTCGATCTCTAGTTTCTTGCAAGGAAAGGTTGCGAGGTGTCCGACCTAAAAACGGTCGAGATCGGGCTCATTCGATAGAAAATGTGCCCTTTCTAACAGAGCTGTGCTAGAAGCCCGATCGCCGTTTTTAAGTCGGACACCTCGCAACCTTTCCTTGTTAGTCTTTTAAAATTTTTATCTGATTTTTTTTCAGCTTCGTGTTGTATTTATGGAAGCAGTTCTCTTGTAGAAATATTCAAAACTGCCAAAAAAACTTTAATCTCTGGCCACATGTCTTTTGAATACGCCAAAGCGCTTTCAGAATATGAACATAAAGGGAGGGTTGGATTACCCGAGGTTTTCTTTTTTATTTTTTAAATTTTTTTAAAGATTTGTTTAAAATTTTAGAAGGTCGATTCTGATCGTATTTTAACAAATAAATGCAATTCTCTTGTACAAATGTTGTGTAGCAGTGAATGCTGTGTTGTTCTGACTGGGGCAGGGATTAGTACAGGTTTGGACTTTTTGTTTAAGGTTTGGGGTTTTTCGAGTCCAATTTGTATTTTTATACTCTGCTTTTTAATCCTGAGAAACACAAGGGCTGAAAATGCCTGGATTTGTGTTTTGGTCTTTAAAACTGGTCGTGCATTGTCCGTCTATTGAACCTATAATTTGAACCTATCTCAAAAATTTTTTGTTAGAAATCGAAGATCTTAAAGACCTTGACTGTAGCAAGCTTTTAAAGGATAATCATTAACCTTAACTGAATTATTGGCCTTGATCACTTGAAAATCAAGGTACTTTAGAGAATTTAGAGGCAGCCCTCCCGCAGGTTTTCCCATACTTAGGTTTTTCCGTGGGGAAGAATGCTTTCCACTTTTAATTTTTCTATCCAATTGATTCACTTCCTCTTTGACTCCCAAAATTTTTTTTTTTCAGCCGCCGGAATTCCCGACTTTCGAGGCCCCAACGGTGTCTGGACTTTGGAACGTCAAAAAAGGCAAATGCCAGAGGGCGTTAGTTTTGAACATGCCACACCTACTTTCTCCCATTTTGCTTTGACTGAACTTGAAAAGTGTGGAAAAATTAAATTTTTGATAACACAAAATGTTGATGGACTGCACAGTCTTTCTGGATTCCCAATTGAACGTTTGGCTGAATTACATGGAAATATTTTTGTGGAAAAGTGTGGAAAATGTAAAAGGTTTGGAAAAAATTTTTTTCTAGAAATTTTCCGAAATTTCGCCGAAATTTTCCGAAATTTCGAAAAAAATAAATTTTGAGATTTTCTGAATTTTACAATTTAACGAAATTTCGACAAAACCCGAAATTTCGTCTAAAAATTTTTTTCGAAAATTTTTCCGAAATTTCGGGAAATTTTACGAAATTTCGGGAAATTTTCCGAAATTTCGTAAAAAATAAATTTAGAGATTTTTCGAACTTCTCAATTTAACGAAATTTCGGGGTCACTTTAGTACGTGGGTCCCGGAGTTAATATACAAATGTTATACCATTCGAAAGAGCTAGTCGAGCTGAGTCGAATGCCACAAGTTTTAGCCCGAGGAAAAATTTTTGGACCGAGATATAGGTCCCTGAAATTTGAAAAACCATAGGGGGGACCAAGCTGATTTTTGGGGTAAAAAATTCGAATATGCAAATTATACCTCATTCGAAAGAGCTCTTCGAGCTGAGTCGAATGACACCAAAATCAACGAAATCCGAAAGCATATGGCCGAGTTACAGACTCCCGAAATTTGAAAATTTTTGGGGGGCGATTTTTGGAATAAAAAATTTTCTATACAAATAATATCTCATTCGAAAGAGCTCGACGAGCTGAGTCGAATGACACTAAAATCACCGTGATTGAACAAGATTAGACAAAGTTATAACAAAAAAATCTAAACCTATAGAGCGTCGGCGAGGCGCTTGTGCAAAACCCCGCGCTTCGCGCGGGGTTTTGCTGCACGCGCCTCGCGGGGAGTCTATGGGCTCTGGGTCTTGGCTCGTAACATAAACCTATTCCTATCTCTATTGCTCTGGACGTATTTGGGGCCTCCGTAGCAGCAAAAATCTCCACAGATGCCATAGGTAAGGAGCTAAAAGAAAAGATCATAACTTTGTCCAATCAAGTCGGATTTCGTTGATTTTGGTGTCATTCGACTCAGCTTGAGGAGCTCTTTCGAATGAGGTATCATTTGCATTTTCAAATTTTTCACCCCAAAAAAGTGCTTGGTCCCCCCTATGCTTTTTCAAATTTCAGGGACCTATATCTCGGTCCAAAAATTTTTCCTCGGGCTAAAACTGGTGGCATTCGACTCAGCTCGAGTAGCTCTTTCGAATGGTATAACATTTGTATATTAACTCCGGGACCCACGTACTAAAGTACAGCCGAAATTTCGACAAAACCCGAAATTTCGTCTAAAAAAATTGGTACTTTACGGTTATGGGGCTGCACTTTAAAAATGTTTAAAAAGGGTCATGAATATGGGCAAATTATATGTCATTCGAAAGAGCTCGTCGAGTTGAGTCGAATGAGACCAAAATCAGCGAAATCCGACTTGATTTGACAAAGTTATGAGCATTTGTTTTAGCTCCTTACCTTTGGTCTACGTGCAGGTTTTTGCTGCTGCGGAGGAAGCCAGACTTGCTGACCGCAGCTAAAATAAGCATAAGTTTACGTTACGAGCCCAGAACCCAGCGACCGTTGCCTCCCCGCGAGGCGCGTGCCGCAAATCCCCGCGCGAAGCGCGGGGATTTGCACAAGCGCCTCGCTGATGCCCCCATAGGTTTATGTTGCTTGTTTTGTGTCGTAACTTTGTCTAATCTTGTTCAATCACTGTGATTTTGGTGTCATTCGACTCAGCTCTTCGAGCTCTTTCAAATGACATACATTTTGGTCATATTCATGATTTTTGACCATTTTTACTTTTATGTTTTGACCATTTCGAGCTCGTACCATTTCGAACCCCACATGTTTTTGTTGTCATTCGACTCAACTCGACGAGCTCTTTCGAATGACATATAGTTTGTCTATATTCATGACCATTTTTAAACATTTTTAAAGTGCGGCCCCATAACCGTAAAGTACCAAAAAATTTTTTGAAAATTTTTCCGAAATTTTGCAAATTTTGGGGAAAAACCTTTGCGAAATTTCGTAAAATTCCGAAATTTCGTCAAAAAAATTTTTTTTCAGAAAATACTTTCGAGACTCTCCAATTCCCTCTGTTGGTCTAAAACCCACTGGTCGTCAATGTGAAAACTCTGAATGTAATGGAGACCTTCACGACACTACTTTAGATTGGGAAGACAAATTGCCTGAACCTGATTATCAAATTGCACAAGAATTTGTTCGGTAAATAAAATTATTTAAAATACAGCCAGACCTTATTTATACCTTTAACATTAGATACATTTATTTAAGAACGCTTTCATAAATTTGATTTACTGTTCGATAGGGAAACTTAGTAGGAGAAGAAAAGTTGCCTAATTATACCCTCTATTTAAGATATACCTCATTATAAGGTGCCAATTTTTTGAATTTATAAGGGCAGGAAGGTCGTAGCCGAAAAAATTCGCTTTTTTCCTCAACCCTTTTCCCTAAATTTTTCCTTTTCCCTATTTGAGGAGGGGGGGGGGGTGATACTGGCCTGTTTAAGAGTCTTGTATCTTATGATGAGGTTTAGCCGTATTTCAAGTTTTCCTAAATTTAATTTTTTAAAGAAAATGTGATCTTTTCCTGTGTCTTGGTACAACACTTCAGATTAAACCAGTTGGAGATATGCCTTTAGTTTGTAAGCGTAATGGAGGGAAATTTGTTACAATAAATTTACAAAAGACACAACACGTTAGTTTTTAATTTTATCACGAAGAAATTTTGACCACACATCGCTATTTAAGTCTCAGATTAATTTTCGTTCCGATGTTCCCTTATCGGACTCAAATGGGGAGGTATTAATAGAGGTCGGAACGGGTCCGGGACCCGTTTTCCGGTTTTCGGGTCCCTTTTCCCGGTTTTTTTGAAGCAACCGGGAACGGGAATTCCCGGTTTTCCCGGTCCGGGTCCCTCCCGGTCAACCTTCAGAACCCGTTTCCCGGAACCCGGACCCGATTTTTTCAAAATTCCGACCTCTAGGTATTAACTTTTTTGCCCTTCCCCTTTAATGAAACTTTTTCGCCAGAATTTTCATTAAAGAGATCCAGGATAGTTATGTACTTGAGCATCTGATAGTTAAAAAATTTTTTTGTTTAAAGGAAAGAAAAGCAGATTTAATAATAAATGCAAAACTTGACAACGTTTTTTGGCGTGTTTGTAGTTCTCTAGGGTTACAACTTTCTCCAAATTTAATAAAAACTGAGAGTAACAACAATTTAAATTTATTAAAAAATCCTTCACCAATTTTTACAAAAAGTGAAATTGAGGAATTTGATAAAGAAATAAAAAAAGAATTAAATTTTAGGGAAGGAAAAAAGCGTAAAAATGCGTCGTCAAATAATAAAAAAATGACGAAAAATAATATTAAAAAGGTTAATAATAATGATAATTAAATTATTTTTTAAAAAGTCAAATCTTATTATAAGATATATCTCCTCCTTGTTACTGAAAAAATTTTAGTAAGATCTTATGATAAAGATCCAGCAAAGGTGTAGCCGAGGGGGGGGGGCGTCCTTTGAAATGGGGAAATTCAAAAAAAATGTGTTCGGAACGCCAAAATTTTGGCGCATACTTAATTTTGGCTTGTGCTTGAGAGTTATCTTATAATGATGTTCGACTTGTCTAGGGACTGGGCCGTTTTGGCGCGGGGCCGTTTTAACGCGAGCTTATAAGATAGCGAGTTGCTTATCAAAAATGATAAAATTTTGCAATAATAACTCTCGTGCCTTTATCTATGTTCTCCAAAAATTTCAGAATTTTTGATCGAGAATTTCAGAAATTGTGGCCTTCGGAAATATTGGATGAAAAATTCTGGAATTTCTGGAAGAGGTAGTCAAGGATGTTAAAGAAATTTGAGAAAAATTTTATAAATTCAGGTCTCGCTTAAGTGCCACTTTTTTGTTCTCGCGTCAAAACGGCCCGGCGCCAAAACGACCCCAACCCCTTGTCTAATATTCTTCTTAATTAATAAATTTAATATTATTTTTAATGTAATTTACCCCCTCCTTTTTTTTTAAATTAAACCACGTTTATGTGTACTGATTTAAGTTATGTTGAGGTTTATAGTTTCACTCAATAGCTAATCAAAATTTTAAAAAATTTTACCCATAAATGAGGTCTCTCACTTTAAGTGTTTTTTTTTGTAATATTGCATTTATATTTTCGTTCATAAATGTTAAAGATTTTTTAGGGTTCTTGGAGTCTTTCACATGCAACCTTTAATTAACCTTTTAATATTTATAAAGGTTTCCTCTCCCTTTTGATTTTCCCTCATTTTTACATCCAAAAGATTAGAAATAAAACAAGTTTTCTATTTTTAAGAAAATTTGGGTCACGCACTTGTACGCGTATTTTTATTTTTGATTTATATATCCTGTTCCTCTCTTATTTTTTTGTTCCCTCATTTTCCCTCATTCACCCATTAATTTTTATTTATTTGCGCTTTCCTTGTTCTAAACGGCGCGATTTTCCTCAATTTTCTCTTGATTTTAATTTTATTTTTTAAATTTTCCCTTTAAAAAAATTTCCCAATTCTATTTTCTCTCCAAAATAATTTTTATCAATTTGTTACACTATTTTTTTTACAAAATAAAAATGTTTTCCGTCGAAAGGGTTCGAACCTTTGACCTATTTTGGGGGAGTAGGCGTCCTCATCCCACTTAACCAAGATTTTCCAATAAAGGCAATGGACCTCAAATCAATTAAAATTTTATAAAACAGTCCAAATACAAGCTAAAAATCTGAAATTTTGCAGTTTTATTTCTAAAACAGTTTTCTTTGTTACCTCAAAATTTCAGAATTTATGGTTTTGTTTAAAAAAAGTTATGTTCAAAAAAGTGGCGGAAATGGGCATTTTAGCCTATTTTTGGGTTAATAATTGGCTTTATTTTTTATTTAAAATATCAAAAATTTTATTAAAATAATTATTGAAGGCTTTAAAAATATTTTTAAAAAATTTTAGAATCAATTTATCTTATATTTTTGAGTGGACAAGGTATTTTCCCTCCTCCCAATTTTCAGACTCTAATGTCCATCCCCTGGGGCTATTGAACAGGAACTCTTCTTTAATTTTATTAATCCTTCCCATCCTCTTCTAATTCAATTTTATAATCTAATTTATTCTTTAGCAAGTTTTTTTTTCGTCATCTTCCCTATTTTCGCCCCCTCAAGTTGCGCTAGGGGATGTTGCAGGGGGATGTTGCCAGTTCACTGCTTTTTTACATTAAACTGTACAATAGAGGGGGAATATTTGGACTGGTAAAAAATGAATATATTTATTTATATTGATTTGCCGCGATGTATTTTTAGAATCTTACGTTAGAATATTATTTTAAATAGCTTTAAATTTATTCTGAATTGGCTTTGGATGGGGTAAATCTGACTAATCAAAAACGGGTTATTAGAGTCTGGTTTTAATATTTTTCAGTCTCTGGCCCGTAGGCTGTTGATCAGACGGGAGTCTTGATTGTCTGAGGCGGAGTTGATCTTTTTGTCTATTGGGTACTAATTAGGGTTGCAGTTGGGTGTGTTGATATTGTGTGTGTGTGTTTGTTGATGAGTTGGGTATTGTGATATTTAGTGGGACACGCCCAATTAGGCGCGCGGCCATAACGGCGCTAAGCCATAACTTGCTGAAAAATTTTCTGGCCCTATCAATTTTGGTAACAATCTTTTTAGCTCGATGAGAGGAATCGTTTAATACTAAATTTTGTAATATTCGGAAATCTTGAAGTAAATTATGGCTCTACGCCGTTATGGCCGCGCGCCTACTTGGGCTGTACCCTATTTAGTGTTGATCAGATGAGCGATATTTAAAATGGTGATCAATTGGGTATAGCCTTGAATTTCTCTCCCTTTCGTTCTTTGAACCTTTAGAGTTTATCAAAATTAAATTTTTTTTATCACTCCCTGCTTCATCTACTTAAAATCAACAGCAAATGTGAATCATTTCACACTCTTTTGATTTTTTTTTCAAACAAATTAATTTTCTACTTAAATTAATTCCTTCCCTTCCCCTCTTTATTTTATCGCGCCATCGTCACCGGAACACGTTTATTTATTTTAATACTTGTTTTGTCTGTCTTCTTTTTTTCTTTTTTTGCTTCTTAATTTGTCTTGTTTTTAAGCATTGATAAATAAAAAAATAATTTTTTTTTCGCTCTGATAAATTTATTGCCGTTCAATCCTCCCTCCCTTCGTTTTTCGCTCATCTCTTCTTCCCTCTATTTTATTGACCAATCATCCATCCACTCATCCTTCTTTATTCAAGGTCCAACGACTAGCTTTTTAATATTACTATCCCTCCTAAAAATATTTTTTGGGAAAGAGGATTTCCTGTTTTTGGATTAAAATAATTTATTTTTAGTTTTGGGACCAAATGTCCCCCCTTATTTTTTTGATAAGAAAAAATTGTGTTTTATTTTTTTTTTAATTTTTGTCTAGAGGGGTTTTTAATATTACTATCCTTCCTTTAAATATTTTTTTGGGAAGGAGGATTTCCTGTTTTTGGATTAAAATAATTTATTTTTGGGACCAAATGTCCTCTCTATTTTTTTTTGATAAGAAAAAAATTGTGTTTTAATTTTTTTTAAATTTTTGTCTAAAGGAGCATTCATTTTGCAATTTTTGAACATTTTATTAGTCATTCTGGACAGAATTATTGTAGAGTTATTTTAATCCTTTGATAGTGAGAGCGGAGTGGACGACTACGACTTGGGGTTGGATTTTCCCCTATAATCCTAAGATGAATTAATTTTTGAAAAAAGAGCTTGGTACCATTCGATAGAGAATTAAATTCTCTATAAAACAAAATTTAAATTAAAAATTTTTATTGAGAGGAAAAAAAGTTATGGCAAAAAACCTTTCAGAAACTCAACCTTTTATTGACCTATCCTTTGATTTTTGGCCACAATTCTTTTTGCTCGTTCATTTCAATTTTTAATTTTATTATTTTTTGTAGCTAAATTCCTGCTCTATTTAATCATACAAAAAATTATTTTAAAAAATTTTTTATTTTTTTTTTCTTGAGAAATTTTAAATCAACTGAGGCCCTTTTCCTTGCCTTTCTAACCCCCTTGTCTTAAGAAATTTTTTTTCGTCTTAATTTTAAATTTTTTCAAATTTTTCCATTAATTTTTTAATCGTTTTCTGATGGATTAACTATTAAAAAATAAAAAAATATTTATGAATGACAATCACACGCCTTTTCTTTCTTCCTGCTATTTTTGTTGCTGCCACTTTACTACTTTGGTTGTTAATTTGTTATGCACCTGAATGGCCTCAAATTGCGGAAACATCAAAAATAACTGATAAAAATATGACAACAGATAATATTGAAAGGAAAATTGTTGAGAAAAAATTTGTGAGTGATGGAGGTGAATTTTAATTAATTTTTGGATTTAATTAGATTAGTGGGGGGGGGGGTATTTTTGAGTTGGTGGTAGTTGAGGACCCATAACTTTGGGTTAAATAGAGATATAAAGTTGATTTTTATTTTAAACGATAGAGGAGATTCAGAGCTACAAAATGCCTGAAAATTAGATTCTTGGATTAAAAATGAACAGACTTGTGAATTTCTAAGGAGTTATGGTCAAGGTGCTTGTTAGGAGGAGGCGGCAACTTAGGGACCCATAACTCTGGGTTAAATAGAGATATAGAGCTAATTTTTCTTTTAAACGATAGAGGAGATTCAGAGCTATAAAATAGCTGAAAATTGGATTTTTAAATTAAAATTGAACAGACTTGTGAATTTTTAGGGAGTTATGGGTAAGGCACTTGTTCTTAGCAGGCGACAACTTTAAAAATCCATAACTTTGGAGTAAATACTGATATAGAGTTAATTTTTCTTTTAAACGATAGAGGAGATTTAGTGCTACAAGATGGCTGAAAATTATATTTTTGGATTTAAATTGAACAGACTTGTGAATTTTTAAGGAGTTATGGTCAAGGTACTTGTTAGTAGGAGGTCGATAACTTTAAAAATTCATAACTTTGGGTTAAATAAAGTTATAAATCTAATTTCTGTTTTAAATGATAGAGGAGATTAAGTGCTACAAAATTGCCAACTTTTAAAATTTTAGCTTTAGTTTAGACAAAGTTATGAATTTTAAAAGAAGTGTGGTCAGGCACAAGAGTAAACGACCAAATTTATTTTTATTTTTTTTTAAAAATCAAAATTATAATTTTTCAAAATTAATTTTAATTTTTAGACGATTCATTGTCTTCTCCAGCTCCATTTGTATTAGAATTACCTACTCAATTTGAAAATTTTACTTCTTTCACTGCCCGCTTCCGGCTTTATGAACAAAGGCATACCGCCTACATATTTACATTATTTACTTGTATTTATTTGTATAAACAAACATTTGCTATCCCTGGGTCTTTTTTTATGGTGAGAAAAATTTTCAAAAAAATTCTGAAAAAATTTCAAAAAATTTCAAAAAAATTTTCAAAAAATTTAAAAAAATTTTAGAAATTTTTTTTGAAAATTTAAAAAAAAATAAAAAAATTTTTTCAAAGAATATTATTGCCGGTGCAATTTATGGCCTACCCATTGGCTTTCTACTCTGTTCCGTTTTGACTACAATAGGCTCTACTTTGTGCTATTTATTCTCAGAATTATTTAGTCGAGAATATGTTTTGTATTATTTTGGAGAAAAAATTAATTATTTACAAAGGAAAGTGGACGATAATTCTCATAGATTGTTAGCTTTCCTTTTATTCGCAAGAATGTTTCCGATCTCACCATCCTGGCTCCTCAACATTGTTGCTCCTTTTTTAAACATTCCTTTACCGTTGTTTACATTTTCTGTGCTTGTTGGGCTCGCTCCATACAACTTTATTTGTGTTCAGGTACTTTTTCTTTGTTTCCGGAAAAACATTTATAAAACATTGTTTGGATAATAAAAACATTTCGGGAAATGTTTTCCGGAAAAACATTAAAACTAGAACACTTTTCCAACTAAAACATTTTTCGGAAGATGTTTCCCTTTAAATTATTTATCCGGAAAAACAAAAACACCTTAAAAACAAAACTAAAAACAAAATAAAAACATTTGTTGGAAAATGTTTCCCTTCAAATTTAACCGGGAAACAAACAAAACATTTTTCAAAACATCTCTAAAAACAAACAAAACATATTCCAAAACATTTCTAAAAACAAACAAAACATGTTCCAAAACATCTCTAAAAACAAACAAAACATATTCCAAAACATTTCTAAAAACAAACAAAACATGTTCCAAAACATTTCTAAAAACAAACAAAACATGTTCCAAAACATTTCTAAAAACAAACAAAACATTTTTCAAAACATCTCTAAAAACAAACAAAACATATTCCAAAACATTTCTAAAAACAAACAAAACATGTTCCAAAACATTTCTAAAAACAAACAAAACATGTTCCAAAACATTTCTAAAAACAAACAAAACATGTTCCAAAACATCTCTAAAAACAAACAAAACATGTTCCAAAACATCTCTAAAAACAAACAAAACATATTTCAAAACATCTCTAAAAACACAACATTTTTTTTGTTTTTCAGGCAGGTTTTATTCTCTCTGATTTGCGTGGTTGGGACGATGTTTTTAGCACAGCAACAATGTTAAAGTTAAGTTCGTTTGCTCTCCTTCCTCTCTGTTATGCAATGTTTGTAAGGAAAAAACGATTACAACATGTAAACAACAACGCATTAAAAAGTATAAAATGTTTGTCTATTCCTAGAAAACACAACAACAAACTTTTTTCTTTTTCTACAACTAAAACAACAATATTTCCTCACAACAACAACACTAAAAACATTGAAAGCTCAACAGAAATGTTTTGTTCAGAATTTGAACATGTTGTGTTAAGTAATGACGAGAATTCAACATCTTCCTACTCAACAAACAACTAACTTTTTTAATTGTTATATGTTTTTAGCTTTTCCGGAAAAACATCTACTATAAAACATTCCCTAGTTCAATAAAAACATTTTCCTGAAAAACATTCAAACTGAAACACATTTTTCCCAATAAAAACATGTTCCGGAAAGTGTTTTCCGGGAAACATTAAAACTAAAACACATGTTTTTTCCAATAAAAACATTTTCCGGAAAGTGTTTTCTGGGAAACATTTTCTGGAAAACATTAAAACTAAGACACGGTTTTTCCCAATCAAAACATTTCCCGGAAAACATCTTCCATAAAATGTTTTCCGGAAAACATTAAAACTGAAACACATTTTTCCTAATAAAAACATTTCCCGTAAAATGTTTTCCGGAAAACACTAAAACTGAAACACATTTTTCCCAATAAAAACATTCTCCGGAAAACATTTACCTTTAAATTATTTATCCGGAAAACACGCAAAAACATACTCTAAAAACACAAGTCTAATTTTTAATATTGACCTTATACTACATTTTAATTATAAAAATACCAGATTTATTTTTTTTAATTTTTTATTGATGTATTTATACTTTATCTTTGCCTTTCATATTTTTACATAATTTTAACAAGTGCAATAAATATTAAAAAAAAATTTTTTAATTTTAAAATTTCTCTAATGTCAATTTTCTTCACATAGAGCTCTTACAACAGAAGGGTCTAATAATTTTGGTTGAGCACATTGATTCACTTTAGAAATTAAAATTTATTAAAGAGAGAAAATTTTTCTACCAGCAGCCGTCACAACATCCTCAATCGACATATTAAGCATATGTTCATCCCCAGCATGTGCCCAAAGTTTCTGTCGCATATATGCACAATCGACCTAAAATTTAAAATAATATTTTTTAAAGCAAAAATCTTCTTAAAAATAATTTTTTTTCACCTGTAATTGTTCTAATCCGTTTCTTGAAAATTTGGGTTGTGCACGAACAAATTCACATAAATACAAACTCAGCAGACGAATTAAAGCATTCATAACCTTTTAAATTAAAATGAACATATTTTAAATGTTTTTATTATTAAACATGTTTTCCGGAATGTATTTTCCGAACATGTTTATAATATGTTTTCTTCAAAAACATTTCCGGAAAATACATTCTTATTTTTATTAATTAAACTTGTTTTCCGGAAATTTCCGGAAAATACATTCTTATTTTTATTAAACATTTTACGGAAAACATCAAAACTTAAACACATTTTTCTAATAAAAACATCTTCCGGAAAGTGTTTTCTGGGAAACATTAAAACTAAAACACGGGTTGCCTTTCATATTGTTTTAATGTAAGTTTATGTTTTGTAAGTCAATGTTTTAATTAAACTTGTTTTCCGGAATTTTCCGGAAAATACATTCTTATTTTAAAACTTTCTAGATTTCTTAACCAAATAAAAACACAAAAATTCAAAACTTACAATATCCCTTCTAAATTCCACTTTTAAATTAGCCAAAAATTCTTTTATAGCACCTTCACCATTTTTATTATTTTCCTCTCCATCAGTATCATCATTATCATCATCACCCCAAAGACGTTCAACTATTCCTCCACTACTTCCACCCAAAGAAGAATTGTTGTCATTATTGTTGTTATTATTGTAGACGCTACTAGCTACACTTGCTGCTCTTCTCATTGTATAATAACTTGAAAAAAATTTTTTTAATTAAAAAATTAATTTCCATCCCGAAGATGTTTTAATTAAACATAAACATATGTTTTTGGTTATGTGTTTCTTTTTTAATTAATTTTCCGGAAAATGTTTTAATTAAACTTTAATGTGTTTTCTTTTTAAAACATTTCCGGAATGTATTTTAAATAAAATTATTTAAACATTTTAATTATACGTGTTTTCCGGAAAATGTATTTACTAAAACATTGTGTTTTTGTTAGTTTTCCGGAATGTTTTTCTCCTGTATTTTAAACGAAAAATATTCCAATGTGTTTTAATTAAACACATGTTTTCCGGAAAAGTATTTTCAGAAACATTGTCTTAAAATTATTTGTTTTTCTCTACCCATGCGACGATTCTGGTGTTCTCTCCTTCGAAGCAGTAAAGCCATCATTCTCCAACTTAAAGATTATTAAAAGAACATTTATCACAATAAAGACTAACTAAAGCAGCCACATCAACATCCTTTTCTGCCACAGAACGTACCAAATGTTTAATTAAAGTACGCACACGTTGTGGAGTTTCTGAACATTCTGCCCATTCAAAAGTAAAAATACATTTATTTGCAATCTGAAAACAAAATTTCTTTTTTCAAAAAAATATAACCTTAGAAAGTGATAAACTTTCAACTTGTATATATTTCCTCAACAATTTTTCTATTATTTGTTGTAATTGACTTGTTGGTGTTTCAATGTTTGTAAGTTTGTATTGGTTAGAGAAGTGAAAATCGTTGAGTCTTAAAAATAAAAATACATTCCGAAAAAGTTTAAAAAAAAACACATTTTATAAACATTCAATTGTGTTTTTGGAAAAACATTCCGGAAAAATACAACAAAAACAGTGTTTAATAAAAATAAAAACAGATTTCCGAAAAATGTTTTCCGGAAAACATGTTAAAAACATACATATTAAAACATGTTTATTTAAAATACATTCCGGAAAAGTTTTTAAAAAGAAAACACATTTTATAAACATTAATGTGTTTTTGGAAAAACTTTCCGGAAAAAATACAAAAAAACACAATGTTTAATAAAAATAAAAACACAGTTCCGGAAAATGTTTTCCGAAAAAAATATAAAACAAACAAAAACACAATGTTTATTTAAAACACATTCCGGAAAAGTTTTTAAAAAGAAAACACAATCAAAACATGTTTAATTAAAACATCTTCAGGAAAATAAATTAATTAAACAAAACACAAAAACACACCTATATTGTTGTTGTGCTAATTCCAACAAATATTCCAAATGTTTTAAACGCAAATTTCTTAAAAGCGCACAAAGAATTAATAATTCTGTTCCTTTTCCTTCTTCTTCATTTTCTGTTAAAGAATCAATTCGTAAATTTATATTTGTTGTCAAATCTTGAATTGAGCCAATCTAAAATAATTTAAAGGAAAGAAAAATTTTAATTAAATATTTACCACAATTTGTTCATGAACATCAAAACCAAAAATAGCAGTAAAATGAGGAATTGAAGAAAATATAATATCTGTTGCTGTAAACCTGGAAAATAAATTATTAATGTATTTATTGTTAAAAACATTTTCCGGAAAACACAGAAAAAGGAAAAACATCTTCCGGAAAACTAAACAAACATCAAAACAATGTTTTACCTGAAGTTTAATTTGTTTTCCGGAAAAGTTGCGTGTGTGTTTTTACCGAACATGTTTTTATTAAAAATTTGTTTATTAGATGTTTTTGTGTTTTCTTGTGATTTCCGGAAAATAGAAAACAGGGAAAAACATTTTCCGGAAAATTAATCAAACATGAATAAACATTAAAACAATGTTTTTCCTGAAGTTTTAATTACATGTTTTCCGGAAAAGTTGCGTGTGTTTTTACGGAACATGTTTTTATTGAAAATTTGTTTATTAGATGTTTTTGTGTTTTCTTGTGTTTTCCGGAAAACTTTTACATGTAAACAAATTTTTAATAAAAACATGTTCCGAAAAAAACACAAAACATTTAAAAACACAAAACATGTTCCGGAAAAACACAAAACAATTAAAAACACAAAACATTTAAAAATACAAAAACACATCCAAACAAACATTAATAAAGAAGCCAAAGCGCTTTTTATTGAATGTAAAACACAATGTTCTATTTTATCCAATAATTCTCTCAACAATGTTTTTCGAGCATTATTGTTGTTGTTACTGGTAGCACCAGAAGAATAGAATTGACCTTTATCACTATGGGAGGAGGAAAAAGCGATAGGTGTTGAATTATTTAATTTTGTAAATGCCTTGAAAAAATTTTTTGAAATTAAAAATTTTTTAACTATAAGAATTATTTGCGGACTTGCAATAATCCGCAAAATTTGTCCGCAAATTTTCTGAATAATCCGCAAATTATTTGCGGACCTGAATAATCCGCAAAATTTGTCCGCAAAAAATTTGCGGACTTATAATAATCTTCAAATTATTTGCGGACATAATACCAGGGTTTATTTAATTGGAAAATTTTTTTTCAAAAAATAATTTTAACCTCATTTATAGCCTTTTGTATTGTTTCACCAACAAATTGACGGCACAAAATAATTTGATGTTTTGCTAAAAATTTAAAAATTAAAAAAAAAAAATCTTAAAAAATTTTTACCAGCACGATGAACTATAGAAGAATTCATTCGAGTAAAGCTGAAATCTGAAAGAAAAAAATTTATATTTTTGCGAATTTTAAAAATCCGCAAAAATTGTCCGCAAATTCTTGCGGACTTTTTTTTTTAAAAATTAAAAAAAATCTAACCAGGTGAAATCCTTGCTAAAACAGAAATTTTTCTACAAATTCTATCCAAAGATTTTACAAATAGAGAACAATCAACAGAGTTAGTTTCATTAGCAAAACGTTTATCTACAATTTGTTCAAATATAGTCATTACACGTTCAAGTAAATGGGCAAATTCTGCTCTAGAATGCTGCAAAAAAGGAAAATTTTTTTATTTATGGAATGCGAACACAATTTACGGACTTATAATAATCCTTAAAATTAGTCCCAAAAAGAATCCGCAAAAATAAAGAATCCGTGAAAGAATCCGCAAAATTTGTCCGCAATTAATTAGCAGAATTAAAATACGTCAAAAAATCTATCCGCTTTTATTTTGCGGACATAAAATAAAATCCGAAAAATAATTTGCAGACTGTCCGGAAAGTCCGCAAATTATTTTACGGAAAGTCCGCAAAAATTGTCCGCAAATATTTTTCAGAATTGAAATAATTCACAAAATCCATCCGCAAAAATATTTGCGGACTTTATATAAAAAACATATCTGCAAATTATTTGCGGACTTGTAATAAAGTCCGCAAATTTTGTCCGCAACTTTTTGCGGACTTTAATTTAAAAAACCTGTTTATTAAACAATTGTAAAAAAGTAGAAGCCATCAAAGAAACATTAGTCAAAAAATGACAACAACCAGTATCCACAAATTCAAAAATATCATTAAATTTAATATTAGTTGGTAATTCTCCAGGTATTTGTTGTTGTTCATTTTCTTCTTCTCTCAATTTATTTAATTCTGAATAAATTTCTCTTTCGAATGTTGAAAGTAACTGAGTTTCTAATTCATTTTCGGATATTCCCAATTTTTTTAAAAGCTGAACTGCTTGAATAACTGATTCGGATGAGATAAGACGACGTTCCAATTGTTCAGAAAGCTTGAAAAATGAGAAAAAAAATTTTGAGATATGGTAAAAAAAATTTTTTAAGAGCTAATTTTTTTTGAGATTTTTTTTGACGGTCATGGAATGGTTCAAGAGGAAGGTGGCTCTGTATGAGAGCCTCCCATAGTCCACGATGGTTGAACTCTAATTTCTACAACAGACAAAAAATCTTGTTATAAAATCCCCAAAAACTTGTCACAGATTTGCGGACAAAACTTGCGGACTCTAAGAAAAAATTTAAAAAGAAAATATTTCGTTAGAACCAGAAATTGAGTTAAATTCTAATTCTTATTAAAATTCAAAAATTTTATTTCAACCTGTTTTTTAACTCCTTCCATAATCTTTTCTGAATCGCTAGCAATCCCTACCATTGAAGGAAGATTTTTCAGCTTCTCCAATTTTGGTTGTATTGAAACAAAAGTGTTTACTGCTTTAGAAAAATCGTTTTGCTCGACACAAGTCTTTTAAAAACAAAATTAAATTTAAAAAAAATAATTTTAAAAAACCTGTAAAATCTGAGGGGCTTTAATCAAAAATTCTAAGCGTTTAACTGAATCACGCGCTTCATTCAATTTTTTAACCCGTTCACAATTCTTTGCAAATTTTTCAGTTAGAGAGTCTGACAAGTCTGCAATTTTGTTCATTCGAAGAGATAGGGAGTCCATTTCCTTTAAAATTTTAATTTAATTAATGTCTAAAATAAAGAAAATAAGTAGACGTTCAAAAAAATTTTTTTTCAAAAATTGACACCTTTGGTGTAGTGGGGAAATGCTTGGTTCAGGGGTGTGGGGTTCGATTCCCAAGTGGAGCAAACCATTTTATTTTACTTATGTTAGTAAAAAGGGGGAAATAAGTAGACGCCCCAATAAAAATTTTTCTTAAAAAAATTGACTCTTTGGTGTAGTGGGTAAATGCTTGGTTATTAAAAGGAAAGGGTGTGGGGTTCGAATCCTACCGGGGTGAAATCATTTTATTTTAGATTGTTACCAGAAAAAAATCAAAAAATATAATCTAAATCCTTAAAAATAATTTTAGGGATTAAAAAAATTTTAAAAATTAAAAAAATTTAAAAATAAAAAAAAATAATTTTTTACATTATGTGCATCAGTCAGTCTATTTTGCATGTCTTTCACAGTACTTGTTGCATTTAAAAATTTGCTATAATTTTCGTAAACGAGTGATTGCATTTCAGAATCTAGTCTTCTAACATTGTTTACCTTTAAAAAAATTTTTAAGAATTAAAAAAAATTTTTAAAGACCATATCCTGTTCTACAGCAACCAATTCCTCCAACCCCTTTTTGCGTAATAAATCTTGCACATAATATTCTGGATCAAAGTTTGAAGAATTAATATCTAAAATTGATTTTGAGGATGTTGAAAAACTCATTCTTTTATTAAAATATAAAGTTGGCACAAAAATGTAGTTGGGACGAATCGGGTGTTTTTGTTCAGTGGGACGAAATGGGGCGGCGCGGAAAAATTCGAGAAAAAATTAAAACAAATGAAGTTGAGGGTTCTTCACAAAGTTTTGAAGAGGAGGAAGGGGAAGATTCTTTAATTAATGATGGTCGGTTGTTTTAATAAATTTATATTTAAGAGAAAACATGTTTTGAAAACAAGAATATATTTGTTTTTGTGTTTTGACAACATTTCGAAAAACGGAACATGTTTTTATAGTTTAACCGGAGAACATTTTAATAAAAACATGTTTTACTTTCTAAGCACCGGAAAATTGTTTTTCTAAACACAAAACATTTTTCGGAAAACATTGTTTTAATAATTATATAAACATTTTTTCTTTGTTCAACCGGAAAACATTTTAATAAAAACATGTGTTTTAGATAGTTTTGTGTTTTCCGGAAAGTTTTGTGTTTTCCGGAAAGTTTTGTGTTTTCCGGAAAGTTTTGTGTTTTCCGGAAAGTTTTGTGTTTTCTAAAAACAAATGTTTTGACCGTAAAACATTTTATTAAGGATATTCTGGATTGAAACAGAAACATTTTTTAATCTTTAAATCTTTTTGATTATTTCCTAGCAATAAATTTTTTGCATGAATCCCTCTTTGCCAAAAAACACTATTGTCCAAAAATCAACAATTTAACTGAAAATAATAGTCAATTTGGTTATGGTTTTGGTTGGGTACGTAATGAAGTTTTGGGCAAATTCAAAGAAGAATTTGTTGATTTAATTGATTTGGATGATTCAGAAAATGTTTTAATTGAAGAAAGAAGTCAAAAACTGAAAGAATTTGACGAAAAACATTTTTCTGAACAATATTATTTGTAAATTTTCTTTATTTTTGAAGAAAAATTAATTTCTTAAGGGCAGATTTATTTTCAAAAGAACAATACCAACTCGATGCTATGGAATTTTGTTTTGATAAAAATTGTGTGAAACTAACTGAAGAGGATTTTACAGATTTGAAGGATTTGAGAATAAGAAAGTTGGAGAACTTTTCCAAGGAAATTAATGAAAAGGTGGGGGAATTATGTTTTGAAAACATGTTTTGAAGTGTTTATTTCATTAAAAACATGTTTAGATATTTAAAACACAATGTTTTTCTTACAATTATTTTTTACAAAAACACAACTTGTATTTTCCGGAAAAATGTTTGTTTAATTGTTAACAAACATGTTTTGTTTTAAAAAATGTTTTCCGGAAATTTAGGTTTGTTGTTCAGGAAAAGAAAATACATGTTTTGTATTTTTAATGAAAAGGTGGGGGAAATTAATTATAAAACATCTTCACAAACATGTTTTCCGGAAACATGTGTTTTCCAAATGTTTTTGTAATGTTTTCTGTGTTTTTTCTATAAAAACATTAAAGTTTACCCAAACTTCTAAACATTTTACAAGCATGTTTTTTAAAGAGTCATTAACAAATGTTTGAGAAAGTTTCTGTGTTTGGCCATTAAAAACATGTTTGATATACAAAACACCATGTTTTCCTTACAAATTATTTTTAACTTTTTATTTTCCGGAAAAGTTTTTCTTAATTAACGAATGTGTTTTATCTTAAAAAGAATGTTTCTCTTTGTGTCTTCCTTAAAAACATTTTTAAACATTATAAACATGTTTCCGGAAACTTATGTTTATTTGCTCTGAAAACTAAAACACTATTTTTGTATTTTTCATAAAAAGTTTCCCGTCTCCCACCCACAATTTCACTCAATTTTTCTAATCCTTTTATGCTTTGATGAAAAAGGGTTAAATTTTGGGTTTTTTGAGGGTTATATTTAAATTTTGCATTGCCTATTTTATCCTTTTTCTTCTGATAAAATCTTTTTTTTGAGAAAATTGCCTTTAAAAGCAATAAAATTCAAATTATTCTAACCTTTTTAACCCCTCGCTAATGCTTTTTTCTTTATATAAATATGTTTACTTAATATGTAAAAATTCATTTCATTTTCAGAACACTTGGAGAATTGGAAATTTGTGTTGTTTTTAAAGGCATTGGATTTCCACTTAAAGGTAGAGTTTTTAAATTTTAAATTAATCGACCTCTTTATAAGGTAGCCTTTAGGCTTACTTTGCGAGTCCACATTTTACAGAAATTTTTTGTTTCTTAGCCACCTACGTGGCCACTTCATTTTTCCTTATGAAAAATTTTCATTTATTTTTTGACTGGTTAGAAGTTTAAGAACAATATTTACTCACAATTTCCCTGTTTTTTTAAACTTTTTTTACCCGTTTCACCTTTTTTTATTCTCTTTACTTTATTTTTTCTCGTTTAATTATTTTTCGTTTCTTTTTTTTTCCATTGAAATTGAACATTTACCCACTACACCATGGAGGTTTCTGGGGAAGATTTTAATAAATTAATGTCCCTCTCTAATTGATGGTTCTTTTTTGGTTATCCAACTAAATTATGATTACCTTTTCTTCCCTTAACAAAAAGTTATTTTATTTTACTTTATTTTCCTCACCCTTATTTTTATAAAATTCATTTCTATTTTAGTATGGTGTAGTTGGATAATCACAAGTTTTATAGTGTCAAGGGGGCAAAGGTTCGAATCCAATTACTTTAGAATTGGTTATAATTCGATTATTTTTGAATATTTTAAATTTCTGAAAGCTTCTTTTATTAAAAAAATTTTTTTTGATTTTTTTTCGTCCAAAACTTGAAATTATTTAGGGAATAATTTTTGTTTCTGTGCTATTCATTTTAATTTATCTCCATTCTTTTTGAATTATTAAATTTTATTTAAGGAGAAATTGAGACTAAATAAAAAATAAAAATCAATTTCTTAATGTTTCTAAATTTATCTTTTCTTTCTGAGAACCTTTCTTCACTCCTTGTAACTTATCACTGATGATACCAATACTGGGCGACTTTTTAAGCTTGTTTTTATTTCTACTATAATAAGAGGTGTTGGGGAAGGGGGGAGGGGTTTCGTTTGGCATGGTCTAAAAATAAAATATAAGCTTTCAATTAATTAAAGATTTTTTCAGATAATGGAACAACACCCAGAAAATTGAAAAAAGGGGAGAAATTTTAAGAATTAAGGGAAAATTATTTTTTGAAATTATTTAAATAATTTTGACTCTCAATTATATTTATTTTTAATTTTAAATTTAAAAAGTGGGATTGAACGTTTTGTGAAGATTTTTAATTTTTGGAAATGCTTAATTTTATTTTCCGTTCAATCCCTATTTAAAAAATATTTTATTTTCATTTTATTTTTCCAGTCAGTTTTTTTTAACTGATTTATTTTTTAAGCCTTTAAAAATTAATTAAAATAAATTTTTTTGAATTTTTCTAGTGAACAACTTTATTCTATTTAAGTACTTTTGAACATCAAAAAAAAATTTTTTTTAAAAACTACAAAAAATATCTGTTTTTAAAATAAAAAAAAGTCATCAAAAAAACTACAAAAATTTAAAAAAAATATCAAAAAAAAAACTTTGACCTAAAAATTGATTTCCTTTTGACCTCCCAAAAAATGGACAAAAGTTTTTCCTACCCCTCATTGTTCCCAAACAACAAAACAACAACAACAACAAATCCTCCACATTTCCTAGTGGATCAAGACCATTTAGACAAATTGTCTAATCAATTAAAATTGTTAAAGATTGATGATTCGACAATCAACAAAATTCTAAAAAAATTTAAGACGGTTAAAAAAGAAGTGAAATTAGAGGTGAAAAAGATAAAAGTTTTTAAATTATAATGGCTGAGAATTCCTCTTTGGGGAATTTTATGCAAAAAAAGTTGAACTGAATTTTAAACCTTGATAGTCAAAATTACTGGGTAATAGTTTGGAAGTCGCCTCCATTTTCCGACTTCCTTGACCATTTTGAGCTTTTTTTGTTTGATATTTATAATTTATTTTATAATTCGAAAGAGCTTATACAACCTGACTTCACCTGATTTTATTTAAATTTTTTTTCATTATTCTAGCCTATAGATTGTCAAGTTTTCGAAGCTCAACAACAACCCTTTGTTGGGTATAATGGATTGTTCGAATTGGCTATTTCTCAAGTCATTCAATGTGGATATGGGCATGTTCTCCCTCTTATTGGAACTAAAAAGTTGGCAAAAAAAACACAAAACAAAAAAAACAAAAAAAAACGACCAGAAAAAACATAAACAAAGCAAAGAAACCCACAAGACATTTCTACTGCTTTTTCCTTCTGACTTAATTTTATTTCTTTCATTTGATTATTTTAAATAATTATTTAAAATATTTTTTTTAATTATAGGGAAAATAATAGTAAAAAAATGTCTAAAAGGAACAACAAAAATATTTCTTTAAAAGAAAAAATAATTTTAAAAAATGCTGAATTCTTAAACAAGATAGCAAGTAAAAAAAATCATTCATTTGATAATGAGCAGATCAGTAAATTTGTTGACAACCATAACAAGTGCATAAAAAAATATCTAATTTTAGGTGCTTTTCTAAAATTTAAAATAATTTTCAAAAATCATAAAAAAAATTCTTTTTTAAGATGAAAAAAATGATCAAATAATGGAGGGTGAGAAAATTATAAATATTTAATATTTTAACTATAATTTTCCGGAAAACACAAGTTAATAGGGATCACCCAGAGTATCGACACCCAAAGTATCGAATTTTTTAAATTTCATAATTAAGTATTCCAATGATCGGGCATGATGTTCTAACATCGGGGAATTGTGTTTTCGATCGATATGAGCATAGCGACCGAACAAGATTCTACTTGGAGATCGATCACTCTTCTTTGATTGGACATATTGATCATGATCGATGTTTGATCCATTGTTGGAACAATTTCCCTATGTTGAAAAGACTTCCCCGTCCTTGGAATACATAATTATGAAGTTTAAAAAATTCGATACTTTGGGTCATTCGATACTTTGGGTGTCGATACTCTGGGGTGGACTCAAGTTAATAATAAAAGGAAATTCTAAGGGTAATCGAAAATTATAAATTGTAAAAAAAATTTCCGGAAAATAAATATTCAAAGGATAAAATTACAACCGAAAAACATTGGTGTATATAGGTGTATAATTATTAGAGATCGGCCTGGGTCTTTCCTGTACCCAGAGTCCAAGCCCAGGCATTTTTGACCTTCCTTGGTTCAAGAAGGGCGTCCTGGTAAAAATACAAATTTAAAAATTTGTATTTTTAAATTTTTTGAATTTAAAATTAGGAACTTCGGGAGTGTTGACAAATGTTTTGGATGCGAATGTTCAACAGAGTGAAAATTTAATTTTTCTTAATAAATGATTAAAAAAAAATTTTTTTTTAGTTTCTAAAAAGAAATTTGTTGTGGCTACGGATCAAATGGAGAAGGAAAATGTAAATTTATCTAAAACTAAAAATTATCTTGAAAACTGTACTATTACTAAAAAATAAATGAATACAAAAATTTATAAGTTTATGGGATACTTTGTTCATATCCCGCCCCCACCCCTATTTGAGCCTTAGATTATTTTTTTAGGGTTGGGAGCGGGATATGAACAAAGTACCCTTCAAAGCCTTCCAAAAATCAAAAATTTTTTGGAAGGCATTTTTCGCAAATACGAGAAAGTTCAGAACAGAAAAAAAACTTAGTCATGTACGAAAAAAGTACAAGTAAATTTTAAAATTCAAAACACTGATTCTCAGTTTTATTTTATCAGATGAACAAATAAAAATGTTTAATGGTTAAAAATTTGGTTGTTGGAAGTAATGGATTGAAGGATTTTGTTGTTGTTTAATGTTGTTCTTATTTGGTAATACTTGTGTGGTTTACCTCTTTCCTTTTTCTCATTTAAGGAAAAGTAAAAATAATATACCGGATTGTCTCTAATACAAGCCCTGTGCGTCTATTTTTCAATACCCCTCATTGGGTGGGCTTCTAATAGGGCATGGGCTTCTATTGGAGATGGGCTTCTATTAGAGACAATCCGATATATCATTTGGAAGAGCTCTTCGAGTTTAAAAAACATTAAATCTTTCCCTCCTCACTTATCATCTCATTCGGTTTTTGTTTGGTGTAGTTGGACAATTCCAAATTTTATAGTGTAAAGGGGTCAAGGTTCGAATCCAACTCCTTCAATATTATTTCTATTTGGCTCATTTTTAATTATTTTAAATTTTTAAAAGTTTCTTTTGTTAAAAAATTTCTGGTCATTTTTTTCTTCCAAATTTAATTTTTGTTCAAAATTGCAAATCTACTAATTCAACACTATCTTTCCGAAGAGCTCTTTCGAAGGATATATAATAAATTATATACCAAACAATAAAAAGATCAATATTGTTTAGGGGAAAGGAGGGAGAGCGTGAACCCAAAAAGTATTACCTGTTTCTTAATTTATAACATTCTTAATACTTTTCTAAAACTTATGAATTTTCTCTTTAAAATAAATAATTAAAATTCCATTTTTTGTTTTTACTTTTTTCAATAAGTTTTTAACTGATTTCCTTTACAAATTGTGGTGTACCTTAAGGTGACATTTATCAATCGGCCGAAAATTCTGGTTTTATTATAGACCTTTTAATTCTCAATCCAATGGTACCAAGAATATGAAGAAATGACTAAATTATAACTCATTCGAAAGACTCAACGAGCTGAGTACGAAAATTCGTACTCGTACTTTGGCACGAAGTACGAATACGAGCCATGTGCGCATAAAAAATAACATCATCATTCTTCTCCTCTTTACATCTTTCTTTCACATTTTTCTTCCTTAGTTTAGTCTAGAACATTGATCAATGTTTGTTCAGTAGTTGTTGATGTTACATACTCGCTTTGCTGTCTGCTTTAAAAATGTGAGAGGGTTTTGTAGGAAGAAAATATAATAATTTACCATAAATAAACCATTCATTCACCAAATTTGTCAAGTCTTTTCGATCATTTTTATCAACGCAGAAGGACTTTGCTCTCATTTTCTGTCAGAAACCTTAATATAAAAAGGGGTTTTGAGAAATTTATTGACCATAAAAATTCTAATTCTCCCCAATAAAAATGCAAAAAAAATTAAATTCACAGAACAAAATTCAAAAAATCGACTGACAACAATGGACTTTGTACCTTTGTTTATCTCATGTTTCTATTAAAAACATAAACGTAAATATGTGTGTTGTCGGCTGTCGATTTATATAGTATTTTCTTACTTCATGCTGTGTTCACAAAAAAATTTTTTTTCTCTAACTACACACTTTTTTGTGGTTGTTTTCTCGCCTTATGACTCTGAAGAAAATTGAGGACGTTAGAGTCTGACACTTTTTATTTTATTGAAAATTGAAATCGGGACTCAAAGTGTTCTTTTATATGACACATTTTCTTCCCTCAATTTTCTCATCCTTTACAAATTATTTGTTTAGCCAATTTATTTTTTTTTTGTGTATTTTTTTATTTCATAGTGATCTCTGCCTTTTCTTTATTTCGACATTTTATGACGCTATGAATTTTTCAAAAGACCAACATACACAATGGCATAACTAGAGTTAGACTCTACTGATCCATTTAGCAGTGGTTTCTTGCTATTTTTTCTTCTATTAGGCCTTTTGTCTGTTTGGTGTTTCGTAATTTACCAATAATTTTTTCTTTCTTTTCCTCTATTTCTCTAACTTTCTCTAGCTCTTCTTCCACTCTAACGTCAAGTAGCTTTCATTTGTTCACCTTTGGCCCAGTTGCGCTCTCCCCAAATTTCCCACACACTCTTAAACACATTTATTACATAGATCGTTGCGAGCGCAGTTTTCTAGAAAAGTAACCGAATAAATAGCAAACGGTTTACCCAATATCGTCAAAAAATGTTAAATGTATTATCATTATTGTTTAATTTTCTCTATAAAAGTGATCACAATTTTGTGTTTGTTACAGTCACGTTAATTTTTATTACTTTAATTTTATTCTCACTTTTTTTAATCATCTTCGCACTTTTTATCAATTTATTTAGTTATTTTAGCAATTTTTCTAATCATTTTTGGCTTGAATGAAGTATACTACTTTTCAATCGATACAATAAAGCGAAGCAAATTTTTAGTTCAATAGATAGCGTGACAGAGAATTTTGAGGAGATACTTGGAAACTTCTTTATATTCAGGTTTTAAATGTTGCTTTAGTAGAGATCGGAAATTTAAAAAGCTTGATTTTGGTTGAGAACCTTGGCTTGGATTCAGCTTGGGATTCCAGGCCGATCTCTATTATTTAATTTAAATTTTAGTTATTTTTTATTTTAAGGGCAAGCTATATTTCTAGATTCTCAGTTTTATTTACAAAATCAATCAGTCAACTAAAAAAAGTCATTTATCTCTTCAAAAAAGCTTCACAAATTTTGTTGGAATAATACTATTACAATCAAAACAATTTTTTACAAATCAAAGCCTCACATCATTCATTCTTTTGTTTTTCACATCAGACTAAAAACTTTTAAAAATTTTCTTTCAATTTTTTTCATTCTCTGTTACACAATCAAATATACCACACACACATGGTGACACTTGTTGTTTTCATTTCCAACACAAAATCTGTTAGTTATATAAACTTCTGTTCGTTTTTAACCAGTTTGTACTTTATACTTTTGTTAACATTTCATCATAATTACTAAATTTGAAATTCTTTCTATAAAAACTAAAAAAGTAAAGTCCATGTTTATCAAGTTTTTTGACCTTTCCTTTTCATTAAACAAAAATTCGCTTGTTGCTGTGGCTACCATTACATAAGGGAGGTGACAGATTACCTGAAACCCGGACATATTTTCGATTGGAAACCGAAACCCGATGCTTTGAAAATTTATAAAACCCTATCCAGAACTCGACTCGGCTTTTTCCCAACTCGTCCCATCCCTGAAATATCGGGAATGGAACGGGTAGGGAAATAAGGGTACTTATTCCCTCCCCTCCCCCAGTCTGTGTTCAAGGTGATGTACGAAATGGTCAGTCATTTCTTCCTTGCCATTTTTTCCTCAGTCATTTTTCTCCTCTCGTTTCAATCTAATATATCCAGTCAAACAGCAAATTTAAAAAAAATATTTTTTTCTTAGACTCAATTTAATTTAATCCAAAGAACGCATACTTTGTTCTTTAAATATTGAAAAATTATATATGTTAAGTGTCTCGATTCAATCTTTTTTTTTAAATTTTCACCATCACTTCTCACGTTTTTTGTATTTAAAACTCCCACTAACTGACACAACTTTAAAGTTTTGGTTTTCACATAACTTGAAAGGGGGGCTTTGACGAGAGGGAGGGGAAGGAGAGGGAGAGGAGAGGGGAGAAGAAAGGATTGATCAATGAAAAAAATTTTTTTGAGCACCAGAAGCTTTTCTTCTTCCTCTTCCGTTTTCTTCCTGTCTGTTTAAGCTTCCCAAAACTATTTGTTTGGCTTTTAGCTTTTCTCATTTTTCTTTTTATATTAGCTGACAAAAGCTTTCACCTGTTTTCTCTCTGTTTGTTTAGAAAATTTAGAAAAAGAAAGTTTTTTTGTTAGTTTTGAATTTTTATTTTTTTGTCGTTGCGCTTCTTTAGAAATTAAACAGAAATATTGGAGAGAGCTTCCAATTTTTTTCTTTTCTCTTAAATGATCGTAGATCATTTAAGAGTCTGTATCTAGATTTTTTGTCGTGTTGAACTTGAATTTTATCTGTTCAACACCGGAAAACGTCTCTATCTTATATTCTACTTCTTCTGTCTAGGGTTGTAGGGGCTTGGAAAATCTGTACATTCCTAACCGAAAAATCATCGGTTCTTCAGCTCGATTCAGTTCAAAACCGACAACATTACTCTTGTCTAGGGTTTCGGTTCTGGACTGAACCAAAGGACCGATGATTTTTCGATTCGGTTCTTCGGTTCGGTTCCGGATATCCAAAGATCTTCCAAGAACCAACAACCCTACTCTCGTCTATAAAATTGTATTTATTATGTTTTTGTGGTTAAATTTCTTAGATGGGAGATGGAATCATGGAATGGAATTATCTTGGAATTCCAAATCATCTTGGAATCAGCCCAGACCGAAGCACAACTGATTGTGCCAACATCCGACCCCAATTATGCATTCTTTTTATTCATTTATGTATATTCTTTCTTCAAGTACGAACACAACAGTAATAAAAATAAAATTTCACATTTCTACAACTTTTCAATTAAACTCCCTCTTCTATCCATTAGTGCAATGGGCCAGAAGCAGAGCAATTTTTCCTCATTTTTTAATTTAATTTTTTTTAATCAAAAAGTACATACACACCAGGGATGTGCCGAAACAGATTTTAAAAGGCGAAAGACGAAAGGCGAAAAGGCGAAAGTCATTTTAAAAAGCGAAACACGAAAGACGAAAAGGCGAAAGTCATTTTAAAAAGCGAAAGACGAAAGGCGAAAGACGAAACACCAAAAAAGACGAAAATATGGCGAAAGACGAAAGACGAAAAGGCGAAATAACTGTAATGAGGAAAAATCCCTAGATATCGGTTAAACCAAAGCTTTGGTTAATTACCTATTTTCAAATCTTCTATCAAATTCTCCTAATCTTGTGATATTCTTATTAAACGGTAAATTATGGATATCTGAGAATTCAGAGTGATTTAGTAGGATATCAGAGGATGTATAAGGCAAATTCAAATTTAAATTTTTATTTTTTCTATCATTGGAAATCGTCGATTGAGAATATAGTTAACAAATTTTGGGAAATCCCAGGATATCCAAATCCTATGTCCGAACCGGAAATTTCGATATCCGGATCCGTAACTAAAATTTTTAATAAAACACCAAGGTCTTTCTTAATCAGCGCCGCAGGCGAAAATTTTGAAAATATAAGGTGTCTAAGGCACGAAAAATTCACTTTTTAAATTAAAAAAAATAATTTTTTCAAAGAAAAATTATGATTATTATTCTATTTATAATAAATAAAAATCTTGTCCCTAAATTTGGATTCGAACCTAACAATAATGAATAAACGCTAGTCGAAGTTCAGCAACTTAACCACTCAACCATCAATCACTTTATAGTAAATAAAGAAAATTTTATTTACATATTTATCCCCACTCTTCTCAGATTTCTCTTTCTTTTCTTCTCCCAATTACCAACTTTTCCTCACATAACTGTCATTAGGGGTGTATAATATTTTCGCCTTTCGCCCGAAAAAGCGAAAGACGAAAGGCGAAAAGGCGAAAGTCATTTTAAAAAGCGAAACACGAAAGGCGAAAGACGAAATACCAAAAAAGACGAAAATAAGGCGAAAGACGAAAGGCGAAAGACGAAACGGCACATCCCTGATACACACATTTATTTTTTCTTGTTTACCATGTTCTCTAGACAAATTTTTGTTTGTCTTTAATTTTTTTTGAACAAAAAATTTTTTGTCCTCTTGAATAAAAAACAAAACAAAATTTAACGCCTGATCGCCTTCTCTAACTTTTTTTTTCTTTTTAATCTTCTAATCATCCATTTTGACGTTAACACGTGCCCCCTACCGACTACTTAACCTTTCTAATATTTTCAATTTTCCTTCACTTTGAATTTTTGCTTCTTACTCTAATTATAGGTTGGAGAGGGTTGGTTGGGCGCGAGGAACGTTTGGGCGCGGGTCTGGAAAAATTTTCTTGGGATGTCACCTAAATTTTTAAAAAATTTTTCGTCTATTCCTAAGAGTATTGACTACTTCTTCCACAAATTTCAGAATTTTTGGTTAAACATTTTCCAAGTTATTATCGAAGAAGGCAAGAAAAGTGGTCTTTTTTTGTGTTTTTCTGCCTTTATTTTTTAAAAAGGAGGTCAACCCAAAAGATCACCACTCGAAATTAAATCCTGAAGGTGTTGATCTTTTGGGGTACCCTTGAAAATTGAAAAAAAAATTCTAAAAAAATTTTTCGGGGATTATAAATTTATGTTAAATCAGGGCTCTCATTCGTGCTTTATTTGAAAGTATTATACTTTGAAACCGACCTCCATACTTAAGAAATTGAATTTATACTTTATTGAAAGTATATACTTTAAAATCAACATTTTGGATTGAAAATGAAATTGGGGAAGGGATTGGGCAAAAAAGTGAATTTTTTTAGCCTTGGGCCTTCGAAATTATCAAAATTTTCGCCTGCGGCGCTGAAAAAGAAAGAAATCTGGCTTCTTGGGCTCCAAATTTCAAAAAATTTTCGCCTGCGGCGCTGAAAATGGGAGAAATCTGACTTCTTGGGCTCCAAATTTCAAAAAATTTTCGCCTGCGGCGCTGAAAATGGGAGAAATCTGACTTCTTGGGCTCCAAATTTCAAAAAATTTTCGCCTGCGGCGCTGAAAATGGGAGAAATCTGACTTCTTGGGCTCCAAATTTCAAAAAATTTTCGCCTGCGGCGCTGAAAATGGGAGAAATCTGACTTCTTGGGCTCCAAATTTCAAAAAATTTTCGCCTGCGGCGCTGAAAATGGGAGAAATCTGACTTCTTGGGCTCCAAATTTCAAAAAATTTTCGCCTGCGGCGCTGAAAATGGACGAAAGCTTGAGGTTAAGACTGTCAAGGCTTTATTTCTTGTATCAGCGAATTTTGACATGTCATGCGTTGAAATGCACAAAATGCCCAATGGAAGCAAGAAATTATTAGAAAAGATTCATTTAAGAGAGAAATATAAAAGATTTGAGCACGAACAAATATTTTCCAATTTAATTTTGAGTATACTTTAAATTTGGAAATTTTCTCCCTATATACTTTTTTATCAAGATTTTGATACTTTTGAGTGGCATTTTGTCGATGAGAGCCCTGTGTTAAATACTTTTTTTGAAGTTTCCCCCTACCATCCCCTTCCCTTCTAAATTTATTCGTCGATCCATTTTTCATTTTTTTTCCATTTTTACACCAGTTTCCCCCCTACACATTTCTCTCCACGTTGTATAATAAACTCCATTCCTCTCACATCATTATTCAAAACTCTTTATCTTTGAAACAAACACATTTATTGGAGTGTTCTTTGTTGCTGATAAGGAAGGAAAAGAATGTTGGGGGTCCAAAATATAAAATTACAAAAAGGGACGTTAGAGTCTGGACAGGATTTTGTAGGGGGGACTTGACTGTGTTCAAACCTGCATAACTTTTGAAGGGCCAAACATTTTTGAAAGATTTTGGTGTTGTTGGATAGAGGAGAAAATTTGCTACAAAATAGGGGGAAAAGTTGAAAGTTTGGTTAAGTGGGAAAATTTTTGTGGTCGAAAAACTGAATTTTTTAGAGATTATTTTTAAGCACCTTTAGACGGTTTTTTGCCCCTAACTTTTTTTGCTTAATTAATTTTATATTTATTTTTGTTGTTTTTTTGTAGTAAATTTTCTCCTCTATCGAATGATACCAAAACCTTTTTTTAATCTTTTTTTGTTCAAAAGTTATGGAGGTGGGGAGAGGTTGGGAGAGGCTTCACCTCCCCTTCTACTCCAATGTTCTTTGATTTAAAAATAATTGCTTTTTTAATTTTTTCTTTTTTGTTTTTAATTTATTTTAATGATAATATGTGGCTCTTAAAATGAGAGCACTATCACATTAGTAATTTTCAATTAAATTAATTTTTTTTGGTTTTTAAATGCGCGCCCCTTTCCCCCTTATAAATTCTTTGATCAGTCCTATTAATTAATTTGTTTTTTTATTTTTATGGCGAAACTAAAATTAATTTTAGAGACAAAAATATTCTCTAAAAGAGAAAATTTAATTAAATTTAAATGGCTCTAACTTTACCTTTACACTTTTTTGATGGCCTTTGCCGTCTTTTGCCCCCACGTTTCTCTACAAATCCTTCTACAAGTGAACAGAATCGTTTAATTGAACATTTGGCTGTGCATTGCTCAATTTTTGATCAGGTTAATTTTTTGGAGTTTTTGACTATTTAGTTGAGGTTACAAGACTCACAAAACGGCCTTTTAGCTTTATTCTACATTGGGAGGAATTTTGTGGAGATAGTATAAGGGTTTATTTAATTAAATTGGTTAAGGTTATTCGTGGTTGATTGGTAGTGATTTGGACCTAGTTATTTAGGGTGTGGTGGTTCGAGTCCTTTTGGGTGTAAACATTTTGTAAGTTATTTTAGGAGTGAGTAAATGTCCACTAGAATGCTTTTTTAGTGTTAAAAAATTTTTTTAAATTTTTTATAAGGCCTGGACGCATTTTTTATTTAATATTATCTAAATTTACCCTATTTTTTGTTTCTTTTTAAGATTCGTTGGCGTCGAGTCTCCAAAACCTTTCAACGGGCTATTGATAACAGATTGCGTCAATTTACCCGAATCAATGTTCGTTGCTACAATGGACTGGCACAAATGTGTGAGGAATGTGAGGGAAGTGGATCACTTGGAGGGAAAGGTTTTTTGAGGATTTTTTGACTGAAATTTTTTCTTTGAATTTTAAAGAAGGCTGTCTAGACTGGCATCCTTATGCAAAACTTGTACTTGTCCAAATGGGGGGAAATGAGCTTGGAATAGCTGTTGATACAAAAATGCGACATGAAGATGTGCTTGCTTTAGTTCAATTGTTATCAGCCTTTCGCCATTCTGTTGAGCAATTGTGTATGGATTCGCCGATTATTGAATTGCTTGTTTCACAGGTTTCTTTTTTTGTAGCAAATTTGTTGTTAGGGGGAGTTGGGAAGAAAGGATAGGGAATGGGGCACATACCCCTTTGTCTTCCAGCCTTTTTCTCAATTTAGAAAAATTAGTCTAGGCAGTATGGCCTACCTTAGTTTTTGTTTAGTTCTTCCACCTTTACTGCAAGAACTAAATCCCCATTAATTTATTCGAATCCTTAGTTAAAATCTTCTGGTAAACACTCTAGTTTCCGTCTTATGCCACTTGTACTGCTTGGAACCCTAATTTTGGAAATTGGAACCGAGGGTTAGTCATATGGACTGTAATTTGTTAGGGTGAGGAAAATGGAAGTATTTGGGTTTAAGAAGAAATGAAGAGGGGAACTAGTGACAGTCCAAATTAGCGTGTGTCAATCTCCCCCTCCCCCCTGATCTCTTATTCCTCCCATGGTTTTTGAATTAAAGTGGGTTAACCAGCACCTTTTATTTGAATTTGAGGATTTCTAACATCTTTTTTTTAGATAAATCGAAAGCAGATGAGTATTCTCTTAAATATGCTAAAGAATTCTCGAACATTTGTATCTTCTCCTTGCAAAACTAGCCGAATGGGTGATGGAAGTGGAGGTTATTCTGCTCATGATTTGGTTAGAGTACCGCCACCGCAGAGCGTTCCTTATGGACCTTTCTTTTCAAAATTGAAGAAATTAACCATTACTTCACAGGTTTGGATTTTATTAATGAATATGTGGTAAAAAATTTTCTCAAAAAATTTTTTATAAAAAAAGTCATGTTGGCGTGGGTTTCTTAATGGATTTTCAAAATTTTCCCCATGGTGGGTATTGAAGTTCGACTTAAAAAATGTTTTCTTTTTATCGGTTAGGTTAACCAGGCTCATCCCTGATAACTAGGAGAGTACCAGGAACTACAAATCCATAGCAAAATTACATGTTCCATCAATCCCTTCCCTCTCTTGTTATTCCCATGTATACTGACATGAGAAGCCGTACCCCTCACTGACATGAGAAAACTCCGGCATGTACTTTGAACCATACCCTTGGCTATTTTTTCTCAAAAAATTTCTAAAAGTAGGCAAGAGAGAGTACATGAACCAGTAGCTTCCCTTCTACCCTCTTTATTACCCCCTTAATTTCAGTCAAACCAATTGGAGCATTTATCTCGTCTACTCACTTATGCTGTGGGTGTTGACTTTCTCTACGAAACCTCCAATATAGACTTGCTTTGTCTCAAAATTTGTATTGGAAGAGGTCAATGGTCTATGCAAAAACCAAGTATTCGTTTGTTTTGTCACGTTACTCGTTTTCGTCAATGGACAGAAGCCGGGTCTTTAGGTGAACGTTATTTTCAACAATTTACTGATTCTTCACATTTTGGTAATAATGGAAGAGGAGGAGGGGGAAGATATCGAATTTAAATTTGAAAAAAAATTAAAAAATTTTAGGAAAAAATTTGAGCTTTAAAAAATATTTTTAGAAATTTTAAAAGCTTAAATTAAAGTTAAATATCTCAATTATTTTGGAAATAAAAAATTTTTGGAGTTTTATTCGAAGGAATTCTGAGTTGATAAATCATTAAGATGTTTAATTTAAGGTTTTTAAAAAAGAAGGAAACGAAAGGGTTCGAACCCGCACCAGGGGTGGGCGCATTGCGTTTTGCGTTTTTTGCGTTTTGCGTTGATTTTTGGCCTTGCGTTGCGTTTTGCGTAAATTTGGCCAAAATTAACGCAAAAAACCGCAAGAAATATACCCAATCTGAGGGCAAAATCTTGAGGAAATCAGGCTTATGACTTTCCAAAATTCTCAAAATTTTCGCCTGCGGCGCTTAAAAAAGGAAGAAATTTGGCTTCTTGGTCCCAAATTTTTCAAAATTTTCGCCTGCGGCGCTAAAAGTAGATCATGGAACTGCTCAGAAAAATATCAGTTCAATATCTTGAGCTCCGATCTCCCTTTATCCCTCCAAATCCCCTGATATCCACGGTATCAATTGAGAATTACAGATAGGCATTTATCCTCCGCTACTCCCCAACCCATCCGACATTCATCAGTAATCGCATGGTATCTTTTTAAATTTCCTTGATCCCTCCAATTTTCCTCGATCCCTCCTTCATAATCGCTCTAAATCCTCTAATATCCTTCATAATCCCATTGTATCCCCTTCAAATCATTACCCATCCAACTTAATTGTATCACAAGATCAACTAGGACTCACTGACTTATAGTAATACTTCTATTTTAACTGAAAAATGGCTAATACTCGATTTAAAATTTTTTTCAGAATTTTGCGTTCTTGCGTTTTGCGTTTTGCGTTTTTTGCGTTTTGCGTTGATTTTTGGCCTTGCGTTGCGTTTTGCGTTTTTCACGATTGCCTCTTGCGCCCACCCCTGACCCGCACCCCTTCAAAAATATTTTCTAAAAATATCCCACTTAACCAACGAGTACATTTTTGGTTGAAGGCTTTAAAATTGGGGTCAAAATTATTTTTGATGGTTTTTAAAATTCAAAATAATTTTTTCAATTATGTATAATTGAGATTTTAGAGAGAGTAAATAAGTTTAAATTTGTGTGGTTGACTTGACACTATATTTTGGATATTATTTTTTTGTTTTTTCGTTAAAAATTAAATTTTATTTTATTTTTGTCATTTTAGGAATCAATGGCACTTTTGTTTTTTTTTGTTTTTTTATGATTTTTAAAAAGTGGGAAACGAAAGGGTTCGAACCCGCACCCCTTCATAAATATTTTTTAAAAATATCCCACTTAACCAACGAGCACATTTTTGGTTGAAGGCTTTAAAATTGGGTTCAAAATTATTTTTGATGATTTTTAAAATTCAAAATAAATTTTTTCAATTATAATTGAGATTTTAGAGTCAGAAAGAATTTAATCTTGAGTGGTTATTTTGGATAATTAATTTTTTTGTTTTTCGTTAAAAATTAAATTTTTATTTTTTTGTCATATATTTTAGGCCTCAATGGTGGTGAGACATATGAGGACGGACATATGAGGACGGACATATGGGGACGGACATATGGGGACGGACATATGAGGACGGACATTTGAGGACGGATATATGGAAAAAATAAAAAATAACTACAAAATTAGCCAATTTGTCCGTTATTTCAATATTTGGCACTTTTTGCAAATTATTTCAATATTGTTGCAAATTTTTGCCAAAATTTTGTGAATTTTCATAAATTTTCAGAAAAAGTGAAAAAATTTGGCGATTGTCCTCAGAAATTTCCAAAATTTTCGCCTGCGGCGCTGAAAAGGGGAAATCCTAGCTTATTTAAAGTAAGAAAAAATGTCCCAATGAATAAACCCGAAAATGAGCAAACCCTTAAAACATCCCATCTTTTGCCTAATCTCAAAATGTCCAACAGAGTAAAATACTCAATTCGTCGAGCTATAAACATAATATGCCTCGAAACACCCTCTGAACATAAGCCCTCAAAACCTTCCACTGAAAAAAAACTCAAAATCCACTAAGCATTCCCAAAATGTCTTATGTCCATCTGAAATTGCACAAGATATCTTTTCCTTAATTTTCTGTCCTGAAATGACGATTTTCTCTGGTTTCAAGCATTCTTTACTAGAATTAAGCTCTTTTTCATTTTATGTTACAAATAAATCATTATTTATTTCAATATTTCACTAATTTTTGGCATTTTTTGTTAAGATTTTGCCGATTTGTATATAATTTTGTATCCTCAAATGTCCGTCCTTAAATGTCCGTCCCCATATGTCCGTCCCCATATGTCCGTCCTCAAAAGTCCGTCCTCAAATGTCCGTCCTCAAATGTCTGCCTGCCGCATCAATGGCATTTTTTGTTTTTTTATGATTTAAAAAAGAAGAGGGAATCGAAAGGGTTCGAACTCGCATCCCCTTCAAAAATTTTTCTAAAAATATCCCACTTAACCAACAAGTGGATTTTTTGAAATTTTTGAAAATTTTTTTGGAATTTTTTCTTAAAAACGCTTATAAAACATGCCATTGATTTTTAATTTAATTTTTTCAAATTTAATTTTAAAAAATACTTTCGATATTTCATTTAAATATTAGCTTTTTTTAAAAGTTTTGTTGATCCTATAAATATTATAGTAATAATTAATTATTTTACACATTTTTAGTGTAGAATTTTATTTTATTTTCCTTTTTTTGTTGCTCTTCAATCTGTAGCTCTTTAAAAAATTTTTTTTAATTTTTTTGATGACTTGACTATTTTTTATTTTGACTTAAATAAAAATTGACCCAAGTGGCCATTTTAATTTTTAAGAGCTTTTTAGGGATATTAATTAATTTTTATTTTTGTTTTTGGCTCTCAAAAATTTAAAAATAAATTTTTCGAGAGCTAAAATGACTTTAAATAATTGTTGCCAAAAAATAATGCAATCTCAGCAGCAATTTTTTTTGTGTTTACCCCTTAATTAATTAATTAATTAAATATATTCTACACACATACACTTTTTTAGTGCTCAAATTTTAAATATAAAATTGAATAAATCTTTAAAAAAAATTTTTTTTAATTTAAAAAAAAAGTTTGGATGGGGTCCATGGATGAGGCAAAAAAAATAAATTAATTTTATTGGTAAGAAGAAGACGAGAGATCTAGTTAGCTTGAAAGTTTACTAAGTAATCGAGAGTTTAGGATCTATTAAAAGAGAAGGTGAAGATATCTCCCCAGGTAACTCAGTCTGTAAAGTACCCATCATGTGGTGAGCGAAGCAGGATTGTGTTATGTCCGAGGGTTGTACGAAAGTCGACGTTCAATGATTAACAGTTTATCCAAAGAGAAATAACAATGTGTAGGCAAAGGGATAGAGTTGGAACAGACGAATGAGATCAGGGACTAGCCGGGCTAGTATGATCCAATAAGACTGACGCTTAGCGTGGCCACTACACAATAGATTGATGCTTGCTCTCGGGACTAAACTTTTCCCTCTCCCTTGCCTTATTAAGTTTTCCATGGTCAAATTAGTTTAAAAAAATTTTTTTCCTCAATAGAATATTTTTTTATTTAATCAACAATCTCCCTCCTATGTATTCAATTTATTTTTTTATTTCCGTTCAAAGCTCCGAAAAAAATTTTTTTTGTTAAAAAGGTGAAAATAAGAGGGATGTGTACCTATTTTATTTAATATTTAAAAAATAACAAAAAAAAACATATGATGCCTTTTTTAACAAAGGAGGAAAGAAGATTTCTTAACTGAAAAATAAAAAAATAAATTAGAACCATCTGTTCCGAAGAAAAAAAATTTTTTTCTTGTATAGGGGTGAACGCCTGCTTTGGGAACACATAGAGAAGAAAATAGGAGAAAAATATTTTTTTTTAGTTTTTATTTTTTTTTCTATGTGTTCAAAGTATTTTCAACATTTGTTTAATATTTTTTATTAAAAAATTATTTTTTAAACCAATTTTCTAAAAAAGTGACATCAGCTGTCTATAGAATATATGGGGGTGTTGACCTTAGAAAGAGGGGGTAGAGAGAAGAGATTTTCCTGTTGTTTTTAAATTTTTTTTCTTTTTGTCCTGACTTGAAAGAACACTATATTGGCAATGATTTTATAAAAAAAATCTTGAGAACAAATATTCCAAGCTAAAATGTAAGGGAACGAAATGATCTCTCATTTAAGCTTTTTAAAGCTTTAATCGATCAAGTAGAAAAATACTTTAATTTGTATTTTTTGTGTTTTTAAATTGAAAATAAAATACAAATTTTCCGGAAAATACAAATATATCATAAAACACAAACAGAGAGAGAAGAGATTTTCCGGAAAACACAAACACATACATTCTGTATTTTCGAAAAAACACAAAAAATATTATGTATTTTCCGGAAAATTTAATAGTTATTATTTGTTTCCGGAACAAGTTTATTTCTTGTGTTTTACTAAAAACACATAAGTTACCTTCCGGAAATTTCCGGAAAATACATAGTTACTATATTAGTTTCCGGAAAGAAGTATATGTATTTTCTTTATTTCCTAAAAACACAAACATAGAAATACCTTCCGGAAAATTCCGGAAAACAATAAAATGTATTTGTTCATTGTATTTTCATAAAACACAAACACATACATTTCCGGAAAAGTTAATTAATTGTATTTATTTTGTATTTTTTTCAATTTCCCTTTAAATATTACAGAGTAAAAAAGTTTACAGTGCATGCCCACAACCATCTCAGTTAGTCCGGCTGTTCCGGTTAATTTTTTAGTAAAATATTTAACTTAATTTCTTCCCAGGACAAACTGGTTGTGAATGGTGTTGATCTAGTTAACGAGGATGAATTGTCACCCTCCCAACATAGGGAACTTCAACGCTATATTGATGCAAACGCCCATTTGCTAGGATTTCTAGATAAGGAGAAGGAACAGGAAGAGGAACTAAAGAAAAAGTATCACGCCCAAGGAGAGCCTTGGAATATCCATAGATCGGTAGCCTTAAAGGATTTTTGTGTAACTTATTTTCCCTTATTGACAGAACCCTAGTAATGGACTCAGTGGTACAGGCAAAGGAGGGGCAAAGGGAGCAGGAGGAGGAGATGGTCTTAGTGCCTATGGCAATGGACGGAAGCACCAACAAAATGGCGGCACTTCTCCCTTCGATGATCTATTAGATTACCGTCCAACCTCAACTACACAATCCCTAAGTATCGGCACTCCAATGTCACTTTCTGATTATTATGGAGGGCCTGGGGGGAAACGGAAAGGTGTGAGTTGGTCAGATGTGGTTGATCCTGACCATGCTATTGCTGGGGATGTGACTCCAACTACTACAACTGACACAACAATGCCTGCAGCGATGACTGCGAGATCTTATTCAGTAATTATCTAAACTCTCATTATAAGAGGCCCTCAGGGATTTAAAAAATTCATACCTTATAATGAGTTGCGTGTTAAATAGAGAGTATCGTCTAAACAGATCCCCCACCCAGTGGACAACCGACTTTTAAAAGAGGAAAATACAATAAAACAGGACCTAGGGGATCACTCTCTATCGAATCAGGAATTGTCTCTTATGATGAGGTGTAGCCTAAATAGAGGTTATCGCTTAGAAAGAACCCCAACCCTGTGACCGCTCACGTATTCAGTGTATCTTATAACGTTGTGGGACTTTCTAGTAAAAAAGTTTTTTCACTCTAGCCTAACTACTACCAGCAACAACACAGTGTCGGAGATTATTCCCCAACAAGGTATAACAACGGCAGAGATCCTTATTCTGCCTCTGGAGCAGAAGGGGACAGATATGGCAATCCAAAAATGTTTGCACGTGAACACAGCCCCCAAGGAAGTGGTTATTGGACGGGGAGTGGTTCCCCTTGGCCTGTTGGTACTTGGGAGCGTGGAAATTGGGACAAAAGTAAAGACAAGCAGGCGAGATGGCAGGACTTTCCAAAGACCGATTTGCCAACATACTCAGCATTGCCACGAAGTATGGATGATTTTAATAGATTTCAATCACATGAACACCGTGAGGAACAACTCAGAAAGAGCCAGGAACGTGATGAGGCTGTTAAATTTTATGGGTATGGAGATCATAGAGATTCTGGGTTGGAATTGAAACCGAAACGTTGGCAAGGAGGGGAGGTAAGACAATTTTGGCATTTCGAAAAATTTCAAAATTGACATTTTGGCTGTAGTGTAGTGTACCGGTGGTAAAAGTTCGGAACGTGACATATGTCATTCGATTCGTCTCGACGAGCTGAGTCGAACGGTACTACTCCCTACTTTAGGAAATGATTCTGGACCGAGTTATGGGTCCCGAAAAATTGAAAAACCAAAGGGGGGAGTAAGCTCGATTTTGGGGTGAAAAATTCGAATATGCAAATAATAGCTCATTCGAAAGAGCTCGGCGAGCTGAGTCGAATGACACCAAAATCAACGAAATCTGACTTGATTTGACAAAGTTATGACCGTTTGTTTTAGCTCCTTACCTATGGCGCCCGTGGAGGTTTTTGCTGCTACTTGAGCCCCAAATACATCAAGAGCAAGGGAGATGGGACTAGGTTTATGTTACTGACCCAGACCCAGCGCCCGTAGACTCCCCGCGAGGCGCGTGCCGCAAAACCCCGCGCGAAGCGCGGGGTTTTGCACAAGCGCCTCGCCGACGCCCCATAGGTTTATGTTGTTTGTTTTTCTATTGTAACTTTGTCCAAACTTTTACAATCAAGCTGATTTTGGTGTCATTCGACTCAGCTCGACGAGCTCTTTCGAATGAGCTATTATTTGCATATTCGAATTTTTCACCCCAAAAAGTGCTTGGTCCCCCCTATGGTTTTTCAATTTTTCGGGACCTATAACTCGGCCCAGAATCATTTCCTAAAATTAAGAGTGGTACCGTTCGACTCAGCTCGTTGAGACGAATCGAATGACATATGTCACGTCCAGAACTTTTACCACCGGTACACTACACTATATCCGACATTTTGAAATTTTCGACATTTCGAAATATCCACGAAATTTTCAATTTCAAGGCTGTTAACGATCCAAATATTATGAAAAAATCGCTAAAACCTCGTCGTCTTTTCTACTCTCCTATCGGCGATGGAGTGGTTGGTTGAATTTTAAATTACCCCAAAAGATCACCACCCTCATTGCTAATAATAGGGTGTTGGTCTTTTGGGAGGACTTGTTAATTTCTACATTCAATTATCAAATCTAGGTGGAGGCTGACGGAATAGAAATGAAATATCCCCCAAGAGATCTGACTCCACGTCGTTATGTATACCATCAACGATTTACAGAACAAGATCCTGGTGCTCCAGGTATACGTGTCAGCGAAAAAACATGGCATGAAGGAGGTTCTAAAAAATATTTTTGTTTTAAATCCAGAAATATTTGTTAGGAGGAGATGATGGCCCGCAAGGTGCGACATTCCGCAGTTGGCCACAAAGTCCAGATACTGGGGATGGTGATAGAGGGGGACGTGGAGGATCCCCTAGAGATGCTGACGATGATGGGAGGGGTAAAGGAGGCCCACCGGTAAGATGGCCGGTTGATGATTTGGATGATGGAAGAGGAAGGAAAAGGCCGAATGATGATGGAGGAGATGATGGGAAGAGAGGAAAGGGGTAAAAAATAGGAAATAGAGGGTTTGAGAGGGGGGTCATGGGTTCGAACCCGCTCAGGGATATTAATTTTTATTTTTAATTGTAAAGGCCGGGAGATGGACTTGAACCTCTAGGCAAGTTTCCACTGCTTGGTGATGACGATGGAAGACGCCCCAAAGGAGATGATTTTGATGGAGGCAAGGGAAGAGGAGGGCCTGCTGGAGGAGTAGGCGACAATGGAGGTAGAACGCCAAGAGAAGGATGGCAAATTGAATTTATATCAAATCCGCGTGAATGCATAAATATTTATGGAACTGACACGATCACTAATGTAAAGAAAAAATTTTGAAAATTTTCCAAAATTTTTTGAAATTTTTCAGATTTTCGATTTGGAGGATCACACACCCAAAACAATAACAACAATAAAAGAAACATATTCCCCAGCACCTCCAGATCTTCCTTTACAGTTGGAAGATGAAGAAAATAGGAGGGAAGGAAAGAAATTTTGAAATTAAAATTTTATTTTGGCCAAATCTTACCTTTGTATTTTTAAATGCTAGAGAAGAGAGAGTATTAAAGAATGAGAGAGACACGAGAGAAAATTTATAAAAATAAACTTTCCGGAAAAACCTAAAGAAAATACAAAATCAATAACAATTGTTTTATAAGAAAATACTTTCCGGATTAATAAAAACAAATTTCCGGAAAATACAAATAAATTATATTCCTACATATGTATATTAAAAACCGGAATAGTCTTCCGGAAAAACTAAAGAAAATACAAAATTAATTAAAATTTATAAGAAAAATACATTCCGGAATAGAAATAATTTCCGGAAAATACAAAAATTATAAATAAATTGCTCTAACTAAAACACTTTCCGGAATAGTATTCCGGAAAACTTTTAATATAAATAAATTTCCGGAAAATACAAATAAATTATTTTACTGACATAGGTATATTAAAAACCGGAATAGTCTTCCGGAAAAACTAAAGAAAATACAAAATTTATAAGAAAAATACATTCCGGAATAGAAATAATTTCCGGAAAATACAAAAATTACTAATAAATTGTTCTAACTAAAACACTTTCCAAAATAGTATTCCGGAAAACTTTTAATAAAAATACATTTCCGGAAAATACAAATTAATTAACATAGTAGTCTAAAAACACATTTCCGGAATAATCTATTGTATGTATTTTACAAAAATACAAATCCTCCCTCCATTAAAATCATTTAAATTCTTCCAAATTAGCCAATCTCGGAATTATTTTTGTATATAAACGGACACCTTCTAAAAACACATTTTCGTTCAAATATTCATTGTGATCATGTAAAAGTATAGGTGTGTTAATCATTGGAGAAAAGCCAATAGCGGGAATTCCAGCCCCTCGGCAATATCTGGCGTCTGTTCCGCCAATAAATATTTCCTTTTGGAATTTACAATTTCTTAAAAATTTTTTAAATTTTTTCTGTTAAAAGCACTATTTACTCTTCTTTAAGAACACTAGTCAAAGCATTCCACCAAGGATCGGAAGAATCCGTAGGCGTTAGTTTGCGGCATAAACCTTTTTGAAGGAATTCATAAGTAACTCCCTTCCCTGCATTTTTACACCAATTTTTAATCATTTCTTCTATTGTCTGTTTATAAAATTAAAAAAATTTTTTAATAAATTTATGTTTACATTAAAGTCGTCGGTTGGTGTAATGCGCATGTCAAAATCTGTGGGGTAAAATAATTATGTATTTTTGTGTTTTATTTAATTTTTGTATTTTCCGGAACGTTAATATTTATTTTGAGAAGGTTTGTATTTTCCGGAAAATTATATATATTTTTGTGTTTTCCGGAATGTTCTGAAAAAATATTTTATTTCCGGATTTGTGTTTTCTTTTACTTATATTTTGTATTTTTCCGGAATACTATTATATTTTTAAAGAATGTATTTTTTCCGGAATTTTTTGGATTTTTCAATAAGTTTGTATTTTTCCGGAAAATTATGTAGGTATTTATGTGTTTCTAGCTTTCCGGAATGTTTTGATATTTTATTTCCGGATTTTTGTGTTTTCTTTTATTTTTGTATTTTTCCGGAATATTATATTTTTAAGGAATGTATTTTTTCCGGAATTTATGTATTTTTATTGTTTCGCAGATTATTTATATTTTTCCGGATACTTATATTTTTGTATTTCCCCTTAATATATTCTTACAAGCAACAAATTCAGAAGGAATAACATTTGTTTGAACACCTCCCTCAACTTTACTCAAATTAATACTCGTCACATCGCCCAAATTTAATTTATCAGAATTTTCTTCCAACTTTTTTCTTTGTTGTTCACGAAAAGCATTAACAGATTGAAGAATTGAAGTCTTTAAAAAAATTATTTTTTTTGTATTTTTTTGTGTTTTATTTGTATTTTCATTGTATTTTTTTGTATTTTCTTTTGTATTTTTTGTGTTTTTTTTTGTATTTTTTTTTGTGTTTTGTGTGTTTTTCTTTGTATTTTTCTGTATTTTCTTTGTATTTTTCTGTATTTTTTTGTATTTTCTCTTACCAATTTTGGCCCGGCAGAATTTTCAATAAATCGAGAACCGTGCCCAGGCGATCCAGGACATATTATTTTAAACCCTAAAAATTATTTAATTTTAAAAAATAATTTTTAAAAATTTTTTCTAACACCAAACACAACGTTCTGCATAAAATAAACGATAAACATCATTTTCACTTGCAAGCCCCTCATCCAAAACAAATCCAACATTTAGTTGCTTGAAGCAATCAGTCTCTACAAATTTTTCCATGCCATCATGACCACCGATTTCTTCATCTATCAAATTATAAGATATGGGCATTATGAAAAATTGACATTTCGAAACTGGGCATTTTGATACTTGGTCATTTTGTAATCTGACCATTTTGAACCCTGGGCATTTTAAATTTTTTGCCATTATGTATTTGACCATTTTAAATATGGGCATTTTGAATTTTGACCATTTTACAATTTGGGTATTTTGAGATTTACCATTATGAAATCTTACCATTTTGAACACTGGGCATTTAAAATTGGGTATTTTGAACTTTGGACATTTTGAAATTTGACCATTATGAACCCTATAAAAATTTTAAATACCTGGTCCCCACAGTATGTGAATGGTCCGAACAAAGGGCTTATTCTCATTCGAAGCTTTAAGAGCACGCAAAGCTTCAATATATTGAATACCAACGCATTTCATGTCCTCAAAAAAATTTTTTTGAAGAAAAAATAAAGGAAGTCTACCTGTGCCCCACGCGCAAAAATATTCCCCTTCTCGTCTTTAAAAGCCTCATAGGGAGGGTATGTCCAAAACTCCCCAAAAGTGGGGACAACATCTGTGTGGCAATACAACAAAATTGAAGGTAATTCGGGTCTAGTGCCAAACAAAGTCATTCCAACAAAAGGCTTTTTATCCACACACTTGTGTTAATTTATTTAAAATTTAATTCATTTCTCTCCCCAAAAAATTACCTCATACCCCCAAGGGGTAATTCCCAATTCTTTTGCATAGTTAAATAAAAAGTCTCTACAGCCATCTAATTTTTAAAATTAAATTTTTTAATTAAAATTAATTTTACAATAATCAGGATTTGGTTGTTCTGTATTTATTCTTAAAAATTCTCTAAATTTGGTCACAGCAATATTTTCAGTCATTTTATTTTTGTTTATTTAGGAGAATAAATTATATTTATTTATCAGGGCAAATAGCAGCAGTATAATTTTATTTTTTTTTCTCTTAAAAACGATAAAATAAATTAATCGAAAAATCATTCTATTAATTTTTTTATCATTTGACTAAAAAGTCCATTTGGGTCAATTTTCATTTGGGTCAATTTTCAATTGGGTCAATACCCATTTGGTCCCAACCACAAAACGCCCAGCTGATTAATTTTCGTTTTTTGATTTAATAAGGTTTTCAAAATTATATTAATTTTTTGTGTTAGCCTTGATTTTGTTTTTTATTTTTTTATTTCCGTTTATTGCTGCTAATAAATAGCAAAAAGCAATAAAAATTGTTTTTGAGCAATTGCTCATTTTTCTCACATTGCTCAACAAATGTTCTTATTTTTTATGTTTCCGATTTTTTATTTAATTGCTATGTTTGTAAATATTAATTTTTTATATTGGTTAATAATAGTTGGCATCTTTTTTGATTTTATTTTTGAATTTGTAAGGGAGACACTCCATACCTTTTCTTTTAGAGGTACACCTACTTTTCCTTTTATAACTCATGAACGGAGAAATATTTAAAAATTCTTTTGGTATCATTCGATAGAGAATTAAATTTGCTACAAAATAAAGCAAAAATAAAAATTTTAAAATATTAAACAAAAAAGTTACAAAAGGGTAAAGACGAAAAATCGTGTTTTTTGGTCATTTTCTGGCTGTAACTTTTTATTTGTTGATCTGAGCAAAACAATTCTGTTAGATAAAATAATCCCCACATTTAGAGCTTTCGATTGATACAAAAATCATTAAAATCGGTTGAAAAATAAAAAAGTTATGATTAAAAATAGACCTCGATATCTCACATTTTTCATACTGTATTCAAATTTATTTAATTTTTGGCGTTTTGTTTAAAATTAATAAAAGGGATCAATTGTCATTTAATTATTCATCTTTAGAAAAATCTTTGTTTTTTATGTTTTTCTAGTTTGTTTTTTCCCAAAAGAATTTTACGGTTGACAGATTTGTAAAGGGCATCATATACATTTTTCTTCTTTCATCTTCCTTATTTTGGCTTATTTTTACTACAAAGTTTTATTTTCCGTATTGACTTTTTAATTCTTTTTCAGCATTTAAAATATGGAGGCTATTGCAGAACACGATTTTAATGCAACTGAAGGGGATGAACTAAACTTTAAGAGAGGGCAAGTACTTAAGGTTAGTCTAATTTGTAACAGAGACATTTCGGCGCCGAACATTTTGGCGTTCTTAAGAAATTTTGTTTGGCGCCGAAACGACCCCTAAAAAATTAAAAATTGTTTTTAAAGATACTCAATAAAGATGAAGACCCTCATTGGTATAAAGCAGAAATTGGCGGTATAGAAGGCCTTATTCCCTCAAATTATATTCGGATGATGGAACATTCTTGGTATTTGGGCAATATTTCGAGGAGTGATTCTGAGGTTTTTTTAAATTTTTTAAAAAGAATTTATTGGGTTTTCTGGTTACTTTTTGGTCCTTTACGGTTGTTTACTGTCCGATATCTACGGACTATACGGTGAGAATGCTTAATTGCGAGAATATTTACCCTTTTGATTTATTGTCCGTGGTGGGTGAGGGGGTCGAGGGTTCGAACCCGCTCCGGGCCCTCTATTTTTAACTTACTCCAAACTAAATTTCAGACCCTACCATCGTTATATTTACTCTTTAAATGATAACAAATATTTATTTTGTATATTTAGACACTCCTTCTAAAGCCTGGCAATCCTGACGGAGCCTTTCTCGTTCGCCGTTCAGAGTCTTCCCCTGGAGAATTTTCAATTTCTGTCAGGTTAATTTAAAGTCGAAAATCACTTTCTTATTAAATTTTTTTAGATATGACAATGCAGTTCAACATTTTAAAGTTTTGCGTGACACCAAACTTGGCCAGTACTACTTGTGGGCAAAAAAGTTCAACAGTCTGAATGAGCTGATTAATTACCACAGGTTATTTTGAATATACTTTGGAAAAAAAGTCTGAAAAAAATTTTTTTCTTACTTCTATTTCCCTTATAAATGAGTTTATACTGACTGGGAATCGACAAAAAAGAATTTAAAAAGGAATGGGCGCCGAGCGGGTTCGAACCCACGACACCCCTACGATGCCTTCAATTTTTGTTTTTACGTTTATTTTTCGAAAACTAACAAGGAGAGTTTGCGAGGTGTCCGAGCTAAAAACGGTCGAGACCGGGCTCATTCGATAGAGAATGTGCCCTTTCTAGCAAGGATTTTTTGCCGTTTTTGCCCGTTTTTTGATCTGGCCAAGATATGGCCTTCCAAAGTCCCAAAATTTGGCATATTTTCCCTTCTTCAAATATAAACTTTAAATAATGCACTAATTTTGTTGGCGCTGTGGTGTAGTGGTGAGTGTGCTTGCATTACACTTTTTCTCTAAAAGTTCGATTCTTTTCGGGTTTTATTTTTTTATTTAATTGTTTTAAACATTATTTATTTCGTTTTCATCATAAAAAATTTTTTTTTTAAAATTTTTTAAAAATTTTTGAAAATTAAAAATTTTTTTTTGAAAAAATTATTTCTTATTTTTAAATTTTTAGAAATAAAAAAAATTTATTTGCTATAAAACTAGAATTTGCTACACCTGACACGTCGAATAAAACAATTAGATGTATTACATTTAAAAGTGGACGATAATGGAAAACAATAACGGATCGGATGATCGAATTTTCCCGTGGAATCTTCTCCTCTCCACCCATTAATCATTAGGATAAAGTTAAAAAAAATTTTTTTTCGAAAAAAAATTTTTAAAAAATTTAAAAAATTTACAAAAAAATTTTTTTATGTTGAAAACGAAATAAATAATGTTTAAAACTATTAAATAAAAAAATAAAACCCGAAAAGAATCGAACTTTTTAGAGAAAAAGTGTAATGCAAGCACACTCACCACTACACCACAGCGCCAACAAAATTAGTGCATTATTTAAAGTTTATATTTGAAGAAGGGAAAATATGCCAAATTTTGGGACTTTGGAAGGCCATATCTTGGCCAGATCAAAAAACGGGCAAAAACGGCAAAAAATCCTTGTTAGAAAGGGCACATTCTCTATCGAATGAGCCCGGTCTCGACCGTTTTTAGCTCGGACACCTCGCAAACTCTCCTTGTAAGTATAAATAATTCAAAAATAAATTTAAAATTTTATTTTCCACTCAATTTAACTCTTAAAACATTTTCTGGGTTAAATCCTTCTGAAAATAAATTATCGGTCCTCGAACGGGGTCGAACCCGCGACCTATTTTTCGATAAAATTTTTTTGATTTTTTACTATTTTATTTTCAAATTAAAAATTAATTATATTTTAAGTTTAAATTAATTTTTAATAATTAAAATTTTAGATCCAACAGCATATCTAAAACACACAACGTACTCTTGCGCTCGATGGATTCAGCATTCTCCAATAAACATGGACTTGTACAAGTATATATTTTTTAGTAAAAAATTTTGGGAAAATATTTCTGACATTATTTCTTTTATAAATGAGATTATAATGACTGGGAATCGATAAATAAGCATTTAAAAATGAAAGGGCCCTGAGCGGGTTCGAACCCACGACCCCTCGAATTTTTGGTTACAAAAAATTTTTTACAAATGTTCCATTTTTTAATGTTTTTCGATTTAAAAGAGATCTTTGATGCTTCAAAAATAGTTTTAGAATCCCTAGTATAATCCCCACTCCTAGTATCAACACTCTAGTGTAGTGGTAAACGTTTTTTAATTTACCCCTTTATAGGTCGTGGGTTCGAACCCGCTCGGGGGAATTTATTTTATTTTTCCTCTAAAAACACTTCACTACGTTAACCACACTCTAGTAATTTTCTTTTGGATTTATTTTTGACTATAAAACAAAAAAATTTAAATAATTTTTTTGAAATTTTACCTAGGCACTTTTTGATTTCTCCCCACAAGAGGAAGGAGAACTTGGATTTCAAAGAGGAGATATTATTACAGGTTTTTTCGTAAACCTTTTTATAAAATAAATAAAAAAAATATTTTTTTGTAGTGACCAAAAGAGAAGATGAAAATTGGTGGGAAGGTACACTCAACAATCAAATGGGAATATTCCCTGCAACATATGTGTATGTTAATATTTTGAGAAATAAATGTTTTTGGGAGAAGAATGAGTTGTTAATTAATTTTAGAATCTAGAAAAATGTTTCCTCGGTAAGATAAAGATTGAGAAATAATTTTTGGATAAATTAAAAAATATTTTACCCCGAGCGGGTTCGAACCCGTGACCTATAAGGGTCGAACCAAAGACGCTACCCACTACACCATGAGACAGTTTTTCTGAAGTAGAAATTAGAAAAAATAATTTTAATCTTAAAATGAATCCGAGGAAATGTTTTTTGAGAAAAATAAAAACAAATCCCCAGAGCGGGTTCGAACCTTTGACCTATAGGAGGGGGAGTCAAGGACGTTACCCACTACACCAAGGATGTTTTTTCTGAAGATTTTTTTTTAATTTTTAAGGGGCAAATTTTAATTTTTCAATTTATAGATGTCCTTATCACAGTGGATAAGCAATGCATTGTCTTTGGTGTCTGTGGTAAAAAAACAATACTATTATATAAAGCATATATAAAATATTTTTCTTAATTTGTTCCTTTAAATTTTTATAGCCAATTTTAGTGGGAATTAACTTTAATTTTGGATATTTTTTTAATTTTGAGCTTTTAATATGAAAAATTTCAAAATGTCAATTTCTCAAATTTTTTTTCAAACATTAACTTCATAATCCTTGCTGAAAGTTCGTCTAAAATTGGCATTTTGAAATTTCCTTCCTGTATTTGTTATCAACTCAATACCAACACATCTTCATTTAATCGTGTCTCGCCCTCTTACCACCCTCATTATTAAAAGCCCATAACATAAAAATTTTTAGTCTTCTTTTTATTAAGAAAAAGTAAAAAGTTATGGGCTATAAATTTAATTTTAAAAAATTGTTCTGCTTTCCCCAACACACTTGATGCTTTCATTGTTTTTATTTAAAAATAAACTATCAATTATATTATTTCCCCTTAAAAGTTGAATAAAAACAAATTGACAAACTTATAACCCCTTATCTGGTCATATCCCAGGAGGTTGCCAACTAGTGTTGCCAAAATGGACCTAAAGATCGAGTCGGGCCTAAGATACATGGCCCAAAAAGACTCGTACGGCCCGACTCGGCAAAGTTAGGCCCTAAAAGGTATCAAATGTCATCGTTTCCAAAATTCTTAGTTTTGGGATCAAATGTCTTACATTTTGGGAATTTTAACTTTCCCATCTCTCTCCGACAAAGATTAGAAAAGAATTATGCCAAATTTTTTTATTTAAAATATATTTACATCAATTAAAGAAGAAAATCGTCTTTTTTAAATATTCGTAAAAAATATATTTACACTTTTTTTTGTTAAATTATTTTTTACTTTTCCCCATAATAAATTCAAGGTATATTTATTTAAATATTTTTCAAAATTCCCCCCAAAAAATTCTCTCTCATCACCAAAAATATTTATTAATAGTCTGCGCGAAAGGATCATCCATTGATGCCGATTGAGCATTTTCCATTCGAGTAATGCAGTAATAGCTTAAAGAATAAAATATGTCAACATTTGGAAGGGGTCACAAAAAAATTAAAAACATCAAGGCTGTACTTTAGCCGGTGGCCCACTCAGAAACGGGTCAAATTATCCAAAAATCACCCCTTTGGATCTTCGGGTTTTACGGAACGGTACTCTGTTCATATCCCGCCCCCCACCCCTATTTAAGTCTCAGATTAATTTTTCTTCTTTGCTGTTAATCATTTATTTTCCTCCTTTTTTAATGCCAATCATTTTCTTCCCTCAACTATATGACACCCAAAAGGGCGCGCGGTTATAACGGCGTAAAGCAATAACTTGGTGGAATATTTTTCACAATTATCATTTTTGTTATCAATCTCTTTAGCTCGATGAGAAAAATCGTTTAATTTTAATTTTGGTAAGGTTCGAAAATTTTGAAGCAAGTTATGGTTTTACGCCGTTAGTGCCGCGCGCCCTTTTGGCTGTCCTATATTTGAGGGAAGAAAATGATTGGCATTAAAAAGGAGGAAAATAAATGATTGACAGCGAAGAAGGAAAAATAATCTGAGACTCAAATAGGGGTGGGGGGCGGAATATGAACAAAGTACCTACGGAACTATATCTCGGCTCATAGGCATTTTCGCGAATCAAATGGTATGTAATTCAACCTGTTTCTGAGTGGGCCACTGGCTAAAGTATATCCGACATCAATTCTCAAAATTGGTCAATCCAAAATTTTTCACCCAGATTGGTCCATTCTCAAAAAGTTAGTTTAAAAAGGCCTCAAAAAAATTCAAAACACCCATTTACAAAACGAAGATTACAAAATGGTCAGAACCCCAAAATAGTCAATTTCAAAATTTTAAAACCAAAAACATACACAACAGCGCCAGTAATTAAATTCGAAACCACAATAGCCAGCAAAACATCCAAACGGCAAAACATTGACCAGTCAAATAATTTTTTGTTTGAAATAATTCTGCGGTGGTAAAGCTTCCCCCCTGGGGATTTAAAAGTAAAAAAGTCTGTAGTCTCTTCTGGTTCTGGGCTGTTTGGAGGTGTTGTTAATGTTGAATTAATTACTAGATTGTTCTTTGGTCTGAAGAAAAAATTTTTTTGAAATTTTTTGGAAATTTTTTAAAATTTTTTTGTCCGCAAAAAATTTTGCGGACAAAAAAATTTTTTTCGGACAATCCAAAATAAAAATCCCACTAATTTACGGTATAGTTAAGAGGATTAGGAGGTTAAAAACGTAAGCTTAGAGAGAAAACGAATCGTGGAAATAGGAAAACAAAAATTAAATACCCGAAAAAATGTCCGCAAAGAAATGTCCGCAAAAATAATTTTGGACTTATTTCTGCCGGACTTGACTTATAAATATACAGCCACTAACAGAAGTCCTTCAGTTTAATATAGGTACATTCTTTAAAAAATGGATGTGACGTGGATGGATGAAAAAGGTTGTTTAAGCAATACCCCTAGGATTGCCAAAATGGCCCGACACGGACCGAAAGATCGAGTCGGGCCTAAGATATTTGGCCCCGAAAAAGACTCGTACGACCCGACTCGATAAAAATGAGGCCCGAAAGAATGACTCGACCATCGGTCCGACTTGAAAACGGTAACTCTAAATACCCCCAATTTAAGCAACAGCCCATTATAAGGTGCGGATTTTTGAATCCCTAAGAGGATAATTTATAGCGAGAGGTCCTCCTAGAGCTATGGAAAAATAATTTAAAATAATATATACTTGTCATTACTAGCCCCACCGTCGCTTCGATAAGCCCACTCCCACAGCCAATCAGTCGAAGATTTGTTCGTATTCCCGCCAACATCAGGCCCAATCATAGACTTAACCAAACGATACTTGACCTGTTCCAAAGAAGATTCAAACTCGACAGCTGGGCTTTGAATGGAAACTGGAGAAAGACGAGAATCTCTTTGACTAATAATTCCTCCCCCAACAGAATTCTCTCCAATATTGACGGCCTCTATTGAAGAGGAGAGGCTGGCACGGCTTGGAGCTAGTTCTACCCAGGATTCTGAAAATGATTTTAAAAAATTTTTAAGAAGGTTTTTAAGTAGAAAAGGTGTCTAGAATTAATTAGGAAGAAAATCAGTTTTAGAAAAAAATGATTTCCCCGAAGAGGGTTCGAACCCACGACCTGTTAGGGGTAAAACTGAAACATTACCAACTTAACGAAGAATACGATTTTGAGTTAAGTAGGATATAAAAAGGAGAAATAAAATGTTTTGTCGTCCTAACAAGGGAACATTCCGAACTGTGACCAAAAATTTTTCGATAAAAATTATACCATCGTGTAGAGCATGGTCGATAGCCTATCCCTATATATTTCTTTTTTGGCCCTGACCCCCATTTCGAAAAGTTATGGGGCTTCAAAGTTTTAGACTTTTGGAGCGGTTGAGTCGCCCTCATAAAGAGAGAATTTTCTTTTATTAAGGAGAAAAATAAGACTCCTTTTCTCCATTTTTCCTTTCCTTTTCTTTTCCAATATTAGTTAAAGAAAGAGAAAAAGAGGAGAGAAAAGAAAAGGAAAAGAGGCATCTCTGCCTCCTCCTCTTTCCTTTTTAATTGAAATTAGCCGCAAGGCAGAGATGCTCTTTTCTTTTCCTTTTCTCTCCTCTTGTTCTCTTTCTTTAACCAACATGGGAAAAGAAAAGGAAAGGAAAAATGGAGAAAAGGAGTCTTATTTTTCCCTTTAGGAAGACAAATAATAAGAAAAGTGGGGGCGACTCAACCGCTCCAAAAGTCTAAAACTTTGAAGCCCCATAACTTTTCGAAATGGGGGTCAGGGCCAAAAAAGAAATATATAGGGATAGGCTATCGACCATGCTCTACACGATGGTATAATTTTTATCGAAAAAATTTTGGTCACAGTTCGGAATGTTCCCTTGTAAGGTGTCTGGAATTACTTCTGAGGAAAATACTTTTTACAAATAATGTTTTACCCCAAGAGTATTCGAATCCGTGACCTAACCCAAAAGGTGTAAATTCGAAACTTTCAAAAATCTTCGAACGATGATTCTTTATTTTGAGACGTTTGCGGACTTTCCAAGGTAAAACAGAAACGAGAACCCCAACCCCTTAAGATTCCTTCTTAAATAGTTTTTTTAAAGAAACCTGGAACACTATCAATTTCATCAGGCCCCAACGGCTTTTCTGCCATCATTGCCAAACCGGCAGCTGCCAAATTTGAACCACTTCCTTTCTTCATAGAAGAAGTTGAAGTATTATTATTTCCTCCTCCATTACTACTTGTTCCAGCACCAAACTTTTTTGTTGTGTCAAATAATTCTGGTTGGCGATTAAAAAATGAAGACATTTTCTCTTTCTTTTTTAATTAAAATCAGTAAATTTATTGTTTAAATTAATTTTAAAAAAATCTAAAAAATAAAAAAATGATGAAAATTAATGATAGACATGTCCAGAATTAATAACACGACAAAATATTCAAGAAAAAAATAATTTACCTCAAAGGAGTTCGAACCCACGACCTGGCTGGGGGGAGTCTAAATCGCTAACCACTACACCACGCCTTATTAAATTAAAGTCCGATTAATTAAAGTTTAATTTAGAGGGGTTATTTAATTCACATAGTATATGTACTATTTTAGAAGAATAAAATGCATATCGACGAAGGAATGCAAATATAAATAAAATATAGAAAAATACACATTAAAACAAGGCAAAAACTTCAATTTAAAAAGGTTAAAGACTAATCAAGAAAAAAAAAACTTTTTTTTAATTTTATCGATTTTTAGCCCCTTTAACTAAGCTTTGTAGGGGTTGATTTTTTAATTGTCACACTGTCACAAGAACTCACAATATTTGTATGAAAAGAGAAAAATAAAAAGAAGAAAAGTATATTTATTTTTACCAAACAGAGAAAAATAAAAAAATTTTCCTTTTCTCAGCTGTTTTATGGGGCTTTCTCCCCTGCTTAACACACAAGTATGGGGGGTCATGTGAATATTAAAAACAAAAAATAGGAGTATTAAAACAAAATAGAGAATATTTAAATAGTGTGTGTTTATTTGTTCTTTTGGTCTCCGCTAGAATATTAAAATGCCCAATGGACAAAATGGTCAGTATTTAAAATGTTAAAAGTATAAAATAACCGTAAGAAGAAAAACGACAAAATGCCCAAAAGAAGAGAAAAAGACAAAATGCCCATAAGAAGAAAAAAGGACAAAATGCCTACAAGAAGGAAAAACGACAAAACGCCCAAAAAGCTAATAGTGGACATTTTGACTTGTACACTTTTGTCCTTTGGGCATTTTGAAACTAGCAAAAGTAGGCAGCTTTTAAGAGTGTTTATAAGAAAATAAGACCAAAGAATAAATAAAAATAAATAAAATAGAAACAGGCTTTAAAAGAGCCTTTAAATAAATGTGTTGTGTCTGGCAGAAAAAAATTTTTATTTTTGCAATTTAAAAAGGCAAGGGAAATTTTTTTGATGACAATTTTTTAGAAATTAAAAGAGAATCATATGAGAAGGAAAAAAATTAAATTTCAAAATGTCAACTTTTCAGAACGTCCAAAAAATTAATTTTTTTTACAAATTCCAAATTGAAGGTATTATTGTATCCGTTTGTACACTTGTACTTTGCATTTCCATTAAATTATTACTAAAATAAGGATCATATGAAAATAGTGGGGGTGTTTGAGTCCAGCCATTATTGCGCAATAGACTGAAATTTTGGAAAAAATTTTTTTAAAGATTTTTCAAAAAATGTCTGCAAAATTTTGTCCGCAAAAATATTTGCGGACAAACCTACGCGGACATTTATAAAAAAATAATCACATTCCCCCTCCCCCAATATCAACAACTCTATCAATTAAATCAAAGGAAGAAGAACAACAACAAGAACCATAAAAAGTTTGTGTAGATTCTTCTACTGTTTGATAACAAATATTATTATTATTAAAAGAATTATTAAAATTATTATTATTTTCTTCTTCTTGATTTGATAAATATTGTTGTTGTTGTGTATTTATTATTAAATTATTATTTTGATTATAATTTGTAATTAATTCTGATTGTTGTTGAGTGGGATGTATTTCTGTTTGTGTATAAATGTGTTTTTCTGTTGTTGTTAATTTTCTAATTAAATAGAAAGAAAATACAAAAATAAAATACGAAAAAATACAAAAATTAAAGTAAAATACAAAACACTTTCCGGAAGTAAAATACATAAATTTTCCGGAAGTAAAATACAATCCGGAAGTAAAATACAAAAACTTTCCGGAAATAAAATACAAAAACTTTCCGGAAGTAAAATACAAAAATTTTCCGGAAGTAAAATACAAACACTTTCCGGAAGTAAAATACAAAAACACTTTCCGGAAGTAAAATACATAAATTTTCCGGAAGTAAAATACAAAAATCAGAATTTTCTAAAAACTTTCCGGAAACAAAAATATTATAAATACAATAAATCATGAAAAATACAAAAATCAGAATAACCGGAAAATACAAAAAATACAAAAATTAGAAAGCATCCGGAAAAATACAAACTTGGAATAAAAATTAGAATAAAATTGTAAAAACCGGTTTTCTTTTAAAACTTTCCAGAAAAATTTAAGTATTTTTTCAAAATTATTTGTGTTTTCCGGTTTGTGTTTTTAATTTTATTATTTTCCGGAAAGTTTTTATAAAATCTGTATTTTTCCGGAATTATTCTATTAATTTAATTCTGATTTTTGTATTTTCTTATAATTAAAATACCTTCTTGGGTGTATTTTTGTAAATTTCCCAGCAATTAATATTTTTGTAGGAACAAGCCATTTTTCAGTTTGTGAACCAGTATCTTTCTTTGTAATTTTATTTTCACCAATTCCGACTTCAGAATTTATTGAATAATTATTTATTTTTATTTTTTGTTTAGGGCAGACCTTAAATTAGAAAAAATTTTTTCTCCCCACCAGAAAAATCCGCAAATTTTTAAAATATTGCGGACAATATTTGCGGATGTCCGCAATTTTTTGAAATTTGCGGACAAAAATTGCGGACATTTTCCCCCAATACCTTTTTATTATGATAACGTAAATCTCTTTCCAAAGAAAATTTTGCCGTACAAAATTCACATTTTAAATTCTTCTCAAAATGAGTTTTTTGAAAATGCTGAATTAATAATTTTGCTGAACAAAAATTTTTCTGTTTAATTTTGCATTCCTCCAAAGGACAAAAAATTTTAAATTTTTTGTAAATTGTTTTTCTGTTTCTACTCCAAGAATTGAGTCGATACTTGAAATTTTTATTGAATGGGATTTTTTGGCATGGAATAAAGCTGATCCACGATTTTTAAAATTTTTGTTGCAAATAGTGCAGAGAATTGAGGAGTTGATGTCGGTTTGTCTGAAATCATAAAGGAAAATGCGAAAAATACAAAAATTAAAAAAATACAAAAAATACAAAAATACAAAAACACAAAAAATACAAAAACACAAAAAATACAAAAACACAAAAAATACAAAAACACAAAAAATACAAAAACACAAAAAATACAAAAATACAAAACACAGAAAAATACAAAAACACACAAAAAATACAAAAACACAAAAATACAAAACACAGAAAAACACAAAAATACAAAACACAGAAAAATACAAAAACACAAAAATACAAAAAATACAAAAACACAAAAATACAAAACACAGAAAAACACAAAAATACAAAACACAGAAAAATACAAAAACACAACAATACAAAACACAGAAAAACACAAAAATACAAAACACAGAAAAACACAAAAATACAAAACACAGAAAAATACAAAAACACAAAAATACAAAAAATACAAAAACACAAAAATACAAAACACAGAAAAACACAAAAATACAAAACACAGAAAAATACAAAAACAAAAAAATACAAAACACAGAAAAACACAAAAATACAAAACACAGAAAAACACAAAAATACAAAACACAGAAAAATACAAAAATACAAAACACAGAAAAACACAAAAATACAAAACACAGAAAAATACAAAAACACAAAATACAAAAAACACAAAAGGAACACAAAAAAACACAAGAAATACAAAAAAGGAAAACACAAAAAAATACAAATACAAAAACACAACAAAACTCAAAAAATACAAAAACTCTTACAAAATATTTTGCATATCCTCATCTCCATCCTCCCCGTTTATCGGCCGAATAGCATTAATTAATTGAGAAACAGTTGGTCTAATCTCTGTAAATTCTTCCATATTTGTTGGAACAGTTTCTGATACATCAGAAAGAGACATTCATTTACATTTGGCTATAAAAAAATTTTTTAAAAATTAAAAAATATAAAAAATATTTATAACATTTTTAAAATATAAAAATTAAAAATAATAAATAAAAAAATAAATTTATTTTTAAATATATATTTAAATGTATCACCCAAAAAATTATAATAACATGTATATTTTAAATAAAACATGCGTAGCTGCTATATAGTTTCCAGAAAAATACATTAATTAAAATACAAAATTATTCCGGAAAATTTAAACCGGAAAAAATACAAAAAAATAGATTCAAGTTTAATTTTCTATATTTCCGGAAAACACAAAATTTGTATTTTTCGAAAATACAACCTTCTGGAAAAATTATAAATAATGTATTTTCAGGAAAAAATGTATTTAATAAGTGTAATACTTGATAGGAATGAAGAAAATAAAATACAGCGGTTGGGGTCAGTTGAGCGTGGCCGGTTGAGCGTGAGCCGACCTTTGAAAGGCTATAACTTTTTGCTGCTTGATCCAATACGAATGAATCATATATCATTCGAAAGCCCTCGATGAGTCCAATCGTTATCCCAACTGGATGGATCAGTTCTGATCCCGATTAAAAGGTTATAAGTCGATAAGTGCAGAAAATCGTTGTTTTTCACACTTATCGACTTGTAACTTTTTAAATAGCGATCAATCATGATCCATCCAATTGAAACAAATATAGCGTTTAACGAGGGCTTTCGAATGATATATGATTCATTAGTATTGAATCAAGCGGAAAAAAGTTATAGCCGATCAAAGTTGGCTGACGCTCAACCGGCCACGCTCAACTGGCCCGTTCCGAAATACAGGCATATATGAATAAATTTAATTATTGAATAAAGATTAGATTTTTAAATGAAAATAAAATATTATTGAATAATTAAAAGGCTATTTTTTGAAAAAAAATATAAAACTGGCAAGAGAAATATTTACAAATGCAAAGATAAAAAAATTAAAAAAAGATGCAAAAACTGGCAGAAAAAAATGATAATGTGAAAAAAATTAAAAATTCTAGATTCTATCATAACAAACACACCAAGTTGCCATAAAATAATTTTTTTCAATTATACAATGTGGAGTATCCCCGTATTTATTAATATGGCTTATAGCAGATAGATCGACTTTAATTTGATTACCATCATAAAAAAGGGTTACCTTTAAAGAAAATTTTTTTTTTGAATTTTTTTTTTGAATTTTAAAGACCTTAATTTTATTAATTTTTGATTCAAAAAATTTTTTTTGTTTTCGAAAAAATTATTTTTTTTCTCAATTTTCCCCCCTCACCTCATATTTAGCTTCACCAGGTGTAGTAATAAAAACAATTTGATATGTAGCAAATTTTGTTTTAACATTTCCTTTTAATTGAGGCTTAAAACCATCAAAATCTACAACTCCATTATATTTTAAAAGTTGATCGTTTGGAACTAATCTTAAAAAATTTTTTTTTATTTTTAACTAAAAATTATTTTTTCTCACTTTTTTGCACTCTCCACATTTTCTAATTCCAATTTTGAACATAGAGAACGTTCTGATTCTGTATATTTATTTATTTTATCAATTACGGAATTTGCTAAAGGTATAACTTCATTAACATTATTAATAATAATCCAATTAAGGCAGGTACACCAATGTATTTCTATTCCTGCCTTAAAAATAAAATACATAAAAATGTAATTTTCCGGAAAATACAAATATAATATAGTGTTCCGGAAGGAACAAAAATAAATATATTTCCGGAAAAAATAAAAGGAAACACAAAAATATACTTTTCCGGAAATATAATTTTCCGGAAAATACAAAAATAATATAGTGTTCCGGAAGGGAAATACAAATAAATGTTTACGGAAAATATAAAAAGAAATATACTTTTCCGGAAAATACAAATAATTAAATTTTTCCGGAAGAAATATATAATTTTCCGGAAGGAATAAAAATAAATGTATTTTCCGGAAATAAAAGAAAACACAAGAATAACTTTTCCGGAAAGAAAATACAAAAAATTAAAAGTTTCCGGAAGGAACAAAAATAATATATGATTTTCCGGAAAGTACAAATAATAAAATACGTATTAATATACATTTCCGGAAAGTTTAAATAAAAAAACACAAAAATTTATTTTGTATTATCCGGAAAATACAAAACAAATATTTTTGTATTTTTATCAGGCCCGTAGCCAGGATTTTTTTTCGGGGGGGGGGCAAAGGGGGGAAAAATTTTTTGCGCCAAATTTTCGGCGCCGCAGGCGCCAACATTTTGATTTTCAGCGCCGCAGGCGAAAATTTTTAGAATTTTGGACCTCAAGAAGCCAGATTTCTTCCATTTTTAGCGCCGCAGGCGAAAATTTTGAAAATTTCGAAGGCCGTAGGCCAAAAAAATTCACTTTTTTGCCCCAGCCCTTCCCCAAATTTTTCCCTTTTCCCCATTTCGGGGGGGGGGGGGGGGGGGGGGGGTAGGGGGAATTCCCCCTACCCCCCCCCCTGGCTACGGGCCTGATTTTTATTTAAAAACAAAAACTTTACTTGTTCACAAGTCCTTTCCAATGGAATTTCACGCAAAAAAGAAATTGCCCGGTTCATAGGAAATTGTAAATCTTTAGAAGTTGAAGTCACCAATTTATTTGAAAAATAATCATTTCCAAGTTTTGGCCAACTTAAAAAATTGGGAAAAAAAATTTTTTGAAAATTTAAAGAATTTTTCTGAAAAATGAGATAAAATGTCTCTTTTAAAATACCGAAAAATAAAAAATTGGAAAAATTTTTTTTTTAAAATTTTTTGAATTTTCTGAAAAAATGGGATAAAATGTCGCTCAAAATTTCCAAAAAAATTCGAAAAAATTTTTTTTTAATTTTAAAATTTTTTTTTGAAAAATGAGATAAAATGTCTCTCTTAAATTTTTCAAAAAAAAAATTTTCAAAAAAATTTTAAATTAAAAAAAACCTAAAAATATCCATTAATGTTGCATGAAAATCAAAAGGTGTTACAAGTCTATCCACAGAATTTATTTTTATATTTGACCAAACTTGTTTATATTTTTGAGGAAAATGTACAGAGAAAAATGGAAGTCTTTCTTCTAACTGACCTGAAAAAATAAAAAATAATTTTTTTAATAAATTTATTAAAAATATGACTCTAAAATTTATTTTGAAGTCAAAAAAATTTTTTTTTAATATTTTAAAATTTTTCAAAAAATCTGGGATAAAATGTCACCCCAAAAATAAAATTTTAAATTATTAAAATAAATAAATTATAAAAAATTAGACTTCGAAAATTTATTTTAAATCATAAAAATGAAAAAAAAAGTATGTTAAAAAATTATAAGGGATTTTTTTTAAATTGGGACCAAATGTCATCTCCCCCAAAAAAATTTTTGAAAAATTCCTAAATTGTTTAAAAAAACCTTGATGTGTTTCTCTCAATTTTGCAAATCTATTTCCATGATCTGCCATCACAATAAACAAAGAATTATCAAAAGCACCCATTTTTTTCATTTTTTGCAAATGAACAAACAAATCATCATCAGCCTGTTGGACTTTATTTATATCGTCGTGAGACAAATAAGAGTGATGCATTAATAAAAAACGGGGAATTTGTAATTTTGAATATTCATTCCAAAATGATTCGATATAACGAAACCAGACCTTTAAGAAAAAAAAATTAAAAAATTCTTTTGGGATCAAATGTCATCTTGAAAATTAAAATGTCATTAAAAATGTTACTTAAATGACAGTTTTAATTAAATTTGTTAAAAGAATAATTTGGAGAAAAAGTTTTAAAAATCTAAAAAAATATAGACAAAATAACCAAAATTTGAAAATTATTTTTGGGATCAAATGTCATCGAGTAAGAATTGAACAAAAAAATAATTTTTAAGCTCGAAAAATAATTTATAAAAATTTTGGGATCAAATCTTTTAAAAATTAAAAATTCAAAGAGCAAAACATAGGAATAAATAAAATTCAAAAAGAATAAAAATATTTCTGGGACCAAATGTCACCTAATAAATTTTTAAAAAATTAAAATAAATAAAAATATTTTTAGGGCAATTTTGGGACCAAAAAAATCCTATTCTTATAGAAAATAAAATTTAAAAATTAAAAAAAAATAAAAATAATTAAAAAATTTTTTGGGATCAAATGTCACCTAAAAATTTAAAATTCAGAACTGAAAAGAAAAACATAGAAAAAATAAAAATTAAAAAAAAAAATAAAAATATTTCTGGGACCAAATGTCTCATCCTTATAAAAATAAAGTAAAAACCAAAAAAAATTTTGAAAAAGAAATTTTTTGAAAAAAAAAAAATATTTACCTCGTGTTGTTTTTCTGCCCCAATACAAACTCTAGAATTATCCACAGTTTCGGCATAATGAAAAAAAGTGATTGGATAATGATGTGTTGGGGAATTTCGAAAACCTTTTAAACGATAAGTGAAGGTGCCTAGAAAATTTTAGAAAAAATTACAAAAAAAAATTTTTTAAAAACCAAAAGAATGTCCATCCTCCCCATACATTGTAGCATACCCAGCATCTGAAAAATTGTTCCAAACAAAAGGATAAACTTCATCGACATAATGAGCAGATGAATAACGCTTACGAGTGAGTGGCTAAAAATAAAAAATTGAGGAATTAGGATTTTTTGAAAATTTTCAAATAATGGGACCAAATGTCATCAATTAAAAAATCTCGAAAAAGGGGTTTATAATGTCCCAAATTTAAATTACAAAAAGAAAATTTGAATAAACTATCAAATAAAAATAAGAATTAGAGATTTTTGAGATCAAATGTCAACAGAAGAAAAGAAATAAAAAATATGGGACCAATTGTCACCTCAAAAAAATATTCAAAAATGTGGGACACGCCCTCCTTGTCGCGGGCCACCTTGTCGCGACCACCTTGTCGCGACCACCTTGTCGCAGGCCACCTTGTCGCAGGCCCACCTTGTCGCAGGCCCACCTTGTCGCAAAGGTTGAAAATTTTTTATGCTGATATGGAGGGTATGGAGGGTAGGAAAAAGGCCTTCTGGGCACGATCGGGGTTTTCTGGAGTAATTTGGATCGGTTTTACTCTGTTAAAACTCCGGTAGACTTTAACCGGATAAGAGAAAGTAATAAAAGGAAAAAAACACTCCTGGAAATTAACTAAAAAATTAAAAAAAAACCTAGAAAACAAAATAGAAATTCTAAACCTTCCATATTTCCAATCGTTGTAGCCGTGGGATGAAGTACGGCACGTGGCGAGTGAAGTTTAGGCCAGCCTTGAAATAAAAACCAAAGGAAAGCCTGCGACAAAGTGGCCTGCGACAAGGTGGGCCTGCGACAAGGTGGGCCTGCGACAAGGTGGGCCTGCGACAAGGTGGTCGCGACAAGGTGGTCGCGACAAGATGGCCCGCGACAAGGTGGGCCGTACCCCAAAAATGTTTGTGTGGAAGATTTGGCTCCTAAATTATAATTAAAAAAGGAGTTGGCCCAGCTATTATATAAAAATAAAATTAACAATAAGAAGTTTGGGATCAAATGTCACCCAAGCAAAAAAAAATTAAAAAAAATATGAGACCGATTGTCACCTCAAAAATATCCACAAAAATTTTGTGTGGAAAATTTGCCACTTAAAGTAAAATTCCAGAAAGTAGTTGGCCCAACTGTTATATGACAATAAAATTAAAAATAAGTAGTTTGGGATCAAATGTCACCTCATAAAAAATTCAGATAAAAATCTGGGATCAAATGTCATCCCAAAAATTATAAAATAAAGTTAATTAAATATACCAATTCCTCCTCTGTAAAACCAGTCAAAATTGGAATAAATGCTTGAGGTGTTCCATCTCCAACAATATTATAACCTTAGAAAATTTTCTTTTTAAATTCCAAATTTTAATTAAAAAAACCATTAAAAACAGCAAAATCATTTTCTTCCAAAAATTTGACAGTTTTAGGCAAATTACGTCTAAAAGACATTTGTGAAAGTGAATCAAATGAAAGTATATAAACATTTATTGGGTCTGTAGAAGAATTTTGAAGATGATTATTTGCTGCATTGGGGTGCTTCTTCGTCTTTTCTTTATTTTTTGGAACAACAACCATAAATGGATTACTCCTTTAAAAATAAAAATATTTAAAAATATTTTTAAAGATATATAAAGGAAATTTGGGTCAAACATCAAAACAATTAAAATTCAGAAATGGGACCAAATGTCATCACCCGAGCAAAACAAGGGGAAAAATGTAAAAGGAAAGAAGATGAAAAATAGAAAGTTTGTATCTAAAATAAAAAAAATGAGAAAATTACAAGCCAGAGGAGCTTAAACCAAAAAAGAAAGAGACTTAGAAATTGGGTTCAAATGTCACCCCACTAAAAAATATGGGACAAAACGTCACAAAATCACACAAAAATCCGCCCAAGCTCAAAATCACAAGTCTCTAACTGATAAATCACACCAAAAAATTTACAAATAAATTTGCGATAAAATGTCATTAAAATTCTAAAAAAAATTCTACACTAACCATTGTCTACTTCCAGCCATACAACTTATTTTAACATAATCCCCCTTTTCAATTTTAACACCAAAACTAATATTTTCTTCTTCTGTCCAAAAAAGTTCTGAATCTGTTTTTCGACTATAAAATGCCCAATTACAGTTTATATTGTGAAGACCAATTTTACTGAAAAAAATGAAAAAATTAAAATGGAAACGAAAAATAAAAAATTTAAAAAATTTTGTGGCAAAATGTCGTCTGGACCTTTTGAAACCCATAAAAATAATCAAGTAATTGAAAATCTCCGTTCCTTTTTAAAAATGAGGAACGGAGCGAGAGAAGTCCTTCACCCTCGAAATAATTAATTTTTCTCTTTTTTATGCCCCAAAATAAGTCCGCAAGTTTTATCCGCAAGTGTACACACTTAAAAATTTTTTTCATAAAAAGCGTCCTTTGAAGAATTATTTGCAAACTCATGCCCTCAAATAATCCCCCAACTTTATTTTTTCCTTTTATAATCCTTTTACTGATAAAATAAAAATTTGCGGACAAAACTTGCGGACTTTTTTCTCCATAAAGTAACTCCTGTATTTACTCGATAAATTCTCCTCCCTTGAATAATTCCCCTCTCATATAATTACACCTGCTACGGATGAGTTGAAACACTAATCCCCCTCCCCCAAATACCCTACTACACGTTCAAATTTCAACTCGAATCCTTTGAATAATTCCCTCCCTTGAACGGATGGGTTGAAAAAATAATTTCCCAGGGGAATTAATCGAGTAACTACCTAAATCAAAAAATAAAAATAAACCTTTTTGCATATTCTGTCGGTTGTATTCTCCTTTCCTCATCAATATGAACCCAAGGTTTAGGCTTCCTCTTGGTACAATCCAATGGAGGATATTTTTTATAAAATTTAATCACTTCAGAACCGTTAACTTCAAGTTTTGGAATTTTACAAGCCTTGAAAGGGAAAAAAAATTTTTTTTGGAATTTTTAAAAATTAAAAAAATAAAAACCTGCTGTTTTTCCCCATCATTTTTAGCAAATTCTCCTTTTTTCCATTTAAACTAGAAAAAATAAAAAATTATCGTTAAAGAAAATTTTTTTGTGTCTGTTAAAAATGCACCCAAAACGGATTTCTAGGTAAAAATATAGCTCATCAACCCAGCTAAAAAGCATGGTTTTCTAATTAAATAAAATTTTCTGAGTTCAAAAATCATTAAAAAAATCACCCAAAAACGACTAATTTGATTTTTAAAAAAATTTAGAAAATTAATTCCCCACGCGGGTTCGAACCCACGACCCCCAGAAAAAAGTCTATAGCTCACCAACCCAGCTAAAATCATGATTTTCTAATTTAATAAAATTTTCTGAGTTCGAAAATCATTATAAAAGCACTCAAAAGGGTTTAATTTGATTTAAAAAAAATTAATTTCCCCGAACGGGTTCGAACCCACGACCCCCAAATTTCTCATTTTTTTAGATGACTCATAAAAATTTTTTTAAATAAAAAACCTTTACATCTTTCTCAATCTCAAACAATTTTAAATTTTGTTCTCCACCAATATCTTCATTGTTTTTGAATAATAAAGTGTTAAAAATAATTAGTGTAGAAACAAGTAAAATAATAAAAGGAAAAATAGTTCGAATAACCCGTCTTCTTTTTGAGGACATCATTTGAAAGATTTAAATATTCGGCGAGTTTCTGTCAGCATTTACGAGAAAAGCACTAAAATTGTTGCTTAAATTATTGAGAAAAAATTTTTAAATTAAATTTAAAAAATTTTTTTACAGCTCTGTAAACACATATGTTTTCCCTGTGTTTAGCCAAGCTGTAAATTTTTTTCTCTTTAATTTAAAATCCGATTAAAAAATAGAAAATACCCAAAAAATACCTATTATAATTATTTTTAAAAAACAACTCACCTTTTAATAAATACCTTCCATCAACAACAGAATTAAAAAAAGCAAAAAAAATTATATGTAAAAGATTAGTGCAGGAATTATTATTTGTGTAGGGAATTATCTTTGTACTTACACGCGAATTAAATAGAAAAAATAATATAAAAATAATTTTGTTGTTTTTACAAAAACATAAAAAATAAAATTTCAAGAAAAAAAAAATTTTTTTTCAATTTTTAAACGATTAAATATAAATTTATTAGTTACAAAAATTCACTTAAGTTTTTAAAATGTTTTTTTTTTCAGTCTTTTTTACTAAAAAAAAAGAAAAAAAATTAATTTAGGGGGGAATAAAAGGTACTTTTCCGTTATGACGTAACCCCCTAAATTAATGTTCAAAATGTCATATTTAGGGTAGAAAAATGTGCTGAGTCGAACAGTACCACTCTTTTTTCACGGAGATGCCTGTGGACCGAGATATAGGGCTCGAAATGGTCAAAAACTATAGGGGGGAGTAAGCTCAATTTTGGGGTGAAAAATTCCATTTTTTGAATGATAGCTATTTCGAAAGAGCTCCTCGAGCTGAGTCACATGACACCAAACAGCTCGAAATCTTGATTTTGAGACTAGATGAACAAGCTCAAAATGGTCAACGTAAACCTATGGAGCGTAGGCGAGGCGCACTCCCCCTATGGTTTTTGACCATTTCGAGCCCTATATCTCGGTCCACAGGCATCTCCGTGAAAAAAAGTGGTACCGTTCGACTCAGCACCTTTTTCTACCCTAAATATGACATTTTGAACATTAATTTAGGGTATTACGTCATAACGGAAAAGTACCGAATAAAAGAACTAGTAAAATATGTACACAGATAATAAGATATTAATAAAAAACAATATAAATTACAAACAAAACATAACATTCTCTCTTATTTTTTATTTAAAGTTTCTAATTGATCAAAAACTTGGGAAAATGTTGGCCTCAAAAAACGATCATTCTTTACAAAAAAATAAAAATATACAGGTTTATTTTATATACAGTCGAACCTCAAAAGGATTAACAAAAACTAAATAAAAAATAAAATTCGCCAAAAGAGAATTAAATTCACGTGAATTTTCTTGTTAATTTTAGGGGATAAATATATAAAATTTAGTGTTGCTAAATAAAAAATTTCAGCAAAAAATAATTTATAAAAAAAAGAGAGAGAATATAAAACCCCCTTAAAAATAAACAAGAGTTGCGGGAAAACGACCAAACGCCAAAGATCACTCAAAAACTTTAGTTGCCCAAAAAAATTCATTTAAAAATGAATTCACGTGTGAATTAAAGTTCCCAAAATGTGGCAAATTCCTTTTTTTTATTTTTCTCTTAATCTATAATGATTTTTAATCTCGTCTCTCTTTTTATGCAAAATCAGCCCATTTTTTCACAACCAAACTGCAACATTTATTTTGAGTAGGGTTATCGGTTCTGGACCGAACCAAACCGAAGAAGTGAGGATTTTTCGGTTCGATTCTTCGGTATTCGAAGAATTAGCTGGAACCGGCAAACACTAATTGTGAGATTCGACTGTAATTTAAAAACAAATAATCTTTCCTCCCCTACCTTTGTACATGTAATACCAAGCATTATTAATAATTCAAATATTTGTTTATATTGTTGATTATCACCTTTAAAAAAAATTTTTTTTTATTAAGATTGACAAATCTTTGGTACTTTTTTTAGATTTCCCATCCCCTTCTCTATGTTTGAGTCTCAGAGCTTTCCTTAATATGTAATGTCACAGCTTCCTAATTTCACAGTATTTTTCAGTGGTAACAAGGTCTGACCATTATGTACATATTAAAAAAATGGAACTGCCCAAGTATAACTTGCTTCATGATTTTCGAAGCTTACCAAATTTAGTAATAAACGATTCCTCTCGACAAGCTAAAGAGATTGATACCAAAGTTGATAAGGGGCAGAAATGTTCCCAGCAAGTTATGGCTTTGCGCCCTTATGTTCGCGCACCTACTTGGGCGTGTCCCTAGAAAAACAATGAGACTCAATGTCAAACTAAAGGAAGGAGAGGGGGTTCTTAAATTCTCTTTCTCTCCCCCTCACCTATAACAATTCTTTTATCACTCAAAATTTCAGCCATTTTAGCACCTCCATCCAATCTATAATATTTATTAGTATATTCAACCAATCCTTGAGGTTCTCTATTAGACAAAAAAGCTCGTTGTCCACTAGCCATTTCTAACAAAACTACACCAAAACTATAAACATCCAATTTTGTTGTCAAAATTTGGCTTGTAGTAAATTCTGGGGGTAAATAAGCTAAAGTCCCCTTTATATGTGATGCTATCATTGGCTTTTTCCCATCTTCAAAATTTTCTAATTGTCCATCTCGACTCAAGCCGAAATCTCCCAATTTTGGTTCATAATGTTTATCTAATAATATATTTGCTGATTTTACGTCGCCGTGGATTATAGGCATTGTCCCTGTTGTGTGGAGAAAATGGAGGCCACAACTAACACCTTTTGATATTGATAAACGAAGAGGCCAGTCAAGTGGAGGTGTTGAATTCTTTAAGAAATTTTTAAATTGAAAAATATTCATAAATATTTTTTGTAGTAAAAGAATTTTTTAAAATTTTTGGTTTTGGTGTAGTGGGTTAATTTTTGGTTTTGGTGTAGTGGGTTAATTTTTGGTTTTGGTGTAGTGGGTTAATTTTTGGTTTTGGTGTAGTGGGTTAATTTTTGGTTTTGGTGTAGTGGGTTAATTTTTGGTTAAGGGATGTGGGTTCGAATCCCATTCATAGAAAACAATTTCATATTTTAACTGATTAATTTCTTAATTAAAAATATTCTGCTTTGCAAAAATTTTTTTTAAGACTTTTGTTGTTTTGGTTGGGTTAATGCTTGGTTTTTACTAGTTGAGGGTCGTAAGTTTAAATCCCACTCAAGGAGAAAAAAATTTTTGGATAAAGAAAATTAATCTTGTTGGATTAAAAACCACTTTTTTGATTCAACAGGATTAATTCTCTTTAAACAAAAATTGTTTTCCTTGAGTGGGATTCGAACCCATGACCCTCATGTAGTAGAAACCAAAAATTAACCCACTACACCAAAACCCACAAAAATTCATAAAAACACCAAAACTAACCCTACAAAGTAATCTATCCTCTAAAGATCCATTAGACATAAATTGATATATTAAACAAGGTTCTGGACCATCCAAAGAATACCCATATAAAGATAAAATGTTGTCATGTCTAAATTTGGCTAGAGTTCGTAATTCTTGTAGGCTTTGACGTAAACGTTCTTTTTGATGCTTAAAAAAATTTTTTTTAATTTTTTTAGCATAAAAATTTTTTAGAAAAAAAATTTTTACTTTTTACTATGATTAATTTTAAAAAGCAAAAAATTAAAAAAAAACTAATAGACGTAAAAAATAAAAATCAATTAATCATTTTAAATATAAAATAGGGGAAAAAATATATAAAAATGAGGAGACATATAAAAATTAGAAAAAAAAATTATTTATTAGTAGTCGACTTTGAATAGGAATAGATTATCTCTTTATAGATATTAAAAAGGAAATTTTAGGAAAATTAAAAAAATAAAAAGTAATGTTGTTGTAGTTAATTTTACATCAAGAGAGAAAGAGAGAAAAGAAAAAAGAGAAAATTTTTGAGAAAATAAAAAATTCTCTTCCTCCCCAAGGTTATATTTTTTAATAAAAGATTACCTAAATTGTGTAAAATCAACAATTCAACGTCTTAAAGGAATTATTTCTTTAAGACGTTCCCCAAATTCTCCTTTCTCCCATACATATTTCTCCCAAAAAAGAAACCAAAAAAATTTTTTTGGGGGATCCAAAAATTTTCGAAAAAAATTTAAAAAAAAAACACCAAACCTGTTCAAACTCTTCTCCTCTTCCATTTTTCTTTCCCTGAATTCGTTTAACAGCAACTTCAGTATGCTTCCAATTTCCTTTGTAAACAACCCCATAACCACCCTTTCCAAGTATTTGTTCTGATGCCCAATTTTGTGTTGCAATAATTATATCAGAATAGGGGACAGTTAAAGTGCTTTGTAGACCAGTTAAAATTGCATTACTTGCAGACTAAAAAAATAGAATTTAAACAAACCAATTTTTTTTGAAATATTAAAAAATCCTCTTGTTTTAAAAGGAAATAAAAAAAGACGAAAAAACCCCAATTTAAAAAATAGAAACAAAAAAAAGTGGTTCTAAATAAAATAAAAAATTAAAAAAAAAGTTTTTAATTTTTAAGAATTAGAAAAAAATTTTTTTTTGATTGTCTGGTTATGAAAAAAATTTTTTTAATGAAAAAGAATGAGTCAAAAAGTAAGAGAAGACTTACTTAAAGTCAAAAGGAATCGAACCCACAACCCCAACTCGAGAGAATCAGACACACTACCATTAAGCCAAAACCCTTGTTAAATGGACTTTAAAAAATAGTGATAAAACCCACTCAAAAATAGTCCCCTATTTAGTAAATTAAAATAAACCGAGTGATGTTGTTGTTCAAGCAAAGATTGTGGAGCACTCTCAGCACTCGAAATTCATAAAATTCAAAGAAATATTTTCCACAAATTTTTTAATTTATTAAAAAAACCTTTACGAGAATAGACACCAAAAGATCCCTGTTTTGCAACTGAGGCTTTTTTTGATTCATTTAAATTATTATTAATTAAATTATTTCTTCCAATTGAAGGAAAAGGTGCTTGTTGCTGTTGAGGTTCTTCATCACATACTTGGGCATATTTGTGAAATTTTGGTTCAACTAAAAAATTTTTTAGAAATATTTTTTAATTGAAATCAAAAAATTTTTTGAGTATGAATGTTGACCAAAGGACTTTTAAAATGCTTCTGAACCTTAAAATTCTAGAAAAGATGGTGGAGGAAAGACTTTAGCCAGAAATTTGAAAAAAATTTTTTAATAAAAAAAGATGGGAATTTTCAACTCTTGTGTATCACGCTTAGTTTCTTCCTAATTCTCTCCAAAAGGACTAAAATCCTTTTTGATTTATATAGTTGCTAAAGGCATCTAAAAGCAAACTGGGAAGAAAATAAAAATGTGGCACACAAATTACAATTCGTATAAAAGACCCAGATTGTTGAAAGCCCGAGAAACATTTTTAAAATATAATTAGGAAAAAACAAACCGAAAGGCAACAGAATCTGCATACATCGAATAAGTTTAGCACGAAAAAATATTTTATACAAATCCAGTATTCGATAACCTTTTGACCCCCAAATTCTAAGCAAAGTTTCTGTTGGATGGCCATCACTAGTTACAGCGAGTTTTTTGCATGCTTCGGTGTCAATATCCTGAATTCCGGGCATTAAAAAGGCTGAAAATTATTTTAAAAATTAAATAGAAGAAAATAAAAACTAAATAAAAATTAATGTCCCTCAGTGGGGTTCGAACTTGCCCCCCTTTGGTACGTAATCAAGGAATTTACCTACTACACCACGGAAGCCAGAAAAAGGGGTAGATAGATACACTCCGAGAGGCTTGAAAATTACTCTTAAAAAGTTTTAAATTTAATATCCCCCGGAAGGGTTCGAACCTTGACCCCCTCTTTATCTGAAAATCAGGGACTTAACCAACTACACCAAGAAGGCCCCTTGGCTAATTTTCATAATTTTCAGTCGGCCTGGATATTATTTACATAAATTAGACAAATTATTAATTTCGTCTAAACATTTTTATAAAATATTTTTAAACAAAAAAATTAAGAAAAAACAAACCTATCGTCTCCCAACAATCCCCAGGATCTAACAAAGTCGCTAACTCATTAACAATTCTAGCAGGCAATTGAAAAACATAAATAGGGGATTCTAGATTATCAGAAGTAGTCATTTAAAAGGGAATAAAAAAGAAAAAGATTTTCAAAAAAATTTGGACTAGAAAAACAAAAAAAATGTTTTGAATAATCAACAAAAACTTAAAAATTGGCATAATGTTATTTTTGTATTTTTCTCTAACTTTTTTTAATTTTACGTACTATTTCGCTTGTTTGATGAGAATTTTTGTTGTTTAATTTTGATGAATTTTGTTGAATTTTTGTTAAATTTTTTTTATTTATTTTTGTTTTTATTTTTAAAATAATTTTTTTTTTCAGTTTTAGATTTAAAGTTTGACTTGACAATTGAAGTAAATTTAAAATGGATTTTGAATATAAAAAAGAAGAGGAGACGATGGGGGTTTGTTTTTATTTTTTTGAAATAATTTTAGGGATTTTTAAAATGTCTGGGCCTGTGCTCTCTAGGCTACTCGATTTATTTACTGGGTCGTGATCTTGGGCACATATACAGGAACATCCTAAGCTTTGACCCCCCCCCCCTTTCTTCTGTTTTTAAATTATTGTTCTTTCTCTGCTCTCCAGGTTTTAGGGTTGGGGGCCCGATGTTCTGTAAGATCGAGTTTTGCATCGAATTTTGACCTGAAAAATACTCGAACGGCCCGGTTCGATAAAAAAGGAGGCCCGAAATAATGACTCGAAAAGGCCCCATTCGAAAACTTCAACCCTACCAGGCCTGATTTATTTACTTGAACTTCATCCTTGTTTTGAGTCCTTGAAAAACCATAGAACCTCGGAAAGACCCAGCAAATTAGAACAATGTGTGGGTCTGTGCTCGGTCACAGGTAAAGACTTACGCCTTCACCCAAAAAACCTCTTCTGTTTTCAAATTATTTTCTAACCAATTTTTTTATTAGACAACTCTAATTGCTGTTGAAACAAAAGAAGGAATTATTGTTGCAACAGATTCTCGTACAAGTCAAGGCTCTTACATTTCTTCCCGCGCTACAAACAAAATTTCTACAATTAGCGATCATATTGTTGGGTTAAGAGCTGGGATAGCTTCGCAATCTCAAGCAATTTTTGATATTGTAAAGTATTATGCTGAGGCACATTCGTTAGTTTTTTTTAATTATTATTTTTTTCTTAAGTAAGGCAACGACAGGTTTAGACCCAATATAAGACTCGTTTCAGGCCCGTAGCCAGGCAAAATTTTCAACGGGAAAAATTCACACTCCTGGCTATGGGACTGACTCGTTTTGTACTTGTTAGACTTCTTCCTCTTTTCCAGGGAGATAGAAAAATGAGAAAATAAGGAGGACACTAGACCGATTTTTACCGAGATTTGGTTTCAAGCACCTTTTACTGGGGCAGGCGCCTTTCAACACGTTTTATGGTTTCTTGACTTTTTTCTTTAACTTAAAAGTCTAGGATATACTTGACAATTTTTTGAGTAGATTGTTTCTTATCCCTCCAAATTGAAGGAGGTTGCTCAAAAAACTTTTTTAAAGTCCTGTCAAGTTTTCTCATTAGCTCTGTCTTTTCTAAAAATTTTTACCCTTACCAAGGGCATAGCCAGGAGGTCGATTTCAAGGTGGCGATCATTTCCCCCTTAAAATTTTTTCACTTCCCATATTTCAGGGAGCGCTATAGCCCCAGAACCCCCCTGGCTATGCTCTTGACCCTTACCAAAAAAAAATTTTTTTTAAATTTAGAATGCTTGATGAAGAACCTATACTTGTTTACAACGTTGCTCAATATACTCGCAAATTTGCATATAATTATCGGGATCAAATGACGTTTAGTATTATTGTTGCTGGTTATGATGAAGAAAAATTTGGTCAAATTTATGCTGTGACTATTGGAGGGTATTCTATTCGACAAAAAATTTACATTACTGGAAGTGGAAGTACTTTTCTTTATGGATATATGGACAAGAATTTTAAGGAAGGAATGTCAAATGAAGAGGCTGTTGAGGTTTTCTAAAAATAATTTTTTTTTATTTATTTGGGGCTTTTCTTATTGACTTATCCAGGCCCGTAGCCAGGGGGGTAGGCCCGTAGCCAGCGCGGGGGGGGGGGGGGGTAATTTTTATTTGGGGAAAATAAAAATTTTTGGCGCCTTCAAAAAAATTTGGCGCAAAAAAATTTTTCCCCCCTTGGCCCCTCCCGAAAAAAAATCCTGGCTACGGGCCTTCATTTTTGATCTATTAACCGTTTTACCCGTTTCTCCCCTCAAATAAGGAGGCGCTAATTTTTTTCAACCTCCCCCTGCTTTTGCTCGATTCCCCGTTAATCTGTTGTTACCTTCCCGTTTTCCCTAAAACAAACTCTCTACCACAGAGAGTTTATTTGGAAGGCCATATCTTGGCCAAATCAAAAAACGGGCAAAAACGGCTCAAAATCCTTGCTAGAAAGGGCACATTCTCTATCGAATGAGCCCGGTCTCGACCGTTTTTTTTTAACTCGGACACCTCGCAAACTCTCCTTGTAAGTCTACTCCAAAATCAAAATTTCTAAAACATTTTTATAAATTAACCAAAATTTAAACAAATATAGTATATGGCAAGAGCGTAGCCAGGGGGCTTCTGAGGCTATAGCTTCCCAGAAATTGGGAAAGTGAAAAATTTTTAGGAGGGAAATGATCAGAAAAGCTTTTAATTTTTTTAATTAAAAAAATTTTTTTAAGTTGGTTAAAAATGCTGTTTGTCTTGCAAAACGTCGTGATGCTATGTCTGGGGGATGTATTAATTTGGCTATTATTGATAAAAATGGAACTGTTCATAAGGTTTTTTTAAATTAAAAAAAATATTTTTAGAAAATTAAAAAAAAATTTTTTTTTAAAGACAATTCGTCCTGACATGCCAGACCATCCAAAAATTTGAGAAAATTTCCAAAAATAAAATGTTGAGGGAAAGGAAATGAAAAGAAAATATTTGAGGTTATTTTTGTTTTGTCGAATTTATTTTAATTATTTAAAATGGTTGGATAAATTAAAAAAAATTTTTTCCTTCCTTTTTTATTCTTCATTGACACTAAATAGGTAGGCTTGGCCAAGAGGTCGGGCTTAAATTGAAAAAAAATTTTTTGGGAATTTTTTTTGAAAATTTTTTTTACGAGAAATTTTTTGAAATTTTTTTTGCAAAATTTATTGAAATTTTTTTGAAAAATTTTTTGGATTTTTTTTTAATTTTTTTTTGAAAATTTTTTTTTGAAAAAATTTTTGAAAAATTTTTTGAAATTTTTTTTATTTTTTTTTGAAATTTTTTTTTTCGAAAAATTTTTCTGAAAAAAATTTTCAAAAAAAATTTTCAAAATAAAAAATAAAAAAAAACAAACTTGGGACAGTAATATTCAACGGTTCTCTAAAATCAAATAGTGTTGGAGCAGAAATAATAATTGAAAAAGTAGCCATATTTAAAATTGAAAAAACTAGAAGAAAGAAACGGTCTAAAACCATTGCTACAAATGTCCAGTCGTTCGAAATCTGTTTTAAAATTTAAAAAATAAAAAATTTGAAAAAAAGACGCAAACATTAGCGTCCTCCTCGCGCTGACGAAAATAATTAGCAATAAAATGGACCTTTAATTAGAAATGTGTTTTTAAAATATTTTGTGTTTTTCTCCGGAATTGTGTATTTTTAGTTATTTTATTTTTGTGTTTTCTTTTTTCCGTAAGTTGTTTTTGTATTTTCTTGTATTTTTGGAATTGTTCTTGTATTTTCCGTAAATAAATAAAATATTGTATTTTTCCGGAAATGTAATTTAATTGTTCTTGTATTTTCCGGAAAGGTTAATTAAGTAATGTATTTTTTCAGGAAATGTTTAATTAAAGTTTTGTGTTTTTCCTGAAATTCGTGCAATATTATTTTTTTGTGTTTTCCGGAAAATTTAATTAAAATATTTTATTCCCTTTCCAGAAATCTTTTTTATATACAATTATTCTTTTATTTTCCGGAAAATACTTAAATACATGCAACTGGAAAAAGAAACACAAAAATTCCCTACTTGTCTAGCCAGATTATACAAAACTCGCTGTTCATTCCATGTATATTCAATCTTTCTCAATTTTTGATTTTTATTGCTACAAAATGGTTGCTGTATTTCTCTACTAGTAGATGGTTCTGCATAAATATTTTCTTCCAAAAAATTTTTTTCTTTTGAATTATTATTTTTATCAGAATTTTTGAGAGTATTTGTTGTAATAGAAGAATATGGAGGCGGTTTTTCATATTTTTCTTTTTTATTTTTGTTAAAAATTGAAGTTTGTGGGAGTTTTGAGCGATTATTAAATAAATTTGAAGGGGAGGAAATGGTTGCCTTTTTATTAGAATATTCAAAATTAAAGGAAGAGGAAGACGATGAAGGTTCAAGTCGATGCCTTGTCTCCCCCATAAAATTGTTTAATGAATTTGTATTTGTTTCGAGTTGTTGGCGATCGGGGCGTTTCATTAACAAAATTCTGAGAATATTAAAAATACATAAATGAAAATACAACTTTTCCGGAAAAATACGCTTCTTTCCGGAGGAAATACATATTTTCCGGAAAATACAATTTTTCCGGTAAATACAATTTTTTCCGGAAAATACAATTTTTCCGGAAAATACAATTTTTCCGGAAAATACAATTTTTCCGGAAAATACAATTTTTTCCGGAAAATACAATTTTTCCGGAAAATACAATTTTTTCCGGAAAATACAATTTTTCCGGAAAAATACACTTCTTTCCGGAGGAAATGTATTTTCCGGAAATTAAAAAGAAACAAAAATTCCTGAAGAAATAAACCTTTACGGAAATTATTGCAAAAATACAGTTTTCCGGAAATTAAAAATAATTTAATAAAAATTCCGGAAAATTTACGACATCTTTCCGGAATATTGTAAATTACTTTGGTAAAACACCCAAAAATACAATTCGAATCCACGGGGACATTTGATGAGTAGAACCATTCCGGAAACGAATATTTACTGAAGCCTATAATAATTAAATTTAATTTTTAGTAAAATGAAGGGAATTTTATAAATAATATTACCACAGAAAAAAGTGTTGAGAGGGCAACCAAAATCTAAAAAGGAATTTACTATAAATGATTGTATAAAATACAAAATTTTCTGGAAAATACAAACATTTCCGGAATTTATTTTAATAATAGGAATGTTTCCGAAAAAATACAAGTGAGATGAACATGTGTTTCCGGAAAATACAAGTGTTTTCGGAATTTATTTTAATTAGATGTTTCCGGAAAATACGAGAATAGAAAAGAAAAATACAAATAGAAATACAAACGTTTCCGGAATTAATTTTAATAAAATATAAAGGCTTCCGGAAAAATACAAGAATAGAGAGAGAAAAATACAAAACAAAATCAAAAGTTTCCGGAATTGTAAAATAAGTTTATTAGTTTTTACAAATTGTAAAATCGTAAATAAACTTGAAAACTTAAGTCTGTAATAAACGGGCCTTTATAAAACGAAAAACAATTATTATTCCGGAACTTAATTCCGGAAAATATAATTAAAATAAAAATATTCACCATAGTTGTAATTAAATATTGTCCAAACATGGGTACTTCCAAACTTGTTGGAGGCATCAAATCAATCAAAACCAAAAAGAAAACTGTAAGTGTAACAAGTATAGAAATTGAAAATGTTATTTTATGATCCGGAAGGTAAAATACAAATGTTGTCAAAAAAGAAATTAAAAAACAAGGAACAATTAAATTACAAGTGAAGAAAAGACTGAAGAATTAATGAAAAATTTTAATTTTAATTTTTTTTTAATTTTACGTTTTCCGCCTCAATTCCAAATAATAAGTTATGTCAACATAACTAAGAAAAATTTTATTTTTTTAATTAAAATCTTAATTTTACGTCTCTGGACCACAACAACTTGTGTAAAGCACTGCATGTCTTGCAGACGTTAAATTCATTAAATCCCATTCTGCTGATCTGTAAAAATTTAAAAATGTAAATTAATTTGGGAAATATAATGTAAATTGAAGTATAATTTTTGTAATCTTAAAGTTGCAACTGTAGGAAAAATTAATTTGGGATTAAAACGGAAACTTAAAAAAATAAACTTGAATAAACTTGAAAAATAAACTTGAGTTTGTAATAATTAAGAATTAAGTTTAAACTTGAAATTGTAAAACCTAAATAAACTTGAACTTTAAAAAATCATAAATAAACTTGAATTTCTACTTAAACCTGAATTCGTAAAACTTAAGTTTGAATTTTCAAGTTAGTAATAATTAATAATTAAGTTCAAACTTGAAATGGTAAAACGTAAATAAACTTGAACTTAAGATTGTAAAATTAAAAATAAACTTGAATTTGTAAACTTGAACTTTTCAAGTTTTAATTTTAAACAATAAACTTAAGTTTTACAACAAACTTAAACTTAGAATTGTAAAATTAAAAATAAACTTAGACTTATTAAGTTTAAACTTGAAATTATAAACTTGAACAAGTTTTAATAATTTTAAAGTTGTAATTATTAACTTTTTAATTTTTAATTAACTTGTAATTTTTAAAAATAAAACAAATACTTATAAAAAAAGCTCAGATCCATCCCCATTTCATTATATTCAATATCATCATCTTCCCTATTTTTATTTAAATTAACTTTATTATTAATATTTTCAGAATTTTCTTGTTGTATTAAATGTAAATCAACATAATTTCCAGTATATGACCAGGCACCAAATTTCATTCTACAATCTTGTTTGTCATAAGGAAACCATTTTACTTTTATCTTTAAAAAATTTTAAAAATATTTTTTTTTAAATTTAACTGGACAAAAAGATTTGTAAATTGCTGGGGGCTGCCAATAAACACGTCCATTATACGAAATTAGGGCATCAGTGAAAATTCTGATAATTTTTTAAAAATTATTTAAACTCATAATTTGAGTTTATACGTTATGTCCGGATCGCCTGCCGCATTGTCATACAACACAAAATCGGGTATCCATATATCTGTGCTGGGAATGTGTAACTGACGAATACCTTTAGGTTGAAATTAATTAAAATTTTAATTAAATTTTTTTTATTTAATTTTTAAATTTGTAAAAATTATTATAAATGTTAACTTAAAGATTACAATTGTAAATAAAAAAATAAGCTTGAATTCTTAAAAATTTAATTAAAATTATATTAAAAATTTAATTAAACTTGAAGGTGTAAAATTGTTAAATAAACTTGAAAGTTCAAGTTTGCAATAATTAAAAAGCAAGTTTAAACTTGAAATTGTAAAATTCAAACTTAAATTTAACAAACTTGAATTTATAAAATAACAATTTTCGATTACAATTGTAAAATCAAAAATAAACGTGAATTTTACAAACTTAATTAAACTTGGAATTTGTAATCTTAAATAAACTTGAAATTCCAAGTTTTAATAAATTATTTGTAATGATTTTGAAGTTGTAATTGTAAAAGAAATTTTTTAGATTACAATTTCTAAATAATAAACTTGGAATCTTAAGTGTCTAATAAAAATTTAAAATTTATTCTTTTTCAAATCAAATCAAATTTATTTTTAAAAAATATTTTATAAATACATACCCCCATATTTATTAGGATCCCATTGGAGACGCGCATCACTCCATCTCTGCAAAAATAAAAAAATATTAATTTTTTAATTATAATTCCCCTAACCATTTCTAACCATAAATTAGTTGTCAATACTTGATTCTTTTCATCCTAAAAATATTTTAATTTTTTAAATAAATTAATTATCTAGACAAAACTAACAACATCGATGATTCTAAAATATATTTTTTATTAAAAATTTATTTTTTAATTTTTGCCTTATTAGAGAAGCTCCAACATCAATATGAAGCACATCTGTGCCTTAAAATATTTTCGAATTTATCTTAAAAATATTTAAAAAATAATTAACTATTTTTAACAGGTCTGGAAATTCTGTTGTAATCAAAAAGTAAATCCTTTGGAAAGTTTAAAAATTAATTTTATTTAATTTTTAAATAGGGCAAACTTCGTATAATTGTGCCTCATAATTTTTTCTACTTATTTTAGTGCTGGTAAATTGTGGAATAAATATAAGAGGAATTAAAGTTGTTAAAATGAGCATTTTGTAATATTTATTTTTACAATATAAAATTATTTTTGCAACTTGGCGCAATAAAACTTGAAAAATAAAATTGAAGTTTACAAACTTAAAGCTTGAAATAAATATAATTTATCTTAAGTTTTACTACTATTTTTAAGTTTATATTTTCAAGTTTTATTTTTTAAGTTTGTAATTATTTCTGCAACTTGGCGAAATAAAACTTGAAGTTTACAAACTTAAAACTTGAAATTAATTTATCTCAAGTTTTGCACTATTTTTAAGTTTACATTTTCAAGTTTTATTTTTTAAGTTTTACAATTATATTCAAGTTTATTTTATTTTCAAGTTTATTTTTCAAGTTGCAATTTATCACAAACTTAAAATTACAATTATTTTAAGCTTTACAATCTTAAGCGAAAAAATAAATTTTAAATAAAAAATAAACTTGAATTTTAAATTTATTAAAGTTTTCTTCAATGCTTACATAAACTATTGGACAAATATGGCTAAAATAAAAAAAAACTAGTCAATAAGAATTAGTTATATAGACTTTTATTGAAAAAGAAGAAGCTTTTCTTTTAAAATAATCCCTCAAACAATAAGACTTTGCAATGGCACAGGAATTTCTTTTATTTAAAATAAATTGGAAAATAAAATAAGGGAAATGACAAATAAATATTTTAAATTTATTTTTAATTTTTATTAAAAATAAAATAAATTTTTAAAATAAATTTTTAAAATTGAAAAAAATAATTTTTTTTTTTTAAAATAATATTGACGGTCTTTTCATTTGTTGTTGACCTTTCCAAACACTATAGCCAATTATTGTTCCAAGAGAACCAATACCCAAAAGAACTCCGGAACTATAAAATATAATATTTTAAATATTAAAAAAATTATTTTACAAAATAGTCATTCGATTGTGGAAGCTTTCTCGTAAAGACCTCTTCCTTGTTCTCTCACAAATGAAAACTAAAATTATAAAAATAAGTTTTAAGCTTGAGCTTAAATAAATTAAAACTTGAAAAAATGTTGAGAAAAATCAGAATTAAATAAACTTGAGACTACAAACTTAAAATAAACTTGAAGTAAGTACAAATCAGAATTAATGAAAATTACAAATTGTAAAAATCAGAATTAATGAAAATTACAAATTGTAAAAATCAGAATTAATGAAAATTACAAATTGTAAAAATCAGAATTAATGAAAATTACAAATTGTAAAAATCAGAATTAATGAAAATTACAAATTGTAAAAATCAGAATTAATGAAAATTACAAATTGTAAAAATCAGAATTAATGAAAATTACAAATTGTAAAAATCAGAATTAATGAAAATTACAAATTGTAAAAATCAGAATTAATGAAAATTACAAATTGTAAAAATCAGAATTAATCAAAATTACAAATTGTAAAAATAAGAACAATTTCTGGTTATCTTACCATTATTCCCTAGTCCAAAAGTTGCAGTTGCAACAGGCTGCAATTCTAACTGTCCAGCCAACGGAAGCAACTGCACAATAACATTTTTACGACGACGCTTATGTAAAGTTATATTAATTGCTTTAAATTAAAATATTTTTATTTTAAAAATATTCTACCGTCTCTACAAACAAATTTCTGATTTAAAGGGACATTAATTGAAGAAGTATTCTTTCCACTAGTAAATAAGGTACTATTGTTTCTAGAAGACCCATTCCAACGAATTTTATATTCTACCATACTCAATTCCCATCTTAATTCGTGGAGGGAATAAAGTGTTCTGGAGGCGGCAGATGATGAAGCAGTGTTGGAGCGTGAAAAGAGTGGAAGTGCTTTTTCGCGAAAAATAAACTTGAGGGTTTTACGTTGTATCCCTTTGCGCCAACTTGCTTGAAACTTAAATTGTAAAAATCAGAATTATTGAAAATTACAAATTGTAAAGTCAGAATTATTTGAAATTACAAATTGTAAAAATCAGAATTATTAAAAATTACAAATTGTAAAAACCAGAATTATTAAAAATTACAAATTGTAAAAATCAGAATTATTAAAAATTACAAATTGTAAAAATCAGAATTAATAAAAATTACAAATTGTAAAAACCAGAATTTAAATTTACTTGTGAATCCTTTTCAACTGCATTGCGTTCAGAACATATACCGAAAAGTTTAACACTCTCATTAACAAAATCCACAAACTTAAGTTTGCAAAATTAATAAAAATAAACTTTAATTACAAACTTGCCTCTTCCTCAATTTTATTTTCTTGAAATAAATTCATATCAAGTATACGAACTTGGAATCGAAAAACCATGCAGTGTTTGTGACCTGGTTCGTCAAATCCAAACAAATGTTTTGCTTCATTTTGGAATGGTTGAAACTTTACAATTGAAGCAATTAAGAGATTTAAATATTGGCAAAATAAAATTAAAATTGGAAACATGTGTTTTTAAATTAAATCTTTAACATTTTTTTGTTTTTATTTCTTTATTAGCACATCCTCTCGAGTAAAATTTAAAAATAAATGTTCCTTCTTTTCAAAAATATTAATAATAATAATATTTTTAGGACTTATTGGAATTCGGCTTAAACAAAAAATAATAAAAAATGAAAATGTATGTGCAATAATAAATGGCTACCAAGTAGGCACTTCTCAAACACTAATTCCTCCTCCCTTAGGCGCCAAAACTTTCGATTTTTAAATAAAATATTTATAAAAAATTTATTAATTTTTCAAATAAAAATTAATAATTTAATTGATGTTAAAATAAAAAGAAAGGCAAACTTGAACTTAAAAAACTTAAAAACATAAAAAAATAATAAACTTTATTTTAAATGTAAAATTAAACAAAAATAAGTATTAATTACAAACTTGCTTTTTCTTCTACACTTAAGACTAAAAATAGGCTCGAATTATTACAACTTACTTATTATAATTCTAATTGTACTTTAAAAATAAACTTGAATTACAAACTTGACTGTTTGTTTTAAATTCAACTTTGTTTTTAGCCTTTAATAATAAACTTGGATTAAAAAATTTGAAAAATAAACTTGAACTTAATAAACTTTTTTATTTGACTTTATTTTAAAATAATAAACTTTATTAAAAATAATTAGAAAACTTAAGTTTGTAAGATTAATAAACATTTTGTTGCAACCTGCTTTTCAAGTTGCAACTTGCTAAATTATAACTTGAATTACAATTTATTCCATGTTTTACAAACTTAAGCGTAGAAATAAACTTGAAATAAAAAATTCAAGTTTATTTTCAACCATTAATTCTAAAAGCTATAAATAAACTTGAATTTAATAAACTTAAGTTTGTAAAATTAAATAAAAATAAACTTGAATTACAAACTTGCTTCTTATACTCTTAAAACTTGAATTTAATCAACCTTTTTCAATTTTATTAATTACAATTTATATTATTACAATTTATTCATCCATTTTACAATTTTAATCTCTGATAGTTTAAATCGTCTGACTTGACGCTAAAAACAAAAATCTATTTTTATGTCAAGGCCACACACCAAAAACAAATTTTATATTTTTTTACAACTAAAAGAAACATTTTAATTTTACTTTGCTCTAATTCGATAGGAAAAAACAGCCGGGTAATTTGACGACTGCGTAAAAAAGGGGGGTATTTTGGTGATTGATTGTGTGAGTAATCCGACTCTAAAAAATTTTTAAAAAAAAGGCATTTGAAAAATAGTAAAATTCAGTCAAAATTAAATATATGAATGCGTTCAGTAAAAACAACAATTTATCCTCTCAATTCTTCCACTTCAATTGAAAAACAAAAAAATTTTCGACAAGAAGGAAGAGATGAGGTGTTTGCCGTCCGTTTGGCACAAACTGCAACAGCCTTATTAGTTATTGTTTGCTTTTTAGGACTTCCTATATTTTGGATTCAAGTTATGTACCGGTTTAGTACAATACATTTAATCCATTTACAAAACCAACAATTGAAACAACAAAATTATTTAAATGGGGATTCGTGTAGAATGAAGATTACACTAAAAGAGAATAATAGAAGTGAGGGTAACAACATTTTTCAACCCATATTTGAAGAAGAAAATGAAGGGAGATATGAATGCGATCCGTGGGCGCATGCTATACAATTATAAAAGTGCAATTTGCAAATAAATACAAAATATAATTAAATTGTAAAATTGTGAATAAATGTATATAAACTTTAAATAAAATTACAAACTTAAAAAATTACAAACTTAGAACTTAAGAGAAAAACTTAAAATTAAAGGAATATAAATTAAACTTGGAACCTAAAATAAAATTTAAATACAAAAGTAACTAGATAATTGTAAATTACAATTGTAAACTTGAATTAAGGGTGGATTAAACTTAAGTTTAAACTTGAAAAAGTTTAAACTTGAAAAAAAATTAAGGTGGATTAAATAAACTTGTTTTAAGGTTAAACTTGAAAAAACTTAATAAATAAACTTAGAATTGAAACTAGGCTTATAGTAAATAAATTTGTAAGAATTACAACTTAGGTAATTTTATATGACTAAAATTGAAAAATAGAAAAGTTAGAAAGTTGGTGTCATAAAAACTATTTAATAATTTTTTTATTTAAATAAACAATTATAAACAAGGAATTGTAAAATAAAAAACGATAAAAAATTTTAAAATAAAAAATATTTTCTGATCTCATGGAAGGTAATAATGATTACCATAAGAAAATTTAGGGAGTGGAGCTTCGCCTTTAAATAATTTAATTTAATAATTTATTCCTAAAAAATTTAAACATACAATTTAATTCACTTGGTCCAAGCTCGGCCTCCCCATTTAAAGCAGAGACATAATCACCGTTTCCAGAATAGGCAAATTTATAATCAGCAATTGCAGCTACACAACTCATATTTCTTTTTAAATTTAAAAATAAATAAAAATACAAATTGTAAAACTTTAAATATACAAGTCATTTAAGTTTGTGAGCTTAAACTTGTAAAACTTGAAAATAATTTAATCTTAAGTTGGTAAACTTAAAATAAAGTTTATGAACTTTAAGTCTGCAAACTTAAAGTATGCAAGCGTAAAAATTAATAAACTTTAATTTTTGTAAACTTAAAACTTGTAAAACATGAAAATAATTAAAATTTAAGTTTGCAAACTTGAATTATGTAAACTTAAAATAAGGTTTATAAACTTTAAGTTTGCAAACTCAAAACTTGTAAAACTTGAAAATAACTAAGTTTGCAAACTTGAATTAGTATCTAAAACTTAAAAATAGCAAAAACTTGAATTTGTAATTTTTGTAAAATACAAATTGTAAATAAAACTTAATTAAAATCGCAAGCTTAGAAATAATAAAACTTAAACTTTACAAATTGTAAAACTTGAAAATATCAATTTGTAAAAATTTAAACAAAAAATCTCTCCCTTTACCTTGCCATTCTAGAATAACAAACATGAGGTGTCAAACAACGGGAAACTCGTAAAGACCAATGTTCTTCATTAATTGCAATCATGCAATTATCAAAATCAGCAAAACTTTCAACTGACGAACGTGTTAATTTTGTTTCTGTAGCAATTTTGGTAAAATTAAAATTTAATCTTAATTGCCATTGTTGTTCAAGTTTGTATTGTAATAAATCTAATTTAATTGGCCATTCATTTAAAGCAATATTTTTGAAAGAGTGGCGTAAATGGTAAAAATGGGCACGGCGACAGGGCACCCGAACCTTTGAAAGGGGGGAATTTTTAAATTTTTCTAACTTTGATTTTCTACCTGAGAATAACCAAAACGATGAATTCCCGTCTCATGCATATTTACACTATCAACGCGACCTTAAAATTAATAAGTGAACTTTAAGTTTAAACTTAATAAATAATATAAAAATAAGTTAAAATAAGTTTATATAAAATAAGTTTATTTTTCAAAACAAGTTTTACGATTCTTTTACAATTTCAAGTTTATTTATTTCCTTTAATTCAAGTTTTAAGTTTACAATTATAAATTACAATTAATTATTTTTCAAGTTTATTTTCCTAAAAAATTAGAAAAAATAAATAAACCTGGAATTTTAAGATTGTAATTGTAAACTTGAATTTCAAAAATTCAAGTTAAATTAAAATTTTTAAATTTTTTTAAATTTTTTAAATTCAAGTTTTAAATTTTTAAATTCAAGTTTTAAGTTTAGTTCCAAGTTTATTTTTCATAAAAATAGTTTTATGATTTTTACAAGTTTATTTATTTCCCTTTTAATTCAAGTTTAAAGTTTACAATTTTAATTTATTATTTATTAATTTTTATTTTTTACTTGCATTAACGACAACTCTCGTTTTCATTCTCCAAATTTTACATTTAGTTTTCCAACGAGTTTGATGGAGAAATGAGAAATTAAAATCTGCTAATGATTGGTATAGCTCCCCTGGAGCTGTTTCTGGTGGAACAAACTTGAAAAAGAAATTTTTTTAATTTTTTAAAGATTTTTTGAATTTACCTGAACATCCCTATGTTCAAAAAGAAGAGAACCGGCATTTGGATGTTCACGAAATAAGTTCTGAAAATTAAAAAAATAATTTTTAAATTATTTTTTACCCTCAATATTTCTATATTCACTCCGGAATGAATTCTCATAGGATCCAATGGCATTAACCTTTAATAATTAATTTTTTTTAATTTTTAATAAATTAAAGTACAATTCCAAGTTTATTTTTTAATTCCAAGTTTTAAGTTTGCAATTATATGTTTAATTTTTATTAAGTTTTACAACTTTTTTTACAATTTAAAATTAAAGTTTGTAGTCTTAAGTTTTGAGAGAATTAAATAAACCTCCAAGTTTAACGTTTGCAATTCCAAGTTTAATTTTTATTAAGTTTTACAATCTTAAGTTTATTTATGTTTGTTCACGTTTTAAGTTCAAGCTTTAATTAATTCAAGTTTTACAATTATAATTTACAATTTGTAATTCTTATTATTTTTCATTAAGTTTTACAATTCCAAGTTTATTTAATTCTCTCACAAACTTAGGTTTACAAACTTTAATTTTCTTTTAAAATAATATTAAAAGTAAGAATATTTACATATCATCAATATCCGTAAAAACAACCATCTCAGCAAACGGTTTAACAAAATGTAAACAATTAACATGGGATTCTTCAATGCCTCTAGACAATACTAAACCATTCGGATTTACATCGGAAAGTAAAGGCCCTTTAATTTCTTTATTTTTTTGAATTAAAAATTTTTTAAAATTACATTTAGGCCATTTTCTTAAGTGAACAATACCTTCAAAAATTAATTGTTTAATTTAAAAATCTTCCCCAAAAATTTACCAATGCGTTCATACTCTTTTAAAATTAAAACTGTATCAGCAGAGGCTGATTGTATTGGAAATATCTTCAAAAATAAATTTAAATAATTTTTAAAAAATTATTTTCGTACTATTTTTTGTGCTCCCAAAGCTATCCATGATTCTATACCCATCAGCATTATTTGCCAGTCTGTATACTTTAAAGGAATTTTTGGTTAAAATTATTTTTTATTTTATAGTTTGGTGAATCTAGAATTTAACCCCATTCTCGTTATAACCCCACCTTCGAGGAAAAGTTATTTTTGATTTTTGGATGTAAGGAAGATCCAGCTTGCTCTATAGGGTTTTAATGATAGTCAAGTTTCAATGCAAACTAGACAGGTGTTTAATATTTATTAAGTGTGAAGACCCGTAGCGCCCCAAAGCTCAGTCTGTAGAACACCTATACGTGGTGAGCGAAAGCCTCAAGCAATATAGGAGTTGCAGAATTGTCCTTGCCCGAGACTAAGCTTTACCCCTTCCCCATCACTCGCCCTACTAAAAATTTTTTTTATTAAAATTTTGGGTCTATAACCGATGGGGTTATAGGAAGTCAATTTTAAAAATTAAACTCCTTCAAAAAATTAACAAAATCCCTTTAAATTATCTCTTTAATTATCACCGTATACATAGGCGCAATACAAACAACTAGCGGATATTTCCTTCCCCCATTAAAATAAAGGGGTTCTTCTAACTGAACGGAAATTGAGCGTTCTTTTAAATTTGCCAAGTCAGTGGTGGATAATAAATTTCCGTTTGTTGTTAGTCTAAAAAATTTTTTTCTGATTTTTAAAAATATTTATCATATCTCGCCTTATTGAATTTACATCTGCTGATCCAATTTTACACTCCGCTAAATGACCACTCCACGAACACAAGTCGTTAGCTGCACGTTTCCCCTTGTGAATGCGTTCTATATGTGCTCTGGTTATCAACTTTTCCCCGTTGTTATTTTCACTAATACAAAATAGGGTGTGTGTTTGACGTCCATCCCCGAGGAATTGGATTACCTGTAAAAGGGTAGAAATTTCAGAATAATAAACTTAAGATCAGAATTTTAATTAAACTTGAATCAGAATATATGAGAATAAACTTGAATATAGAAAAATTAAACTTGGAACAAGAAAATTAAATAAACTTAAAAAATCAGAATTTCTAAGACTAAAGAGAAAAATAAACTTGAAATTAGAAAATAATTAAACTTAGTATCAGAATTTGTAGCGACAAATAAATAAAAAATAAACTTGAAAGGAGAATTATAAGTAAATAAACTTAAAATCAGAATTTGTAAAATTAAAATCAGAATTTGTAAAATTAAAATCAGAACTTGTAAAATTAAAATCAGAACTTGTAAAATTAAAATCAGAATTTGTAAAATTAAAATCAGAATTTGTAAAATTAAAATCAGAATTTGTAAAATTAAAATCAGAATTTGTAAAATTAAAATCAGAATTTGTAAAATTAAAATCAGAATTTGTAAAATTAAAATCAGAATTTGTAAAATTAAAATCAGAATTTGTAAAATTAAAACTAAATAAACTTGAAGCAGAACTTTAATTAAACTTGTATCAGAATATTTAAAAATAAACCTAGGTAAATGGAAAAATAAACTTGAAATCAGAATTTTAATTAAAATCAGAATTTTATTACATTACAATCAGAATAAACTATACCACATAATCCCCTTCCACATTCTGTTCTTCTTTAAGTCTGTGGAATGCCCCTAGAACAATAGGCCTTCTTCCAATATTTTTAGACATAAATGTGTCACCAAGATTTTTTAATGCCCACAGATTTGTAGTACGATGATAAAGAGCAAATCCAAAAATAATTCCAGAAATGACCGAAAAAAATATTTTTTAAATTAAAAATCAGAAAAATAATCTCATTACAATAGTTAAACGAAAAATCAAAGCAATTCCCCATAAAGCCGTTTTCCTCAAAACCAGAACATTTGAAAAGCGAAAAATTCCGGAAGGTGAAGTGGTAGAGGTAGAAGGATGGTCGTTAAAAAGAGGTTGGTAATAGATGGGGGAGGAAAATAGTGAAAATAAGCTGCTGGGACAACAACGAGGGTTTGGTTGAATTAACATTTATTTTTTGTTGTATCAGAATTAAATCAGAAATAATAAATAAACTTAATAGTGTAAGAAGAATAAGCTTGGTAAAAAATAAGCTTAAGACTGAACTTAAAATAAACCTAACCTGATAAATAAACCTAGAATAAACTTGAGGATAAACTTGAGAATGAACTTAAGAATACAACCTAGACTTAAAAATGAACTTAAAAATAAACTTAATAATAAACTTAAAAATAAACTTGGATTAAAAATAAACTTAAAAACAAAAACTTAAAAATAAACGTAACCTAATAAATAAGCTTAGAATAAACGTGAGAATAAACTTAAGCATGAACTTAAGAATACATACCTAAAAATAAACTTAAAAACAAACTTGGTTAAAAATAAACTTGGATTAAATAAACTTATCCAAGTTGCAAGCAAGAAAGAATGAAACTTAAACTTAACTAGAAATAAATTGAAAACTTAACATTAAAATATAAAGGTTGTTTAATTAAATATTTAATTAAAACAACGCATTAAAATTCCCGATTTAGATAAGAATCATTATTAAAATCAATAGAGTAAAGTAAATTTATGTTCGCGCTATATCCATTCAAATCCCCCTTTTTTAACCTGAAAATGAATGGGAGTATGGTTATTGGTCATTTCACAAGACAATAATTTTCACTTTTTTTTGTTAAAATATCTAGACTAATCAAGATATTTTTTAAATGTGCAAGATAAATATGGGATTTAAATTATTTATTTTTAGAAAAATAGATTAACGATGATTAAAATTATAGGCAAAATTAAAGTTCGTATACCCCCTTTTTCCTACTCAAAGTATTAAAAATGAGCATACCATGCTTCCTTCATTAACACTACTTTAGTTATCTATGTAACATATAGTTAATCAGACAATATAGAATAAGTTTTAAATTTGACGTAAAAATGTAAAAATAAATAAAGATTGTGATACTCGGCTTTCTATAAATGGATGGTAGTGCGAAACTTGCGGACCATAGGTTTAGGTTTTTGTTTTTCTATCATAACTTTGTCAAATCAAGTCAGATTTCGTTGATTTTGATGTCATTCGACTCAACTCGTCGAGCTCTTTCGAATGAGCTATGTTTTGAGAATTTCTTCGGGTCCGCAAGTTTTGGTCCGCAAAAGTCGGTCCGCAAGTTTCGGCCTGCCAAATGGATACACGACTTTCGCTAAAATTATGCTGGACTTATTCACGCAAAACAAATTTGTTATAACAGATTAGACATATAAAAAAACTCAAGGGTTAAGGTAGAGTGAAAGGGTGTCAACAAAAAAGTGTCGTGCAGTACAGGATTATTTATCCAGTACTTTCTTCGAGGAAAAAAAAGATAATTTTGTGGGATTATTGCTTAAATCTGACAATTTTTAATACTTTGAGAAGAAAAGGAAGGGGATATAGTATAAGTGTGTTGAGTGCGTACAATAAATATGGAGGGCAAATTTAGATGTTGAAATACCACCTAATTTTTTTTTCTGGCCTTCAAGGTCTACAATTTTTTGTGCGTCTCAGATTTAACCCTTTTTTAATTTACGGACAATTTTTTTGCGAAATGAGATAAAGTGTATCTTATAGTAAATTTTACAGGCCTTCAGATGAGCCTAAGGAAAAATTTAAGTTGGGAAATATTATTTGAAATACTTCACCCCGATTTCGAGTGGATTTTTGATCGTGATAAAAATCTATTTAAAGACTTGGTTTTTTACTTTTGTCACTTAATTAATATAAAAGTTGACAGAAATTTTTTAAAAAATTTCCAACTATTTCTAATATTAAAATCAAAATTTTTTTCAAGGGGCATTATAAATTTTTAGCACCCATTTTTGAGAAAAGGCTCGATAAAAATCGATCGAGTTAAAAATTTTTTTTAAAGATTTTTCGGGTATAATGTTAAATAATGTTGTTAAACATCCCATAGAAATTTCAGTTAAATTAAACAGCTGGAACCTAGAAAGCCAGAAAAATTAGGAGGCGCTATAATTTCTTAAAACACTGTACGAACTTCAATTTTACAAAATTATATAAAAAATGAGAATTAATTAAAAATAAAAATTAAGGCAGTTTACAAATTAATTTTTTAACCTCGTTTAATTCTTCTTAAAAAATATTTATTTACAAATTCAAGCTGCTTCATTAATTAGATTTTGAAATACTTGAAGATGCTTCTGAGGAATCGCATTCCATACAAATTCATATAATTGTTCGGCAAAAACATTTTGACCTAAAATATTATTATTAAACATGCCATTAGTCTGCAAAAGAATCCAGGGTTTATAGCGGCGAACGGGATACTGGGACTCTGGGATTGACAGAATCCTGATGGATCCCTCCCATTCAAACTTTTCAATCTCAATCCCGTTACGGGATCCCTGGAATGTGATTCTGCTTATCTTTAGATTATACTACAATTAAAACCTAACAAATTTCAATTCGAAAAATAACCTTGCAACCAATTTCGCAAACAGATCAAATCACCGATTAATTCAAATTCCTCGTCGATGTTTAAATTATTTATTAATTGCAAAAAATGGTTATAAATTGTTGTTATGGCTGTTACTTTTTCCAATAAACAAAGCTTTAACTAAAAAACAAAAAATTTAAGTTATATTGAAGAATTAAATAAAACGTCTGCTTTTAGATGAGGTTCTGGATCGGCAGGCCAATTATACTGAGGTATTTGTAGTATCTATAATTTTTAATATAATTTAAATAATTATATTAAGTCTCTCTCCGCCAGCAAAGCAAATACAACTCAGGACAAAATTCAAAAGCATTGTTAATATTAGAGCTAGGAATTTTGAAAAAACCGGGACCGGGAAACCAAGAAAACCCGTTCCCGGTTTCATCCCGGTTGCTTGAAAAAAACCGGGAAAAAGGACCCGGAAACCGGGTCCCGGACCCGAATATTTTCTAATTTTCTCACTCAAATAAATTTTCACACCCATTTCTAACTCTCCCAAGCCCGCTTGTCTATAAGTACAAACATACAAACAAAATTCTCGATCATATATTTAGATTTTTATTAAAAAATTGTTAAGATACTAACATTTGACGTGGCAACATAACCATGCAAAGGGCCAGTAATAGCTAAAATTTAGATTTTTGTTTAAAAAACGACCAAAAATACTTTCAAGAAAAAGATTCAATTTGCTCAGATCCTTTTTATAAAGATAAGAAACAGCTCGACTAATTGGATTCCGAAAAATCCACAATATTCTATTTAAAGTATTTATAACATCATTTTTATACTGAAAATAAATTTATTAAATTTTAGATGTTAGATTGGGACACACACAAGTAGGCGCGAGGCCATAACGGCGCAAAGCCATAACTTGCCGCAAAACTTCGGGTCCTAATCAATTTTGGTATCAATCTCTTTAAATCAATGAGAGGAATTGTTTAATACTAAATTTGTTAAGATTCGGAAACTTAGAAGCAAGTTATGGCTTTGCGCCGTTATGGCCGCGCGCCTACTTGGGCTGTACCCGTTAGTTTTTTGATAGTTTGTTTTTCTATTCTTTTTAAAATTGTTAAACCTACTTTTTTAAAAAGAATTATCCAGTGTTTAAAAATTTTAATAACTGAGAAATCGAATATTCTAGATACTCTAATTTTTGTCAATTTTGGATTAAAATGAAAAAAATTAATAATTTCAATTAATTGTTCGGAGGGTAAAATAATTTTATTTTTTTCCATTTTTATTTTTGCGAAGGAGATCAAAAAATTTGGAAATTGAAACTGGAGCAGAATTAACCAAACGGCGTGAGATTAAATACTCAATTCGGCATAAGCTAGGGGTGTGTTTTGAATTTTTTAGTTTCACATTCCCCAACACTGGGTACATCCCAAAACGGCGCGCGGCCATAACGGCGCAAGGCCAAACTTGCTGGAAAATGTCTTGCCCTTGTCAATTTTGGTACCAATCTCCCTAGCTCGATGTGAGGAATTGTTTAATACTAAATCTGGTAAGATTGGGAAATCTTGAAGTAAGTTATGGCTTTGCGCCGTTATGGCCGCGCGCCGTTTTGGGCGTGTCCCGCACACTATGTCGATATTCCTCCTTAATTAATTTCACACTATTTCCCCACGGCATTTTGTTAATGAGAGAAAAAATTCAAAATTCAAAGGATCACATTTCATAAAAGAAATCAATTATGCCAGTGAAAGACTGTTGGGAATGCCAGCAAAACACTCCTTAATCTTTCTTCTCATTTTACCTTCCTAGACAACCCTTTCCCCAAATTATTTAAACTTTAGGTGTGTTTTTCTGAGTTCTTTTGGGGTAAAAATTTAAAATTTTCCCTCTAAATTTTTAACTTTAGGAGAGTCTGTATCTTCTCTTTCACCTAAAAACGAGAATTTTCCGTTTAGATTTTTGATATTTTTTAGACGTTGCTCTTTAAAAAAATCAATATTTTTTTTTAGATCTTATTAGTTTTCAACAATTAAAATAATGCCTCAAAAAGACGAAAATTTACCACAAAATGATGACTTGACAGCCGAAAATTTGAAGAATTCGGGAAACGAACATTTCAGTTTGGACAAGTTTTCCGAGTCTGTTGATTGTTATAGTCAAGCATTGGCATTGAAACCAGACAACAAATTGAGGTTAACTCTTTTGAAGAATAGAGCGATGGCCAGACTTAAATTGGAAGACTTTGAGGGAGCTGAAAGTGATTGTGATGAAGGTTAGGGGGTTTTTTTGTTAAAATTTTGGGGAGGATTTTGGGTTTTTTTTTTTAATTTTTAAGGTTTTAAAGTTATTTTTCACGGTTGTTTAACGCTCCAAAAAGAGAAATTTTTTTAATTTTTTTTTATTTTAATGACATGATTTTTAAACTTTAATTTTGTCCAATTAAAAAAAATTTTTCAAATAAAATAATTTTTATAATTTTATTTTCAGCTTTAAAATTGAGCCCAAATGATGCCAAAGCATTGTATAGACGAGCACTTGCAAGAGAAAAATTGGACAAAATTGGTTCGGCATTTACTGATGCAAAAGAAGCTTTGAGACTTGTGCCTAATGACAGGTTAATTTTTTTGTTAATTTTGGAACTTTCGGATATCTAACAATAAGTAGAGTCTGTCGGTAATATTGAATCGGACACATCCTCTTATTTCCTCCCCAATTTTCCCATTATATTTTTGCAAGATGGTCAGACAGACTTTTTCCTTTCTTCCATCCAAATTGCCTTTCTAATTTTTGCCTACAATCAAACAAAAAATCTTTGATATTTCATTTCCCATTTTCCTTCCTAGTTTTGAATGGAAGAAAAGCTATTTGGTTGGAAGAAAGGAAAAAGTCTGACCATTTTGCAAAAATTGGCGGAAAATTGGGTAGGAAACAGGGGTCTGTCCCGTTTAATATTATCGAGCATGTCTGTAATTAATGTGGAGATTGCGAAAAAAACCTAGAATCGGACTTAAGAAAGACCGCCCGGATCCAGTTCAGAGTCGGACACAAGTACTTATCCTTGTCATTCTTTCCAACCCACAAAAATAGCCACGAAATTTGTCCGCAAAATTAGTCCGCAAAAGTCCGCAAATTAAAAAAAAATTTTTTAAAGGTCCTTAACTGAATTGTGTGCTCGACTAGTTAAAACAAACTCTGAAAGATTAAAACAAACAGAAAGCACTGAAAGCAAAACTAAAGAAATGATGAAATTGGCTTTTGAAAATGTTGGAAAGGAGGGGGAAATGCAAATTAAGGTTAATTTTTTGAGAATTTTTCAGGGAAAATTTTGAAAAGTTTTTTGGGCTTTTTGGACTATTTCTGAGTATTTTAACGTCTCTATGGTTTTTTTAAATTAAAAAATTTTTTTCAGGCTTTAAATAATTTGTTGGTTCTTTGCCGCGATTCTGCAGACGGCGCCAGCAGAGTGTGGAATAATGGAGAAATTGTAACTCAACTTTTGTCAATTATTACAAATGTGGAGAAAAATTCTGATAATGAGGCGTTAGCTGCTGTTCGAGTTCTGTCTGAATTGACTGGAAAATCGAGAGAAAGGGTTTTTATTTTTTATTATTTTTGATTTTGATCATTTTCTTGTTTGAAAATTTTTTGAATTGACCGGGAATAATTAGGAAAATAGACAGGGATAAGATTAAGAGTTTTCTATTTATGTTAGTTTATGTCTCCTCGCTTTTTTCAATTTCTCTAGATTTTTATAAATGTTTAAGTCCAACTCTTTCTAGTTTTTTTATAGTTCATCGTCTGGCCAAGACTGGGGTTTTCATGCCCAATAGCCCGTAAACCGAGTATTATTATTAAATTCAGGTTTTTATCGAGGTTAGAGGTTTTAGGAATATTGACCTGGGGCTTTTCAAAAAAAACTTGCAATTTGAAAATTTCGAACTATCATATTGGGGAATAATCTTTCAAAACAATTTTTTAAAAGGCAATTCAAACAATGGAACTTTTCGGTGGTGCCCAAATTCTTACACGTCTGATAGCAGCTAGAAAACCTTTAGTATTTGTGGAGGCTGCGTCAACAGTCATTCAACATGTATTTAATGGACTTGCTGCAATGGATAGATCAAAAGAGATTAAACCGTGTGCTGAAACTGTTGAGAAAAATAAATGTAAGAGAGGGAAGTGAAATTTAAAAAAGTCTTTTAGAAAATATTAAAGGGTTTTAGCTTTAAGATCATTTTTTATGAGACCAGTGAGGGAGTTTTTTGTGACCGTTTAGGGGGTGTGGGGTTCGAACCCCTTCAAGACCCTTTCGATTTTTATTTTATTTCTTTGTTAAATTTATTTTTTTATAGGCTTATCTTTATCTTCGGAGCGTTTTATAACACTAAAAGCTTGAAATAACAAAACCCCAAAATCCCTTGAAATACCAAATGTCAAATACCAACCACGGGGGATTTTCGATTAAGAAAAATTTTTTTCCAAAAATTTCAGTGCCAATTTTATGTGTTGGAGGGGAAGGGTGTAGGTAGGGTTCGATACCGTTCAGCGCCCTCTATTTTTAGCGCCCTCTATTTTTAACTGCTGTTTCCTATCTTATGAAATTTAAGTTTCTAGTCTAATATTTATTTAAAAAACGTAATTTTAAAATTTTCAGGCATTTTATCTTAATTTTATTATTTTTTTCAAAAATTTAAGTGCCAATCCTCCGTATAATTCTTGAATTGGAAGAAATGTTGACAGACCCAAAATTTGATGTTTTTGTTAGAGAATGTGTAATTGATTTGCTAATGAAGAATTTAATGCATATGGATGGGGGATTGCCTAGAGGATGGTCTTGGCGTTTTATTGAAGGAAGGGGACTTTATAGAATGTTACATTTGGCTACTCAAGTACCCGAATTGTGTGATTACCCAGTTTCTGCTGAAACACGCCAACATGTGGCTATTTTTCTTACTCGTTTATATGATGATATGGTTAGTTTTTCTTTAATTTTTCTGTTTAAATTATTGTTTTTAATTTAAAAATTTAAAATCCGCAAGTTTAGTCCGCAAATTTAATTTGCAAGTTTAGTCCGCAAATTAAATCTGGGTAACTTTTCCGCAAATTTAATTTGCTAATTCGCGCATTTTTCCCTTTCTATCCTCCCTATTTTGCGGCACAAAATGAGTTTTCCGCAAATTTTGTGTGGACAAAAATAGGTTTTATGCAACTTTGTTGCGGACAACAATCTCCTATTTTTCCGGACAAATTCGGCTGTCCGCAAATTTTTGCGGACAAAATCGAGTGTCCTTACATTTTTGCGGATAAAATTGGTTGTCCGCACAATTTTGCGGATAAAATTTTTTGTCAGCAAGTTTCTTGCAGACAATCACTTTTGAGTGTTAAATATAATTTTTTCTAATCTAACTTTCAAAAATTTTTTCCAAAAAAACCAGGTTTTCGATCAACGTCGCGCTCTTTATTCAGAAGTTGTTAAAAATGTTTTTGATGGCCTATTAATCGACATTGACCAAAGAATTTCCAAAATTAAATTGGTTGCTTTATTAATAACTTTAATGCAAGGTCCAATAGATGTTGGTTTTAATCTTTTAACAAACGATAAAATTACTGGAATTATGCTGTCTATGGCTGATGTTGAAAATGGGGATAATTTACAACAAAGCTTAGCTGTTGAATTAATTGTTTTGTCTGTTAGTAAATATGAGAGAGCAACAGCTTTGATTAAACAAGGATTGGTTTGTTTTTATTTTTTAATTCAATTTTTATTTGGGAATTTTGTGAATATTTAATTTTAAAAAATTGGATATTGTTTTGAAATAGAGTGTCCGCAAAAATTTTTGCGGATAAGTACTTTTTAGTAAATCTGTCCGCAAATTTTTTGCGGATAAGTGCTCATTATTAAATTTGTCCGCAAATTTCTTGCGACAGTAAAAATCCGCAAAAATTTTTGCGGATGAGTACTTTTTGGTAAATCTGTCCGCAAATGTTTTTGCGGACAATAAAAATTTGCAATTTTTCTTGCGGATAAGTACTCTTCAGTAAATCTGTCCGCATTTTTTTTTCGGACAATAAAAATCCGCAAAAATTTTTGCGGACAATAAACATCCGCAAAAGTTTTTGCAGAATTTTTGCGGACAATAAAAATCCGCAAATATTTTTGCGGACAAAAATTATTGCGGGCAGAATCTTTTGTTAGTACGGAACGGAATACGATACGTTAAAATTCTAAATTCTATCAAGTTCTGGGTTCTAATCGCTTATTTTCTATTAATATTCAAATATTTTTAAGCCAATATTAAAAAAGCTTTATCGTTCTGAAGACCAAAATGTTCGAGTTCGTGCTTTAGTAGGTTTATGTAAATGTGCTTCTTCTGCTGGGGATGATTGCAGGTTTCATTTTTAAATTTTATTAAATTAAAAAAAATTTTTTTTTCAAAGTCGTCAGCCTATGGATGATGAATCTAGAACAAAATTAGCAATGGCTTGTAGAAAATATTTGGTTGTTGATAATGCTAATAAATATTCGGTATAGAAAAAAATTTTTTTTGTAAAAATTTTTAAATTTATATAAGGAATAGGGTTTTTTTGGTTATTTAAAAATTTTTGGGGATTTTTTAAATTTATTATTTAAGTAAGTCCATTATTTGGATTAATCCATTAGTGTATTTATTAAAAAAATAATGAGAATTCCCCTTTTAGTATTTGAGCTAAAATGTTTTGGAGAATTTATTATTAGTTTGTGTTGTAGTGGTTAGGTGTTTTGTTTTTAATTTTGCTATTCAAAATTTTCTATTAGGTTCGATTCCTTTCGCTGTTTCAAGCATCATTTTTCGTTTTTCAATTTGCTAAAAAATTTTTTTTAATTGTTAAAATTTGTTTTAGCTATTTAATTTTTTATTTTAAATTTTTTGGATTAAAAATTATTTTCTTTTTTCAATTTTTCTTTTATAAAAGGTTGATGTTCGCCGTTTTGCTTGTGAAGGCCTGTCATATTTATCTTTAGATGCTGAAATTAAAGAACAAATTGTTTGCGATACAGAATTACTAAAATCTTTAGTTGAATTGGCAAAAAATGCTGGTGCTCTATGTGTTTATACAATGGCTGCTATTTTTATGAATTGTGCAAATGCTTATGAAAAACCTAAAATTGATGAAGAAATGATTAAGTTTGTTTTTGTTTTTTTGTTGTTTTAATTTTCATTTTACTTGATATAACGAATATCAAGGACGTAGCCAGGGGGTGACTTCTGGGGCGAAAGCTCCCCTTCCCCCCAAAATGGGGAAAATTTGCGTTAGGCTCACCAGAATTAACAACAAAATTTTGGCGCACACCCAATTTTATCCCCCCTAAAATCGACCCCCTAGCTACGCCAAAAGAATATATGAGTTTTACAATAAATTAAATAATATTTAAATTTAAATAATTTAGCTTACAAAATTTTTTCCCAAACAGACTAGCTCAATTTTCCAAACATCATGTACCTGAAACACACCCAAAAGATGCTGATTCTTATGTTGAAAAAAGGATAAGACAAATGGTTTAATTTAGAATTTTTTGATGAAATTAAGAAATTTATTTAAAGGTAAAAGCTGGTGCTGTAACTGCTTGTGTGTTAGTTTCTAAAACTGAAAGTAAAAGTGCTTTGGATAATTTGGCAAGGTGTTTATGTGCATTTAGTGCTTTTGAAGACCTTTCTGGTTTGTTAAAAATATAATTTTTTTTTGTTTGAAAATTTTTTTTATTTTTAAAAGTGACATTTTATTTAAGTAATATTTTGAAAATTTTCTAGTCTATTTTAGGAATTTTTTTTTATTTTTTCCAAGTGGACATTTTATCCCATTTTTAAAAAATTTTTTCCGAAAAAATATTTTTTTGTTTGAAAATTTTTTTAAAAGAATTTAAGTAATATTTTGGGGATTTTCTCGTCTATTTTAAGCGTTTCTTTTATTTTTTTTCAAGTGGACATTTTGTCCCACTTCTAAAAATTTTTTTCCGAAAATTTTTTTTTAATTTTTAGAAGCATTTTACACCATTTTAATATTTAGAAAATTGTGTGTTTGGTTTTCCCTTTGTTTTTACTGAAAATGGACATTTTGTCCCACCTTTAAAAATAATCTTTTTTCTGAAGAAATTTTTGTAATTTATTTTTCCATTGAAAAAAGTTTTTTTAAATTTAATTTAATTTTAAAAAGGTCAAATAATAAGCGAAGGGGGTGCCAAACTTTTACTTCAATTATATAAAGATTGCACTGCTGATGGAAAAATTAAAGCGGCACATGCTATTGCACGTTTAGGTTTATTTTTAAATTTTAATTTTTAATTAAAAATTTTTTTGAGGTGCCCATAATGATCCAAATATTGTTTTTGCTGGCCAAAGAATGTATGAAGTTGTTAAACCTTTAGTTGATTTATTACATCCTGATGGTATATTTAATTTTATTTTAAATTTTAAATTATACGTTTGACTGCGCTACTATAAGATATTTACCTTTAAAGTTTAAAAAATCAAATCGCTTAAAAATTGAAACACGGCTTGCGACAGAAATTAAATTTAAAGGGAGGAAAGACAAAATCGAGTTAGCGACTTTTTTCCTCTCTCTTTCCCATTTTTTTTCTGTTGCAAGACACAAAGCGATGTTTATTTAATTTCTCTTCGGATTGTGGTTTAAAGTTAACCCTTGACATCATTGATCTGTATTAGTATTACTTCCCTCACTTAATATTTAACCAGCTTAAAAAGGCACTTAAGTATCTAATTTTGGGTGTATTTCATAGTGAGAAGTCCAGCAATTATTTTTTTGTTAAAATTTTTATCCTCAAAAATAAAAAAAAATTAATTTGTAGTTGAGGGCCGTGCAAATTATGACAGTTTATTAACTTTAACAAATTTGGCATCAATTAGTGATTCTGTCCGTAAAAGAATTTTGCATGAAAGAGCATTACCCAAAATTGAAGAATATTGGTTTGATCCAACACATGAAGAGTTGAGGGCTGCTGCTGCTGAACTTTTACTTAATTTACTTTTTTGTGAAGATTATTATAAAGAAGTTATTAAGGTATTTTTGGAGGAGGGGGAAATTTTTTTTTGAGGGAAATTTTTTTGTTAAATCTTAAGGGCTATTTAACAAGGGAACATTCCGAACTACGAACTACCACTAAAAATTTTTGCGATGAAACATACACCATTGTGTAGAGCAGACTTGTGCATGGATACGGACAATATCCGTACACGGATAGAAAACTCCGTATCCATGCACAAGTCTGGTGTAGAGCATCCCAAAAATTTTCTTAGCAAATCGACCCTGCTCTACACAATAGTGTATGTTTCACCGCAAAATTTTTGGTGGTAGTTTTGAATGTTCCCTTGTAAGTAAAAAAATTTAGAAATCAGAATTTGGAAGAAAATTTTTTTTCGGGGATTTATTTGATTGGGAAAAAATTCTTTAGGAAATTCCCAAAAATTTTCTGGGATTCTCGAGAAATTTTTTTGGGAAATTTTATAGAAAAAATTTTTTTGTTCAAAATTCTTTTGGAAATTTTTTTTAAATTTATCTGATTCCTAATATATTTAACTAGTCAATATATTTTTTTCTTAATTTTTAACAGTCAAAAAAAAATTAAAAAAATTTTTTTCTATATAGCCAGGAACAGACCGCGCCAAAGTTTGGGCCCTTTATTGTGATGAAGGTGATACAGAAACTGATCGTTTACGACTTGCATCAACAGCTGGTTTTGCTATATTAACAGAAGATAAAGAATATTGTGAAAGAATAATTAAAGAAATTTCAAGTAAAAGTTGGATAGAATTATTTAAAGAAATGGCAATGGCTGAAAGACCAGAATTACAAAGAAGAGGTTTAATTGGGATAGCAAATATGGTTGAATATGGAGGGGAAATGGTTGCTAGTGAAATTATGGGGGTAAACGTTTTTAAGGGAATAATTCTGATTTGTAAGTGCATTTTTAAAATTGTAGTTCTGATTTGTAATTCTGATTTAATTCTGATTTTTATTTAATTTAAATTTTTGAATTGTAATTCTGGTTGTTATTGAGGGGGTGTTTTAAGGTATTTTAATTCTGATTTATATTTTTTAAAGTTATATTCTAATTTGTAATTCTGGTTTTGCCCAGTTCTGATTTAATTCTGATTTGTAAACTATTTTTTAAAATTTTTTCTGATTTGTAATTCTGGTTTGGCTTAGTTCTGATTTAATACTGATTTGTAATTCTGATTTAATTCTGATTTTTATTTAATTTTCCGAATTGTAATTCTGGTTGTTATTGAAGTGTTTTAAGGTGTTTTAATTCTGATTTGTAGATTTTTTTATTTTTAATGTCGTATAATTTTTAATTCTGGTTTTATCCAGTTTTGATTTAAGTCGTATTTACAATTCTATAATAATTTTTTAAATTTCAAACTTCTGATTTTTCTGATTCTGATTTTCTGTTTTTTCTAATTTATGTTTCTGATTTTTTTTTTGATTTTTCTGATTCTTTATGGAAAATTTTCCGATTTTTTTTGTTCCGATTTATTCAAAATTCTGATTTTTTAGGGTTTTCTGTTTCTGATTTTTCCTGTGGGTTGTAGTCTGTTTTATTCTGATTTTTTCCTAGTTTTTCTCGTTATGATCTTCCCGATTTTTCTGTTCTGTTGATTTTGATACCATAATGTCTTCTATTTTTCTGTTTTTTTCCAAAATTCTGTTATTTAAAATTTATTATTCTCATCTTTTCAGAGTGAGATTTTCCGTGTTCTCGTGGCTATAACAAAATTGGAAGGTGATGCAGCTACTGGTCGTGAAGAAGCTCGTAAAGAAGCTCAACGTGCATTAGATGCTGCTCAAAAATTAGGATTAATAGCTCCAACAGATCGACAGCTTTATGAAAGAATGGAAAAAATAAAATTGGAAAATAAAAATGAAACAACAGCTCTTGCAAGTGTTTTGGAGGAAGAAAAGGATGAACAAGCTGAAAATAAAGGGGGAGAAGTAGATAAAGAAAATGGAAAATAATAACGAAATTTATTCGTTGAATTTGCATTATTAAAATTTAGGAATATAAATACAGTTGGACCTTACTTTTTAAAAGTATACCCTTGAAAATTTAAGTTTTAGTATCTATTAGAGATCGGCCTGGGTCTGGACCAAGACCTGGGTTTTTCCTGTACCAAGAGTCCAGGTCCAGGCATTTTTTGACCTTCCTGAGTTTTTCATGGGCCTGAGTTTTTTCCTGGACTACAGGCCCAGAATTCAGTCCAGATCAAGAAATCAAACTCAAGAGTCCAGGAACAGGTCCAGGCTTTTCAAAATTTCCGATCTCTAGTATCTATGTAAGGTAGGTGCTTCCGGAAAGTGTATTGCTTTTAACTTACAGAAAATTTATTTTAAATTTAAGATATGAGCTGTTTGTGGGTCTACCTACCTAAAATAAAGGTCTATAACTGTATTTCGAATCTCTCTACTATTTAACTACTAAGTCACATTTAATATTTTGAGGCAATACTTAATTCTTATTTTAGTAATCTTGCATAATTTTTTTTTAAAAAACCTTTACTTGTTTTCTGTGCCTTATTTTGTTAAGATAAAGTGCCTTAAATTTTGATAAATTAATTTCTTGATTCCTGTTTTTTAATTAATTTATAGGAAATAAATTTGAATCAGGGCTGGCCGAAATTTCGTTTCGCTATTTCGGGCCCTTTTTTACATTTCGTTTCGATTCGAAAAATTTTTTTTTCGGCAAGTTCTGATTGGAGTTCTGATTGGAATAATTCAATAGGCCAAAATGAATGGGGAGGTGGAATGCCAAAGTAGTAAGGCTGTACCCCGACCCAAAAAGTCGGATAATTTTGAAAAATGCTTTACAAATTTTTATATAAAAAATTTTTTTAGTAAAATTTTTTTATTAAAAAATTTAATAAAAAAATTAGTAAAAAATTCACCATTGGACGTGTTTTGTTATTTTACCTATTTAAATGAGGATTTATTAAAATTATATAAAAATGATATTTAATTCAACATTGTGTTGAATTGAAGGCTTAGACACAGAAAGGGATTAAAAACTACTTAAATCCATTTAAAAAAATACTCAAAAATTTAATCTCACAGCTAAACAGGTTATCTCTACATTAAAATAATGATATATTTTAATAATAAATTTTTTAATAATAATACTATTAACTAAAAATTTTATTTAAAAATTTTTTTAAATATCGAATAAATTTAAATTTAATATACCGCAAATACAAGCCCTGAGATTGTATTTATCACTCTGACTTGCCTTGTATTAGATTTGGTTTGTATTAGAGAGACCGGGCTTATTGAAGGTTTTTGTCCACTAGATTGACTCAGTTTTCCAAGTTACTTCGAATGACATATCACTTGTCGAGTCCCAATATCCTCATTAGAGACTGGACTAAGGTCATTTTGAATGGGCTTGTATTAGAGAGTGGGAGGATTTACGGTAAAATTAAAATTAAAAAAAAATTTTTTTCAAAAAGGTAACCCAAAAGAATGATTAATTCTGCACATTTCTTAAGGCAGAGAATGCCTTCATTAATAATATTCCTTTTATTTTTGAGCATACTTTTAATAATGTCACAATTCACAAATGCAACTGTTAGAGAAAGAAGACAATGTTAATTTTTATATTAACTTGAATATAAGTTTCCGGAAGGAATAAATAAATTCCGGAAATTTTAATTAAATTTAAAGAAAACTACTTTCCGGATAGATTAATATGTATTACAATTGGAAAGAATTAAATATTTAGATTCCGGAAAGTTGTAATTAATATTTTTCTTCCGGAAGGTTGTAATTAGTTCTTTCCGGATGATTGTAATTAATATTTTTCCGGAAAGTTGTAATTATTTTTTTTCCCGGAAGGTTGTAATTAGTTCTTTCCGGAAGGTTGTAATTAGTTCTTTCCGGAAGGTTATACTATTTTTTCCGGAAGATTGTAATTAATATTTTTCCGGAAAGTTGTAATTAGTTCTTTCCGGAAGATTGTAATTAATATTTTTCCGGAAAGTTGTAATTAGTTCTTTCCGGAAGATTGTAATTAATATTTTTCCGGAAAGTTGTAATTAGTTCTTTCCGGAAGATTGTAATTAATATTTTTCCGGAAAGTTGTAATTATTTTTTTTCCCGGAAGGTTGTAATTAGTTCTTTCCGGAAGGTTGTAATTAGTTCTTTCCGGAAGGTTGTAATTAGTTCTTTCCGGAAGATTGTAATTAATATTTTTCCGGAAAGTTGTAATTAGTTCTTTCCGGAAGATTGTAATTAATATTTTTCCGGAAAGTTGTAATTATTTTTTTTCCCGGAAGGTTGTAATTAGTTCTTTCCGGAAGGTTGTAATTAGTTCTTTCCGGAAGGTTATACTATTTTTTCCGGAAGATTGTAATTAATATTTTTCCGGAAAGTTGTAATTAGTTCTTTCCGGAAGATTGTAATTAATATTTTTCCGGAAAGTTGTAATTATTTTTTTTCCCGGAAGGTTGTAATTAGTTCTTTCCGGAAGGTTGTAATTAGTTCTTTCCGGAAGGTTGTAATTAGTTCTTTCCGGAAGGTTATACTATTTTTTCCGGAAGATTGTAATTAATATTTTTCCGGAAAGTTGTAATTAGTTCTTTCCGGAAGATTGTAATTAATATTTTTCCGGAAAGTTGTAATTATTTTTTTTCCCGGAAAGTTGTAATTAGTTCTTTCCGGAAGGTTGTAATTAGTTCTTTCCGGAAGGTTATACTATTTTTTCCGGAAGATTGTAATTAATATTTTTCCGGAAAGTTGTAATTAGTTCTTTCCGGAAGATTGTAATTAATATTTTTCCGGAAAGTTGTAATTATTTTTTTTCCCGGAAGGTTGTAATTAGTTCTTTCCGGAAGGTTGTAATTAGTTCTTTCCGGAAGGTTGTAATTAGTTCTTTCCGGAAGATTGTAATTAATATTTTTCCGGAAAGTTGTAATTAGTTCTTTCCGGAAGATTGTAATTAATATTTTTCCGGAAAGTTGTAATTATTTTTTTTCCCGGAAGGTTGTAATTAGTTCTTTCCGGAAGGTTGTAATTAGTTCTTTCCGGAAGGTTATACTATTTTTTCCGGAAGATTGTAATTAATATTTTTCCGGAAAGTTGTAATTAGTTCTTTCCGGAAGATTGTAATTAATATTTTTCCGGAAAGTTGTAATTAATATTTTTCCGGAAAGTTGTAATTAGTTCTTTCCGGAAGATTGTAATTAATATTTTTCCGGAAAGTTGTAATTAGTTCTTTCCGGAAGATTGTAATTAATATTTTTCCGGAAAGTTGTAATTATTTTTTTTCCCGGAAGGTTGTAATTAGTTCTTTCCGGAAGGTTGTAATTAGTTCTTTCCGGAAGGTTGTAATTAGTTCTTTCCGGAAGATTGTAATTAATATTTTTCCGGAAAGTTGTAATTAGTTCTTTCCGGAAGATTGTAATTAATATTTTTCCGGAAAGTTGTAATTATTTTTTTTCCCGGAAGGTTGTAATTAGTTCTTTCCGGAAGGTTGTAATTAGTTCTTTCCGGAAGGTTATACTATTTTTTCCGGAAGATTGTAATTAATATTTTTCCGGAAAGTTGTAATTAGTTCTTTCCGGAAGATTGTAATTAATATTTTTCCGGAAAGTTGTAATTATTTTTTTTCCCGGAAGGTTGTAATTAGTTCTTTCCGGAAGGTTGTAATTAGTTCTTTCCGGAAGGTTGTAATTAGTTCTTTCCGGAAGGTTATACTATTTTTTCCGGAAGATTGTAATTAATATTTTTCCGGAAAGTTGTAATTAGTTCTTTCCGGAAGATTGTAATTAATATTTTTCCGGAAAGTTGTAATTATTTTTTTTCCCGGAAAGTTGTAATTAGTTCTTTCCGGAAGGTTGTAATTAGTTCTTTCCGGAAGGTTATACTATTTTTTCCGGAAGATTGTAATTAATATTTTTCCGGAAAGTTGTAATTAGTTCTTTCCGGAAGATTGTAATTAATATTTTTCCGGAAAGTTGTAATTATTTTTTTTCCCGGAAGGTTGTAATTAGTTCTTTCCGGAAGGTTGTAATTAGTTCTTTCCGGAAGGTTGTAATTAGTTCTTTCCGGAAGATTGTAATTAATATTTTTCCGGAAAGTTGTAATTAGTTCTTTCCGGAAGATTGTAATTAATATTTTTCCGGAAAGTTGTAATTATTTTTTTTCCCGGAAGGTTGTAATTAGTTCTTTCCGGAAGGTTGTAATTAGTTCTTTCCGGAAGGTTATACTATTTTTTCCGGAAGATTGTAATTAATATTTTTCCGGAAAGTTGTAATTAGTTCTTTCCGGAAGATTGTAATTAATATTTTTCCGGAAAGTTGTAATTATTTTTTTTCCCGGAAGGTTGTAATTAGTTCTTTCCGGAAGGTTGTAATTAGTTCTTTCCGGAAGGTTATACTATTTTTTCCGGAAGATTGTAATTAATATTTTTCCGGAAAGTTGTAATTAGTTCTTTCCGGAAGATTGTAATTAATATTTTTCCGGAAAGTTGTAATTATTTTTTTTCCCGGAAGGTTGTAATTAGTTCTTTCCGGAAGGTTGTAATTAGTTCTTTCCGGAAGGTTATACTATTTTTTCCGGAAGATTGTAATTAATATTTTTCCGGAAAGTTGTAATTAGTTCTTTCCGGAAGATTGTAATTAATATTTTTCCGGAAAGTTGTAATTATTTTTTTTCCCGGAAGGTTGTAATTAGTTCTTTCCGGAAGGTTGTAATTAGTTCTTTCCGGAAGGTTATACTATTTTTTCCGGAAGATTGTAATTAATATTTTTCCGGAAAGTTGTAATTAGTTCTTTCCGGAAGATTGTAATTAATATTTTTCCGGAAAGTTGTAATTATTTTTTTTCCCGGAAGGTTGTAATTAGTTCTTTCCGGAAGGTTGTAATTAGTTCTTTCCGGAAGGTTATACTATTTTTTCCGGAAGATTGTAATTAATATTTTTCCGGAAAGTTGTAATTAGTTCTTTCCGGAAGATTGTAATTAATATTTTTCCGGAAAGTTGTAATTATTTTTTTTCCCGGAAGGTTGTAATTAGTTCTTTCCGGAAGGTTGTAATTAGTTCTTTCCGGAAGGTTATACTATTTTTTCCGGAAGATTGTAATTAATATTTTTCCGGAAAGTTGTAATTAGTTCTTTCCGGAAGATTGTAATTAATATTTTTCCGGAAAGTTGTAATTATTTTTTTTCCCGGAAGGTTGTAATTAGTTCTTTCCGGAAGGTTGTAATTAGTTCTTTCCGGAAGGTTATACTATTTTTTCCGGAAGATTGTAATTAATATTTTTCCGGAAAGTTGTAATTAGTTCTTTCCGGAAGATTGTAATTAATATTTTTCCGGAAAGTTGTAATTAGTTCTTTCCGGAAGATTGTAATTAATATTTTTCCGGAAAGTTGTAATTATTTTTTTTCCCGGAAGGTTGTAATTAGTTCTTTCCGGAAGGTTGTAATTAGTTCTTTCCGGAAGGTTATACTATTTTTTCCGGAAGATTGTAATTAATATTTTTCCGGAAAGTTGTAATTAGTTCTTTCCGGAAGATTGTAATTAATATTTTTCCGGAAAGTTGTAATTATTTTTTTTCCCGGAAGGTTGTAATTAGTTCTTTCCGGAAGGTTATACTATTTTTTCCGGAAGATTGTAATTAATATTTTTCCGGAAAGTTGTAATTAGTTCTTTCCGGAAGATTGTAATTAATATTTTTCCGGAAAGTTGTAATTATTTTTTTTCCCGGAAGGTTGTAATTAGTTCTTTCCGGAAGGTTATACTATTTTTTCCGGAAGATTGTAATTAATATTTTTCCGGAAAGTTGTAATTAGTTCTTTCCGGAAGATTGTAATTAATATTTTTCCGGAAAGTTGTAATTATTTTTTTTCCCGGAAGGTTGTAATTAGTTCTTTCCGGAAGGTTATACTATTTTTTCCGGAAGATTGTAATTAATATTTTTCCGGAAAGTTGTAATTAGTTCTTTCCGGAAGATTGTAATTAATATTTTTCCGGAAAGTTGTAATTAGTTCTTTCCGGAAGATTGTAATTAATATTTTTCCGGAAAGTTGTAATTATTTTTTTTCCCGGAAGGTTGTAATTAGTTCTTTCCGGAAGGTTATACTATTTTTTCCGGAAGATTGTAATTAATATTTTTCCGGAAAGTTGTAATTAGTTCTTTCCGGAAGATTGTAATTAATATTTTTCCGGAAAGTTGTAATTAGTTCTTTCCGGAAGATTGTAATTAATATTTTTCCGGAAAGTTGTAATTATTTTTTTTCCCGGAAGGTTGTAATTAGTTCTTTCCGGAAGGTTATACTATTTTTTCCGGAAGATTGTAATTAATATTTTTCCGGAAAGTTGTAATTAGTTCTTTCCGGAAGATTGTAATTAATATTTTTCCGGAAAGTTGTAATTAGTTCTTTCCGGAAGATTGTAATTAATATTTTTCCGGAAAGTTGTAATTATTTTTTTTCCCGGAAGGTTGTAATTAGTTCTTTCCGGAAGGTTATACTATTTTTTCCGGAAGATTGTAATTAATATTTTTCCGGAAAGTTGTAATTAGTTCTTTCCGGAAGATTGTAATTAATATTTTTCCGGAAAGTTGTAATTAGTTCTTTCCGGAAGATTGT